GTCCTCGTTGCCCTTGTGTCCTCGTTGCCCTTGTGTCCTCGTTGCCCTTGTGTCCTCGTTGCCCTTGTGTCCTCGTGTGCGTTTGTTGTTGCCCTTGTGTATCATTGTGTCTTGCTCTTCTTGCCAATTTCCCTCTCCTGCTTTTCTCATTTCTGTCTTGTCTTTATTTGTTGTCTTTCCTGTTCCTTTTCTCTCTCTCTTTTTCCTTGTTTTTGTTTTTATACTACGTCTGATTTCCGTTTCCTTATGGGAAAGTATAGCTCTCTCTATTTTCTACTGCTTTCCCGTCTTCTTGGTTTTCTTTATTCTTTTTCTGCTCTCTTTTCTCTTTTCTCTTTCTCTTTCCTTGTTCCTTTCTTTTGTACTACGTCTAATTTCTCGAATTTTTGTAGGAAAATATGGCCCTCCATACTTCCTACCGTTTCCCTACTTTGTCTATTTCTTTCCCGTCTTCCTTTTCTGTTCTCTTTTCTGTTTCTGTTTCCTTGTTTTGCTTTTATACTACGTCTGATTTCTTGATATCCTTGCGGGAAAATATGGCTCTCCATACTTCCTGCTTCTTCACCGTTTTTGCTTCAATGTGTTTTCCTTGTGGGCAGTATGGCTCTCTATACTGTCTGCGCGCTCATTCGTAGTGGCCCTGACCGTAGTTGCCCACGTAGTTGCCCCTCGTTCTCTCTGGCTTGCCCAAACCCTGACCGTAGTTGCCCATTGTTCCTGTTCCATTGTGTCTTTTTGTACTGTTTGCATTTCCTTCCATCAGTTCTTTTGCCTTGTGCAAAGCTCTGGAGGAGAGATATGCAATGCAGTCTTTGAAGCCGTTTGTGAGATCGTCCTTGGTGTCCTCCCTCTATGGAATTTATCTCTCGCCTTCAAGCCTCCATCCTTCAGCATCCTCTGAAGCCATACTTTCCCCAAAGGTCCTGATACACTCGGCAGTCTTTCTCTCCATTTCTCTTCCGGGACGCAAAGTGACGATGTAGTCAATCCGTCATCTCAATCGGCATGCTCGTGATTTCTGCCTTCGTCTCCGTCGCTGTGACCGCCGCCGCCGCCGACAACAACATCATCATCGTGACCATACAACGAGTTCCTCTCCCTTACGCAGTCGGACCTCGTTGTAGAAGCATTGTCTTAACTGGAAGAGGATGGTTGTGTCTTGGATTCTAATATGTTTGGCCTGTTGTGATGTTCCCAATCTGGTCAGGGATTGTGGATTATGAATTTATTTTCTTCTCGGGCCCGAAAGACTCAGCAATCCCACCAATAGCGCTTCACCTGCACGATTCAGACGATCCTATCTCGACTTTCGAGACCTTTTGAATTGTTGGTTTCTCTATGCGTGGAATATCTTTCTTCATCGGTCATGGTCTACGAGAATAATGTCCAGATTGGCTGACACCAATTGGTCCTGTCGTCGCCTCCGCCTGGCCTGACTCTCTCAGTCTTGAGGCAGATGTCGCTTAGCCTTGTGTCCACAGTCCGCGTACAGTCCAACTTTTCTCAGGCACCTCCAGTGCTCTGAATCGGTACTAATCTTTGCTGTCTCCCTCGAGCTCCATCATAATTAACATCATCGCCATGGAGTCCGTAAGGTCTCCCGCTGGCGACCCCAGACCTCGACTTGATCATGCTTGCGTCCGCTGCTCCGAACGTAAAGTCAAATGCGACAGGCGACAACCGTGCGAATCCTGTATGAGACACAGCGCAGAATGTATATTCCGACCGTTACCTCCACGCAAACGGAGGAAGAAGCGCACGACCGAAGAAGCTCTCATTCAGCGTCTTCACATGTACGAAGAGCTACTTGAAAAGAACGGTGTCGACGCCAACACGCTGGCAATGTCAACGAGACCCATGACTTCACCCCAATCGAGTCACGAAAGTTTCAGAGTCAACCACCCTGCCGACTTGAATTCTCCAGATATGAGAGCTCTCAGTCCAGAAAGGGGCATTACGAAACCTCGTTTGTTGCATGAGCATGGCCGGTCCAAATATCTCAACAGGTAGTAATCTATCTCCTCCAGGCACAAGTTCCAGATCGTGGACTGACCTTCCCGTAGTGGCCTCTGGACCAGAGTCATGGAAGAAGTAAGCTGAGGCCCTGCGCTCGAGCATCCTCATCCTCATCCCTTGACAGAGACTGACTCAACCTGTAGTTCCGTGAGCCGGGAGATGCATTAGGTGACTCATCCGATGAAGATAGTGGACCAGGCGAACTAGCAGATGCTGCTGCTGATGTTATTCTCGGATCTCTTGGAACTCCAGCCAGCGTCGACGAACTACATCCACCCGCCGACCAGATCATGGAGCTGTGGCAAATTTACTTGAGAAACGTCAGTCCAGTCATAAAGCTTCTTCACGCACCGACGACCGCGAGAGCCATCCAAAATGCCGTGGTGAACCCCGAGAAAATATCAAGAGCCTTTGAAGCCCTCCTATTTGCCATCTACAGCGCGGCGGTGATGTCGCTGCGTGATGAAGAGAGCAAACAACGATTTGGCCAGACCCGCAAGCATCTGCTCTCACGATATATACGTGCCACGAAACTCGCACTGACACGCGCGAAGCTGATGGGGACCTCGAATCTAGTAGTCTTGCAAGCTTATTTGCTGCACCTCGTAGCTGTACGAGAGTTTTACGACAGCCGAACTCTATGGAACATGCTAGGTGTGGCCGTCCGCATAGGTGAAGGCATGGGACTACATCGAGATGGAAGTGCGTTGGGCCTACCGCCTTTCGATGCAGAAATCCGACGTCGCATCTGGTGGGAGATGAGCTTACTCGATGATAGATCCGGAGATCTGAGCGGCTACGGTAGGGTTTTCGTCTTCGAGGGAAGCACCAACATACCCAAAGCTCCTGCCAATGTCGACGACGACAAACTCTTTCCATCAATGACCTCGATGCCAGAGGAGTCTACCAAAGTCACAGAGTCTCTGTATTGTGCCTTGCGAGCCGAGATGTTTTCGTATTGGATCGTCTATGTAAGTCAGAAGAGGAAAGAAAGAATGTCTGGAGATATCGTTAGCAGGTTGGAGAGCCCGGACGTTTTGAAGGAGAGAGACAAGGCGGTTGAAGATTTCGAGCAGATGATTGAGTCAAAGTACGTGCGATACCTCGATCCCTCGCAGCCGCTACAGTTATTGAGCATGCTCCTTGCTCGGTCTGTCGTGAGCAAGGCCCAGTTCATGATACACCACCCCAGAAGGTGGAGTGGTTCTCAGAACATACCAGAGTCAGAACGGCAATTTGTATGGCAAGTGTCTGTCGGACTATTACAACAGTACAACATGATGCGTTCAAACCCTTCACTGAAACGCTTCTCGTGGTACACGGCATACTACTTCCCATGGCAGACGTTCATTTATGTATTGGACACGGTCCGAGTGACTCCCCTCATGGCAGGTGCCTCAGACGTATGGCAAATCATTGAAGAAACGATTGAGAACTTCCCAGGTCTGATCATGAAGATCAAAGAGATGCCTTGCGTCGCAGTGAGTAAGCTGTGCTTGAAGGCGTATGACGCATACGTCGAAGGGTTGAAGAAGGAGGGCGGGTTTGTTCCCAGGACGCCGGCATTTATCAACAACATTAAGCAGCAGCAAGAAAGGCTTCAGCGGCAAAATGCTCTGCGGAAACGGCCGGGAGGACGCCGCGAGCCGGCCACCACCGAGTTTCCTACGCCCCAGAACAGCACGCAGGGCCCGGTACGAGAGACTGCAGCTCACTTCTCAAACCAAAAAGCTATGCACATACCGGCGGACACTCCGAGCGCCTGGTCCACTGGTGGTGTTGAGTCCGTTGCAGCAACCATGTCAATGGACGTGGAAGGAGGACTGGACGGCACAATTCGGCTGGATGAGGGCAACGGCATCGACATTTTCGCCGATCAAGCGATCGACTGGTCGCAATGGGATAAAATCCTCGGAGATCCAACTCTGATGCCAATGCCGATCATGACGGATCCCCAGGAACGAGACTGGCCCCTTGGACAGAATTTCAGGGATGATTCAGTATGATGAACAAATCATACAGTCTGGTCCCCGTTTGAAGCATGGCTTTGGAGGATTGACGATCCTCGACTTGACTCTTCCTTTTCCTCCTGATGACCTTCTCCTTGTCCAACGAGTGAAGTCGTAGTACTTTTGGCCCAGTGTTTGCTCGTCGTCTCCCTCCCCCGACGCACTCCCCATCCTCATTCTCGCGATCGCCTTTTTTTTTTTTTTTTGGCCCGTACAAGATCGACTTTCATCTTGAGATTGAGACCGTTCGTCCGTCTTCATCGTCGCACAATCCTATTCTTCACGAAAACGGTATTGTCTTTTTCTGATCTTGAGCAACCTCTTCTCGTTACGGTCCAAGAAAACCTTGGTACCCCCCAATTACGTCTGCGTGGGCTGAGCTTGCGCACCCCTTTTGGGTTTGAAACCAGCACACGATCGACCAGCACAAGCAAAAAAGAACGGTTGTCAGTTTGAAAATGGTTTCATAAAGGATTACCCGAGTGGTATCCATTGTCATATCATTTCTCCTTGACAAAAATAAATGGGTTTCTTGAGACTCGGTGGCAGAACTCCCATCCTCAGATTACCTTTTCAAGAAAAAAAAGAAAGAAAAAAAAAAGAAAGGGGTAGGCGTCCATCACCGTATCCACAACGATGGGAGACCTGCGCCATTGACCAGAAACGCCGCTCCGATATCCTAGAGTACATTTGCCGATACATGGGCAAATCCTGTCTGTTTTCTGTACACGCTAAATCATTCATTCCACTTTGCAAAATGCTCCCACGCAACACACGGGCAACGGTCGAAACCTCGTCGTGTCAATTGAACCTCAATTTTCAAAGTCGACGTCCCCCCCGATGCAAAAGTCGACACTCGTTAGGAAAGGATACGAGGCTGCGTCTCAAGTTGAGCAGGTGGTGATTGAGGCGGTGTCGGCTGGATCTCCAAGGTCGACACGTGAAGAGCCATGGTTGACAGCTTCTTCTCGATGTCGGCCAGTTTACGCTCGAGGTCAAGCACGCGTTGTTCCATCGCGACGCCTTCTTGCGCCTTCTGGACGGACGTGGGCTCGACAACCACTTTAGTTTTCTCGACGCCATTCACGACCGGGACGACAGGTGCAGTGCCGGCGGTAGCCCCTTGTTGCTTGAGAGATTCAAGGAATGCCAGACCTTCCTTTTGCACATCATAGTTGAAAAAGAACTGGCAGATAGGGGGACTGTGGGGCATTGCCCCCGTCGCCGGCAACGGTCCAGAGTAGTATTTCCTGATCTCGGCCTCTTGTTCCGCATGCTTCGCCGCCGCTTGGGGCCCGGGTACGATGGGGTTCGTCAGAATCTGCGTGGCGGAAACCCTGGGTAGCCGGAACTTTTCGTACTGGTCCAGACGCTCAAGCAGTTTCGCCGACGGCGCGGCACTGACATCGCCCGAGGTAGGCACGTCGGCGAGGAACAGCTCGAGGGCGGCGGCGTCTTCGATCGAGCTGCTGACACCCTGTGCGTGGGTCAAAAGCATAGGATGACACGCGTCACCGATCAGGAGGGCCTTGCCCTTGGTCATTTTAGAGAGCGGCTCGCGCTTCATCTGTGTGTAGACCTTGACCTCGGGAGACTTGAGGAACATCTTCTTGACGCTGGGGTGGAAGCCGTCCAGGACGCGCTCCAGATCTTCATGGGTGGCGGGGAAGTTCCAATCGTCAATGACAATGTCTTCCTCGCTGGTGGCGTGCTGGCCGAGTTTGCGGTGGACGGCGAGAACGTTGAGGATCTCGTTGTTGCGGCAAGGGTATGTCACTGCCATGACACCCTTGGCGGGAAGAGCAGGAGCCCAGAAGCCCGGCGCCTGGCCTTCGAAAAAGTCCTTGGTCTCGGGATCTGAAAGTATGTCTTGCATCGGAATGAGACAGCGGTAGGCTGTCTGGCCACTGCGTTTCATGGGAACTTCTTTGCCTGTGATTTTGGCGTTGATACGGTCCTGTCTGAGGATTAGCCCTGACTCTGCAAAGAGGAAAATGACTTCGGAAAACTCACGTGTTGCCCGTCAGCAACGATAACGAGGTCTTTTTGAATCTGTGAGCCGTCTTTGAGTTGGATTACGCCAGTTTCGGGATCGACATCCATTACTTGGGCGCCGAGCCTGATGATCGACCCGGCAGCCTCGGCCATTTCCCTCAGTTGTCGGTGCATGTCGACTCTGTGATAGAAATACCACTTGTTGCCGTATTGTTGTTCAACGTTGGCGAAAGACAAGGTTGGCGCCATAGCCTCTAGGGTATCTCCCTTGGGTCTACGAACCTGCTGAGGTGTCAATCCGATGTCTGCATGGCTCCAGGTATGACGGCCTTGAAAGTGGCATTATGGGAACCGGCTCGCTTACCTGAACGTTCTCGATACCGCCGGCTTTGACCGAGTCGAAACCCCATCGTTGTAGAATTCGACCGCCATTGGGCGTGATAGAGACAGCCGCACCGTTTTCGTTTTTGAACTGAGATCGTTCAAAGACCTGTTCAAGTTCCGAGTTAGCACATCTATTTGCCGTGGACTTCGTGGATGGCTTGGTTGGCCCTGGTGATCAAGGGTGTGAGAATGCTCACTTCAACACTATGGCCTATCCTTCTCAAGGCGATTGCCGCGCTCAAGCCAGCAACTCCGGCCCCAACAACGCCAACCTGCAGTCCCTTCCCAGAGACAGATGAGGCGGCGTCCATGGTTGTATATGGGATTTCGTGGTGTCGAGAAGAGCTTGTGAGGAAGTGACTGCCTGGAAGTCGACGAGTAGTGCTCACTGAGGAGGGGGTTAGGCTGGAAAGTATAACCACAGGTGTGTCAAGCGGAAGAGACAGGTTTCATTGAAACGCCCAGACCAGAAGGACGGTCGCCAAATCTTATAAGTTGCTCTCACCCTTTTGCCAGGCCACCACCCCAGATGGCCAAGGTGATGTGTCTCTGGTTGAGGCGTGGTCTCGACCATTCAATTGGCCCCAGGGGAAAGCAAAGCCTTTGGATGTCCACATGTTGGAAGCCACAGAGGAGGCTATCAGCAGGTCTAGGCGCCCCTAGGAGGTCCGGAGCTAGCTTATCGGGAATTTTCTTTTCAGCTGACAGCCTCGGCGCTGTAAATAAAATTAGTCCCAAGAGGCTTTGCGAATAGTCAAGGCTTGAACAGATATCCTAGGCAAACTGGTGAGTTGCGACTGTGTGATTCGGATCTCTGCGGCCATGGCGCTCTCGGCCCCCAGTCCTCTGTATTGTGGTCTCTTAGGCGAGCTGTTCAGATCCTTCTCCAGCGTATAAGCCGGTCACGTTATTGTGGTTGCGCACCCGGCCTAGTGGGCCGTGGCCCGTGGCTGACCCCATGCGATAGAGTTCTGTAGCCTGCATGTGGATGTTGGTCTATACGAGCCCTACAATCCATACAAAGACAATGATGGTGCCCTCCCCGTTCCTAAGTTCTGGCTCGTGGGTCGGACTCGTACCACGGGTGCGGAGTGATCCCAAAGTCGCGGACTGGCGGGTTGGCGCTGCCTCGTAAGCCCGGCGCTTGGATCTGGCGGTGCAATAGAATGATTAGCAGCCCTTTTCGCAAGCTTCGGGACGCCGGAACAATGCCAGTTTGTTCCAGACGATGATGCTATCGATGCATTCACCATGATACCAGCGACTCTGGTGCTCCGTAGACCATTCCAGTAATAGTACAGCTAGCCTGCATCTGTTTACTGCTGTCTTTGCTCGATTCTGGTGCTCGATTGTCCAGGCTGGACAGTGGGGTTGACTGATCCGCTCGTGGTGATCAGCGTTCGGAATGGACAATTTCCACGTGGGCGGGTTGCTCGAGACAATCACGAGGTAGGCAAGGAGTCCATTTTGGAATGGACAGGGGAGCTCAAAATGTCCATGAGGGCTTGCCACGCCCCGGCGCCACTTGGCGATATTGTAGTAGCGAGCTCCCTTGCACTACCCCCTACAAGTACCGGGCGTAGGGTCCATTTGTGCAGGGGGTTCAGCCCCGGACAAGCCAAGGGCAGTGCTTCCCCATTTTGGGCATGTTTGTCACCCTTTGGTATTGTCCTTTCTCGCGCGCAGAAACCTGGAGCGTGAGGTACTTGGAAGTCTCGAGGATTATTGATCCGTAGGTAAGTCTTGACGTCCTCGAATGCTAGCAGGGGCCGGCACAACATTTTTGGGGGACTCTTGAGCAGCGTGTTGGCAACTCTGCTTGATGCTTTGGCGAACTCCCCTGTCGGCCTAGCACCTCGTTTAGTTGAAATTGCGTTCTCGGAGGGCAGTGGGCGCTATTCTGTCAAAGATTAGCCACGTTGTAGCCCAGACCTTTATGCAACGTCAAGGCAATCTTCCGCATTATTGATTCGGGCCGCCCATAATACGACCTGTATCAACGATCCCAATATTCTCTTAACATAATCAATAATTGGCTGACACTCCGAACATCCTGAGCCTCATGTCAACAGTGCGAGTCGTAGGCTCCTAGTGCATAGTGCAGAAAGTGATTCAGTGCACGCAACTCCGCACTGTAATCATCTGTCGACGTCGGCCTTTCGAGTTTGGAAGTCTTCAGCCTTGTGTCTCAGTTCCTGGGCTTTTCGCAGACACCATGGCGCCGGAAACGTTTAATGTTTTGAAGCGGAAGGACCTTTCCAAACCGAAAAATCCATCAGTGAGGATGGGTGGATGCTGCATCATAAAAGACGTTCGACGTTCCTGAGATGGCGCTCAGAGACACCGACGAAGGAGTTGATGCCGCCTAGGCCGCGTTCAAAACCTTCAAGAAAACTAGTGCTCGACAACGAGCTCGATGACTACGCAAAAGAAGTGACTTGTGTCTCGAGCACCGACCGGCCATCGAGTGCTCAAGATATCCAGACTTGAATAATTAACGGTGATAGTTTTGGGAAATTGAATCCCCTTCAACAATTCCTCGTGGCTACCCGTGTCACCTGGTCCACGGCGGACAGATAGGGAAGGGGATTTCACCAGACATGAAGCAGTTTACTTGGGCTTAGCCGTGAATCGTAGAGGCGACGCCCTGGCAATAAGGACCCTGCATAGGGCGAGTTGTTGACAGCGAACATGGCGTCTACACGTGAATGGCCCAGCTGACGGAGTAACCTGACGGCTTCTCGAGAAAATCCCTGTGGGAGTTCCCTCGATCTCAACGTCAATCAATCAGCGTGTGATTGGCCTTGAGGTTGGAGTTTTGCTGCTTGAAACGAATGATTTCTTTTTCTTTTTTTTCTATGGTCACGAGGAATGTTGGTGCAGCTCTTGCAGTGGTATGTACCACATGAAATGAGAAACGATAATAACAAGGGAGGAAACATCTACCCCCGTCGTTGATCGGCATGAGTTCGACTGTGAAGAGCAAATCCTTGATACGGCTAACGATTGTGTTGTCTGTTTGGGAAGCTTTATTATCACTGAGGATATGGCCCGAGGTTTCAGAGTGGCTGAAGCCTTGGAGCTTTGGTTGGTGCTAATCTTGGAAATCTTGAGTGCGTGTGCGGAGGAGAGTGGGTATGGTACAGAACGCGGGCGGCAAGGTATCGATGAGTACCTGAGTGTGAAATCCATGTTGATCAATGTCGCAAAAGAGGATGGTGTCAGAGGCCCCCGAGATACCGTGTGTGATGCAAATAACAAGGATCATTCCTTCTTCTCTGCCTTGTTCGATTTTTGCTGACTTCCACCTCGAAGTTCTTCGTAAAACAGCATTGCATATCTGGTGAGCAACAAGATAGCAATGGACCTATTTCTTGACTCTGGCGCCTTCATGCCGTTCAGCACTAGATATCGAGCGTCCAGGGCGATTCCAGCTGCAAGCTGCAGCCACCCAGTAACCGGCAATATAGGTCTGAACGCAGACACTCCACCGAAGTAGGCATACATCCAGAAATGGTGGAAGCAATTCAAGAAAGCGAACAACTGCCAGTCGGAAGCATTGAGAACACGAAAGAAGGTCAAGAACGGTGTCGTGATGTGGTGAAATGCCATGTGAGGTCCGATAGACTGTCCGTTGGCAACGAGATTGAAGACATCGATGTATTCGTAGAATTTCGACAGATGATAAACGTATGCGAGGACTGAGCTCTTGATGCCCCTGATTTCATGGAAGTGGTAGACGTCGTTGAGAATGAGGTACGCCAACACCAGAGAGACGACTGAGTATGCCTGACTGTTTAGACGTGTGGTCGTCCGTGCGAAGGGAAATGCGCCATATCGCTCAATGTAACCTCTTAATGTACTCCAGAAAAATACGAAAGGACCGCTGGAGAGGATCACGCTCTGTAGGGAGGTCAGTGGTCTCTCTCCCTCGGTCATCATGATGCGGATGAGCTAGAAGCCGGCTTGTTCGAAGGCGAGGTCCGGCAAGGCAATGCGATGGAAGACGGCAATTTTCAGTATAGGTTGGCGATGCAAATAACAGTTGCACTGATGATGGCTCTCGGAGAAGAGAAGCCAAATATATCTTCTGTCAGTGCGGAGTACTAAACCTGTGTACCGACAGTACATTATCTTCTGCCTGAAGCGAGATGAGTCACACAGGGTAAAATGGATCGAGGTGGGTTGAAGCCGTGTCGATAGTGAACGCTACCGGCAACTACCTGCATCTCGTACTTCGGGTGTTCAACCACTGTTCAAGGATGAAACCCCTCACCGAGTCTCTAAAAAGGAGCATATGTGCAGAGCGATGAAAAGCTGAAATTAGATACTCAGATAACATTGCGCATGACTTGACTGACAGTGAAGGTGCTGAAATGTCCTGCCGAAGTCCTCATGTCTACCTCTAGCTGTTGAGCTCGACTCTTCTCTTCAACACATTCCTAGCATCGGCTTCACTCAAGTGGCGTAGTTCCATGTCTGCCAGTGCCTCTCGTGCCGCTTCATTGCTCTGAAAGATGAGCTTCTCGGCATCCCACAAACCCCAATCCTTGTCCTTGAGGCCGGCGGCGGAAAGAGCTGAATTGCCATCTATGTCCTCATCGAAGCCCCAGCCATCGCCGTCATCACCGTTGTCAACGTTGACGGTTGGCGTTTTATTACCATCGAGAGTAAGAAGAAAGACTGCTTCTTCGAGCCGTCTCATGCTTGATCCAACCACTCCCCGTAGTCTCGTGATCGTCTCTATACTTTGTTCGATTGCCGCCAAGTCTCTCTTCAACTGAGTTGCACCTGCAGCGGAAAAAGTGTGAGACATCACGACGCTGTCGTAGATCTTTCGCTGCGCTGAAGTGCAGTAGTGCTTCGTGATTCGTCGCAAGGAGCTAGGTGCGAGGATCTTGGCAAGATAGCCCAGCAGCATTGACGTGGTTTGGAGGAACCCGTCCAGACTCGCGGATGGACTCAACGAGGCGAAGTCTGATGGCGTGGAGGCAAGAGAAGACCATTGCGCGTATTTTGCGTAAGATTCAATAGCACCTTTCAAGTTGACGTCGAACATCCGAAGGATCTCCTCTTCGCTACGTTCTCGCAACCGTCGATACGCCAGAGCAGTCTGGTCAAACAGTCCACTTCCATCGGTATCGGCATCGTCATCGAGGCTGTTTGATTTGATGGTGTTGGAAGTTCTGGCGGCCACTTCATCTACGTTCAGCCCTGAACCGACTGACGCAGCACCATTACTATTAGCTTTCGCGCGGTATTGCAGCTCATCCCAAAGCTCCAAGAAGAAGACATCGTCGCTCCAATCAGACATCTTGCGTTGGAGAAACTCCGCGCTCCCATGGATCTTGGCTAATGATTCAAGCCCTTTTAGACCAAAAGCATGTGATTCAGTTTGACCTTGCAGGAGTCGACCTGCCGTGTGCGAGGACACAAGGTATGCCTGCAAGGCACCATGGAGATGATTATGGTAATCGTCGAAAATGGACAGTTGGACCTCTAGCAGGAATTTCATTCTCTGGCTGAAAGACGCAAGGCCGCGATATCGATCAGTGATGGTTTCGAGCAAATCATTGACTCTAATGGCTCCCTTGGTAGGTTTTGTCTGGGTAGAGCCGTCGTCAAAATCGATGTCTCCGCTGTCAGGAGCATCTCGAATCTCTTTGTATCGTGTGAGTGCAAAATCCCTTTCCACCGCGAGCCATGCACCAAAGTAACCATGAGTGTTCAATACATTCCAGGTGATGCCCTTCCAGTCGGTCAGCATCCTAGGAATAGGTACGTAGCCCCAGGCATCGCGAATTGCAGTATCGAATCCCATCAGTTCATGCATAAAGTGGGACAGTAGTTGCGGTTGTTGGGATATTTGAGGGAGGAATGATAGGCATTTCTCAAGAACGAGGGGTAGCAACGCCGTTATAAAGGTTGAGATGGCATCGGTATAAATGGTCTCCAAGACCTCAGAGTTCGCAGCTCGCTCATCCAATATGGGACCAAGCATGTCCGACATGAACCCACTGTGTCTGTGGAGAAGATCCAAGATGTGGTTGAGGAAATATTCGGGTTTGTCCAGTCGATTAGTTGGCCTCTCTCCGTAAAAGTGGTAGTGAAACCTTGCGGCAAGTGGGCGCGCCATCACCTCAACAGGGAGTAAGATAACAGGTTCCGTAGTCACAGGAGACTTGAAGCCCTCCCTGTGGGCAAACACTGATACCAAATCGGGATCTTGCAAAGCAAGAAGGAGTCGTACTTGTTGATGCCATTGATCCCGGACATTCCCCAACAGATTCAGCTCCTTCCTGGGCCATTTCATCTGCTCCAGCGTCTTGTTAAGGTCATCTTCCAATTTTTGCTTCAGTTTCTCATATAGTACTTGATTTTGTCTCTCCAACTCGTACACCAGTTGGGGTGCGGCGCCCTCTGCGGCTATTTGCGCATCTTGGACTTTCGCCAGTATATTTCTGAACTCGAGGTATGACTGAAGCGAGATGTGCGGTTGCGAGAAGAGCTTGTCTGTCACCTGGTTGCTCAACGTATTCACTCGATGAATCAAGTCAAGATATCCTCGAGCTATCTCCAAGTTGCGGACCTTGCCCATTCGCTCTTCAATATTCTTGGCTGCATCATCACTGACATCTGTTTGTGCTAACGACTGTAATCGTCTGTCGACGGCCGCCTTTCGAGTTTGAAAGCCTTCAGCCTTGTGTCTCAGTTCCTGGGTTTGCTGTTCGACCCGAGTTTGGGCGTCCTTATGGCTTTTCTTCGCATCTGCCAACTAGAGGCGTGTCAGAAATCGCAGAAATCTCAGAAAATCTGAGCAATAGGAAGCCTAACCTGCTGTTTCAGTAAGTTCTGCTGCACTTGAACTTGTTGGAGGAGATTGTCCAGCTGGTCGAGATCGGCAGCAGTTTGTATCTTGTCATTGAGGTAATCTTCGACTCGAGTACGAATTTCAGAAGTTCTAGACAAATGTAGCTCGGCCATGGCTAAGAATATACGACGAAGGTGGTGCTTGATCGCAAACTCACCCTGCGCTTACTGGGGAGCTGAAAGCCTTGGGCTGGTGAAAGTGCAGGGTTGATGAAATTCGTACATATTTGTCCTCCGCATTTGGCTCTAACACGCGTCATCGCAGTTGGAGATTCTCAGACGCGGCGATGACGCTTAAACCGCAACATCTACAAGTTTCAATAAATAATCTGCGCCGCCTCACGCGCCATCAAGACAAAATGCTCGACTTGTACGCATAAATCTGTATTATCGCACGTGCGATATTGCTGGTGCCCAACATGGAGAGCCCCTCCAAGAGAAGAAAGAAGAATGACAGCAAACCCACTCCAGTCGCTCATCGCAGTCTCGACTTCTTCTTCCGCAAACAGGGCCTTTCGAACGGAGTCAATTCCACTTCCAAGCAGAATGGGGCCCCGGGGAAGCCAGCCAATATTGACGAGGACCAGTCTTTTTCGGAACAATCACTAACAGACGAAGAGCTGGCAAGAAAGTTGCAGGAAGAATGGGCAAGAGAAGACGGACAAGGCAATGGGAAGGTTAGAGACAGCGAAGAACGATCGGCCCGAACCCATGCTGAAGAAATAGAACACAACATGGAAGATGACAAAAAAGACTTCGTGACGGCGGCACTCGACAACTCTAATCAAGCTTTTCAAGCAGCCCCCCTTGAAAAGAACAAGGGTGTGTTGGGATTGCAGTCCACGGCCTCAGACGAAGACAAGATCACGTTGACATTGCCCTTTGACCAAAGCCCGCTGACATTTGACCCTTCACAGTATGTGTCCGAGTTGAAAACTCATTGGGCGGCCGATGGTGGCGATGCTTCCTATGCTTTGCTTACTCGGTGCTTCTATCTTGTCAACTCCACTCAAAGCCGGATCAAGATAGTCGACACTCTGGTCAATTGTTTGCGGCTCATTATAGAAGCCGACCCCTCAAGTTTACTTCCTGCAGTGTGGCTGGCCACGAACTCGATCGCACCTCCTTATATCTCTCTCGAGCTGGGCCTCGGCGGCTCGGCCATCTCGAAGGCCTTGAAGAAAGTATGTGGTCTTGATGGTACAGGGCTGAAAACCCTGTACGACAAGCACGGAGATGCTGGGGACGTTGCTTTCGAGGCCAAAAAGAAACAGAGCTTCACTCTTAGGAAGCCGAAACCTCTTACCATCAAGGGAGCATATCAGACACTGGTCAAAATCGCGAACAGCAAAGGCCATGGCAGTGTAGAGCAGAAGCAACGACTAGTGGAGCGCTTGCTCCAAGATGCCCGCGGCCCAGAAGAAAGCCGGTACATAGTGAGGACCTTGGTCCAACATCTCAGAATAGGGGCCGTAAAAACCACGATGCTGATCGCGCTTGCTCGAGCCTTTCGAATTTCACGTCCACAGGGAGCGGATTTCCCCATCATGGATGTATCCGAACTGGCATTACTGAAGAAGGAAGATTTAGCCGTGGTGTGGTCCAAAGCAGAAGAGGTGGTGAAGACTTGCTTTGCACGGCGCCCGAACTACAACGATCTCGTACCTGGGCTGCTGGAAGTCGGTGTGTCAGATGAGTTACTCTTGCGCTGCGGGTTAGCTCTTCATATCCCTCTTCGACCCATGCTGGGCAGCATCACTCGAGATCTGAGTGAGATGCTCACAAAACTTCAAGGTCGAGACTTCAGTTGTGAGTACAAATACGATGGCCAGAGAGCTCAGGTACATTGCGACGAAGCAGGAAAGGTTTCGATATTCTCTCGTCATCTCGAAGTCATGACAGACAAGTACCCTGATCTGGTCGCCCTTGTGCCCGAGATTCGAGGCGATGGAGTGTCAAGCTTCATCTTGGAAGGCGAAGTCGTCGCTGTTGATCGCAAGTCTGGGGAATTGAAGACTTTTCAGACCCTCACGAACCGCGCCAAAAAGGACGTCGACTTGTCCTCCATCCAGATTGACGTATGCTTGTTTGCCTTCGATTTGATGTTTTTAAACGGTGAACCACTGCTGGATCGCCCGTTTCGCGAGCGTCGTGGATTACTTCGCAGCATGTTTGTAGAAAAAGAACACCACTTTACATGGGTGAGAAGCATCGATGCAACTTCAGCTGACTCCGAGGCTGTCCTCGAGTTTTTCAAGTCTGCAACCGATATAAAATGCGAAGGCATCATGGTCAAGGTCTTGGATAATCTCCCAAATCCTGATCTTGTTGGTGAAGAATTAGAACAAGCTGAAATTGATGACACGACCGCTCTAGCGCCAGCTACGCCAACCAAGAAGGGCAAGAAACCAAGCAAGAAATCTCAAGGGGAGAAGGAACAGGACAAGGAGAAAGGGACTCGCCGCAAAGCCCTCCTTTCGACCTACGAACCTGATAAACGCCTTGATTCTTGGTTGAAAGTGAAGAAGGACTATGCCACCTCCGCAGACACCATCGACCTGATCCCAGTTGCTGGTTGGCACGGCCAGGGCCGAAAGGCGAAATGGTGGTCGCCGATACTCCTGGCTTGTCGAAATCCGCAGACTGGCTCACTTGAAGTTGTCACAAAGTGCATTTCTGGCTTTACAGATAAGTTTTATCAAACCAACAAGGAGAAGTACGCCGAGGGAGGCGACAATGTGCTCGGATCCAAGCCGAGCTATATTGAATACAGTGCCTACGAGCCAGATGTATGGTTTGAACCTCAAGAAGTCTGGGAAATGGCATTTGCAGACATCACTCTCAGCCCAACCTATACCGCCGCTATTGGACTGGTCAACGAGGATCGTGGTCTCAGCATGCGCTTCCCTCGCTTTCTGAAGATTCGGGAGGACAAGAGCATCGAAGAAGCAAGCACATCAGAATTTCTCGCGAACCTATATCGCAAACAGGAGGCACGGATTCAAGCTACAGGTGGCCCGCCACATGACGGTGGAGGCGAAGAGGATGAAGACATTGATGAATGACAAGAATAGATACCCCTTACTAGCTTTGATACCTTGTTGATATATGTCTACACAATAGGTGATGAGATTGGAGTATGCAGCCTGATGGAATTCTTGAGACCAAACATCAAGGCGCCAGGCAGCATACTGCGTTTACCTGTAAGTGGTCTCTTATATGAACTGTCTCTAACTGCTGAACCACCCAAGCAACTATCAGTGCTTCGGGCAATTAATGGGGACTTTCTACCTTACCTAGGTAGGTGGGTATACAATACCTTGTTGCACTCGGTAGTGACAATGGATTGTGCCTAGGACAATGTTATATGCACGATAGTCACGCTAACCCCAAACCTCGCCCGCATTTCACTTGACCTTTCATCTGCCCTCCACTGTACGTCCATGCGCTTACATGTCTCGCCTGTGCACAACATCGACAGCACAGAATTTCTCCGCATGCCACCTACATTCCTGTACCTCTTCATTCCTCCTTTGCCGCGAAATCCATTCGGGTTCGGGTCCCGGCGCTTCTGAGCGCAAGGGCTTCAGCCATGCGTCTTCATCTTCACATCCTTCGAAATGCTCTTCCTCCGGTTCAGATAATTTTCACAACGGGCACCGGCCCTTTGAGTCACACGAGAGACAAGGACTGCACCGTTGCAGATCTGCTGGCTGATATCAATGTTATTGTGCCGCTGGAATCGAGCGACGGAGAATGGGGACTTGAAGACTACGTTGTTGAAGTTGCACCGGCTTTATCTCCCTCTACAGCCTTGGTGAGTTATGGCGGTGGCTCAGGAAGAGACAGAGTACTACGAGGACAAACCCATGGAGGCCCTGGCGGTTATGAATGTCTACACTACGCTACAATAGAAGCCGTCTTGAGAGAAGATGACGAAGTTACAATACGCCCACTCAGTTCGGATGAGTTGAGGCTGCGGCGCTTAGGTGGCAGACATCAGATCACTGGTGATGGGAGGCATTTGGTCGATGGAGTAGCCTTTGGCAAGAGATGGCTGAGGGCTGGGACGTCAAGGCCCGGGATTCTGATTCCTCCGAGAAAACGACGACGAATGTTGCCAGCAGAAGACGAGGACGGTGAAGAAGACATTAAACAAATCCTTCCACGCAATTGGGACACCCATGATCACAACAGCGGCACGCTTGTAAGGTTTACAGAGGATGATGAGGACGACGACGATTATGACGATTCTAGCTACGAGGAGAGTGACGACGACCAGCTAGAGCCTGACGAGCAGCCTGACTTCGACGAGGTCGGAGATAAGGATCGCCTGCAGATTGCGCTCCGAGAAGAATTCGATGACGCCGACGTTGATCCCGAATCGGCGGAAGAAGATGAGCTTCAGGACTGGAATCAAGACGTTGAGGAGCATGATGAGTCTCTTCTTACCGACAATGACGACCTATCTGAAGAGGTCAAACTTCTACTTAAAGATGCCGAATATGTTGCTCAAGCTGGTGGTGGACGTGCTTCACGGAAAGTGCTCGAAAGAACACTCAAGAGAAAACGAGACGTTGCTGATGATGGAGACCGGTATGATGGCGATATATTCGAGGGGTTTTCCACGCCTCAAAAAGGTTCTAAACAGAAGCCAATAGGCACCGAATGCTACACCGATGGTGTCACATCTTCTTCTGGATCTGACACATCGCCGAGTGATTTTGAGGGTCCCGACACAGAAACAAGATCGAGTCCAGTATTGCCACCTGAGCCTGATGAAGCAGACACAAGCTCTGAGTTTGAGTCCACAATTTCGTCTTCGGACTCTGATGACGATAGTGGTAGTGAGGATGTTGTCATGGAAGAAGCGAAGAAGCGGGCGCTGGCTCTGATGAATGGCTTCGGGAATGAAGCTTCGAATAAGCCTAGAGAGAATGCTTCATCTACCGAGACGAAAGGGAAAGAGCAGGAAGACGCAGGTTCATCCGATGACGATGATATGTCTAGCTCCGAGGAAGATTCTAGCGAGGCTTCTAGTTCGGACTCGGAAGCCGACACCGACTCTGGGTCCGAAGCTTCTGATTTGGAGTCTCAAAAGGACAGAAATGTCGTTGCAGGAAGACCAACACTTGTGTCTTCAAAGCCAGCGCCACCTATTGAAACGCCTCCGTTCAAGCCGATACAGCTGTCTGAAAAGCGTCCCGCCGTTGCCCCTGGCCAAGGCTTGTCGAGAACTCATAGGAACAATGAGAGGATGAAAAAGAAAAAGAAATTGGCTCTCTTGAAGTCAAGCGGTGTGCTCCCTCCAGAAGCTGATTTTAGGGCCTTGACTGAATACGAGGATGCTCAAAATAAGCCCAGTGAGCAGGGTAGGATTGATGCCGCAGCCCCTGAAACACCTGCAGCGGGCATAGAGACTGCGATTGAAGACGTTGAGAGGACGATGACTGTCGAAGCAGGAAGAAATGCAGTCTCCCTCGACGATACTGCGGAAGCTGAAGAGGTTGCAAGGGAACCTACCACAGATACGCCGAAATCTATGACACATGAGCCAGAGCTGACCGCACAATCAGCTTCCAAAAGAGCCAGACTAGACTTGGCAAGCTCTAGAAGAATGCTGTTTTCCTCACTCGGCTTAAGGACGCCGAAGACGAAAGAGGCCGAGCAAGCGTTGAGGGAGAAACTTTCGAAACCTGTCAGACCAGCCGCGCAAGCTACAAGTTCTACTAACGAAGCTTCTCCTAGTTCGCAGACGAGAATCGAAGATTGGGATATCTGGAGAGACAAATTGGTAGTCTCAGCGGTAGAATGTGAAGGAGAAGGGGGAACTCTCGACCCACCACCATTTCCGTTTCAGCAAGGCTGGATGAGACGTAATGGCACCAATAAAAAGAGAAAAATGCGTGACCAAGAGCAGTATTATCAAGCCACGAATGATCTATCGCAAGACTACGATAAGGGCGCAAAGAATTCTGATGCTTCTGCGTTGAATTATGATGACGACCAGAACCAGACATCAATCGAACCATCGCATGAGTCGGAAACACCAGACCAAACTTCTGCTAAGGCGATCCCCGATGTCGAGAATTTACCGACTCTGCAGAAGGAGGACGCCGTTCCTGGTGCAACCATTGCGTACAAAGAATTGCACGTGGATGCGTCAACAAACTGGCAACCCGAGATTTCCTCATACCGTGTTGGGGAGATTTCCCACGCTGATCCTGACGGAACTATTCGCCTGCAGCTAGACCCGAGCTCTCAGAAGATCGCTTCAAGAACAGCAGTCAATGATCAAGGGCAAACGACACATGGGTTCGAAATCACAGATGACGAGCCCGAGGAGGCAGATGATGGCAGTCGTGAGATCCAATTTTCAGATTTGATATCTCCCAAGCTCGTCAAGGCTTCCTCGATAGAAGTTCCTGAGAGCAGTCATAGGAAACGAGTTGGCCTTCATGGTGGGGACTCGACTGATGAGTGTTTTGCAGTGGTGCCAGAATCCGCCGAGCGTGAAGTCGATAACCAAGAAAGTGAGGCGCCTCATATCACTGTTGAGATTGATACTCCTCGTCGACAAGAAATTACTGCAATGATACGGGATGCCGGATTTGACTCTGCCTTAGATGAGCAGCTGCTACACCCCGTGTCGAACATTGAGCGGCAGCTTCGAAGGTCTCAAAGCCCTGCCCGCGAATCCAGCAGGGTCCATGGTGAAGATTTTCATGACCTGCACAGCAGATCACCACGCCTGGACTTGGGCCCATCCGGGAACCCTCGGTCTTCTCTTCTTGGAGGCGAATCCTCTCCCCCTCTCACAGACAATGCCAACCCTAGTTCGGAGATAGGTGACGAGCCCATATCTTCGTCACCATTCATCCACACGCAAGAGACGGTGGAATACCCGCATATATCCCAGATGAATATTAGCTCTTCTGGAAGGGCACCAAAAAACGACAGCAGCTCACACCAAGACGCCCAGAAGCTTTCCCCTGCTCCGGCACTAGAGTTGTCTTTTGATAGCTTCGAAAGCAACAGAGGTGAAAGCGCTGTCAGTGCTGCTGTCACTGCCAGTGAGGAGGCTTATGTCGATGACGACTATGAGCCGTCAGTTCACGTGGAGGAGCCCGTTGCCAACGGCCACGACGCCGTAGACTCCGATACCAGTGCTGAGAAGTCAGGCTCATCCACAAGGTCTTCTGCTCCCAATTCAGAAGTACCCCAGTCTCAGTCGCAATCTCAATCTCAGTCCCAACCACAGCAAGAATCTTTTGAGCGTCAGGATTCTTTTTTAGGCGGAACTGGCTACGATGGACACGATTCATCGTACCATGACGACAGCGATGCCTACAGCAGTGACGACCTTCCTTCCTTGAGCGAAATCACCTCGAGTCAACTTTCTCGGCGCGGTCCTCCTGCTAAGACTACGCGTTCGAGCATCAAGAAATTCTCGCGCGTACAGACGAGAACATCTCTTCGCAATGCAACCACGAACGGAAGCCCGAAGAACAAGTCACCGACACCGCTGAGTAGTCCGGCACCTGACCTGCCTCCTTCCAGTCAGGCTGAGTTCAAGCTTTCACAAAGTCAGGAGCCGAGGATGTCGCAGATCCCCAGTGGAACACCGATCGTCGACCTTACTGTGTCAAGCGGGGTGTCTAGCCCGGCACAATCTCAAGGTCAAGGTGATAATGATGATCACCGTGACGATCACGAGGAGCATGTGAAGAGCAAGAGTGAAGAGTCTGTGAACGGACATCGATACGCAAATGGCCAGTCGCAGGGAGTAAGCAAGACGAGCAGAAAACCGAGTGTCAGCGGTGTTGGAACGAGGAGACTGCTTACGACCAAGAAGAGAAATTACTTTTAGAAGTGCTTTGTACCTAAAGGTTAGGGTGGGCGGGTGCTACCTATGCAAGCCCAGCCCGCGTCCGGAGACGTGCGTACATACATGCCTACATGGGGAGGAGGCATACGGCGAAACTCTTTCCCGCGTCTGGTCCTGTTGCTGTGTACCTAGACACTCGGGGGGCAGGTACTTGAGAATGGTACGTACCAAGGTACATACGTGCCTCGGAGCACTTAATAGTAATAATGAATTGAAAAGGACCAATCACTAAGTTAGGTACGTAGTGAGAAAACCTCGCATGGGGCCTTTTACCATGACAAATGGCAAGGAGCATCGATGGATCATCTTTTCCTTGCTAGGAGTAAGAGCAAGGGCGTGCAGTGAAAGTGCGTTCGATTTGTTTCAAGATGGAGAGAGCACGATACCTGACTCTGCGCGGTATACGATACGATATGCTCCCGGCGAGCTCAAAAATACGACCTGGTGGGACCAGTCGAGTCCAAGGCCAGTGTGCTTGACTGAAGTAAGGTAAGGCGCCTACTTACCCCCACCCCCCTCCCACCGATGTATTCCCTGGTCAGTCACTAAAGCCCTCCCACGACTCCTCTCCGCGTGTTGAGGGCTCCCTGGCTCCCGCCGCTGCTCGATCCGCCGATTGTTGTCCCTTATAATTACGATCTCGACTCGTGGACCGGACGAAACCACACACGAAGAAGCCCATGGTACCCTCGTCGTCGTCTCGGTGGCATCGAATACACGCTTCGAGCGCATCCGGCGTCAACAGAGGCGACGGTGACGGCGACGGCGACTTGCCATCGTCGCTCTCTGCGTCTGTGGCGGTGGCGGTGGCGGTGGCGGTGACGAGACAACCCCGATGTTTCCACTCGCGTAGACCAGCGACTTGCTCGTGTCGTCGGAGGACAGACCACCCTCTGTCTTTGGCCACGTCCGAGTCGAGCACTTTGGAAACCACGGCTTCATTCTCTGCGACGTGTATGGAACACGTGGAATACGTCACTCGCACTGCGGCCGGGAAAGACAGGGCGTGTTCGACGATCCGGGACTGTAAAGCAGATAGTCTGGCAAGGCGAACCTCGTCGACAGAAGCGTCTTTGGTCTCTTCGGCGGTGGAACCAGCTACTATTGACGGAGTCTCGAGTTCAGATTCGAGTTCGACGTGAGGTCGTTTTCGCTTCTTCGAGTTCTTGCTCGGGGTGCCACTGCCATTGCTTGCTTTGCTGGGTTTGGAGGCCCGGGGATCCTCGGGGAGTACTAGTGTCGGAGTGTCCTCGCGTCCGATGATGCCACTGCCTGAGCAGGACGGGTCAAGGAGGAGATGGGTGACGTTCTGAAACCGAGGGTCTCGAGGGTCGAGTTTCAGAAAGTCCTGACCGGCGAGAACTGTCACGCTGCTCGCTGCGCCGCTCTTGGCCATCATCATGTCTAGAACCTGGGATCTCTGGCGATCGCGTTCACAGGCATAGACTTTGCTGACAGTATTGTTGGCCTTGCTGGTGGCGTCTTCGGCGAGGAGTGCGGCGAGATGAGAGGTTTTGTTTCCTGGTGCGGCACACCCATCTATGCAGTCACCTATCGCCACTGCTTCGGCCTGGGAGCCCGCGAGGAGATACGCAGGGAAACATGACGCTTTGTCCTGCAGTATGAGTGTCCCGTCCTTGTATGCTTGGGTCTTGGTGAAGTCAGATTCTGGAGGGAGCGCAAGGATATTTGGGATGTTCCGGTCAATGGCTAGCACTTTCGCCGCGGCTGCCGATTGTGAGATCTCGGACAGAGACACATCAGTGCGGTATCCTTTGAACGTGGTGGCCAATTGCTCGGCGACAGTCGACTTCAGAGTGTTCACCCGGATCCATCGCGGCTGTGATCGGGTTCCGCGGCGAGGATTTTCGCGTAAGAGAAATATTTTCAGCGCGTCTGTATTGGCGCATTTTCTCCTTAACCTGGCCTTGGTGAATTCCGCCTGTAACCTCGCCTTGTGTCTATCGATCGATTGCCGCAACGGGTGGTTCGCCGGAGCCGCAATGCCGCGTTTTGAGAAAAAGTGGTCATGAACAAGAAGAAGGGAGAGTATTGGCGTCAACTAGTCAACATGCCACCACGGCTGCGTCAGTCAGTAGTGACACAGAGGCTGTGCTGGGTGTGTTCGTACCTTTGGCTCCGCAGACAAGATGTCTGCATTGTCAACGACCTCCTTGACAAATTGATTGAACTTTGCGGTTTCGGATATCAAAGCGTATATGTGTGCTGGCTTCGACTTGAGATTGAGCTTGTTGCCGTAGATTCTCGACTTGAACGAGCCGTCCTGCGAGTCGCTCGTGAGAACCGTAGCGGCATCGTAGTACAGGGACATTCTAAGCGTGGTTGGGAATGCGAGGACAAGAATCTTCTGAACACCAAAAGAAAGTACCATGTAGTATTTTCGGCCGAGGCTGGCGCAGCCTCGTCCACACTCCGGACATGCAGCGGGCTTTGTGCAAACTCCGAGTAGGGCGTGATTGACGATCTGCTCGTCTCATAATGAAAGATAGGTCTAGAGCATCAGAGTCTGGGTATTTAGCACTCGAATTCGACCTGAAAACTTGGAGTTTGGAGCTTCTTATTTTGCCAAAACTTCTGCTCCATCCTCCTCCAGCTTCTAATCTAAACCGCTGCGGAAATCGAAACATAACTATTCATCTACACTCTGTGGACTCAAAATGGATCTGTCCGACTATAAAGTGGCCATGGTTCCTCCCCCAGGAAGTGTAGTCGCTCCTCATGGCTTTCCAGCAGACGCCCGGCCAAAGGATGCCCCGAAAATCTTCTTGGATGCTATGGACGTACGGATCAAAGTCTTCTGCGACGAACAAAATTGTGCTATCGAGGCCGAGCTGGACGAAGATGACCCTCGATCATGGCACTGGGTTGCATACTATGTTGGAGGATCGGGGCCGGACCAGCCTGTCTCTGTGATCCGTATTGTCCCTCCGCCACATGGTCCCCACCCTAACGGTTTTCATGATCCTGAAGAAGAGCCATATGTCAAGTTAGGACGAGTCGCCACAATACCCCAGGCCCGAGGCAAGGGTCTCAGTCGGCTGTTATCAGAAGCAGCCTTTCAATGGCTGACTGAGCACAAGAGCGAAGTTGGGCATGGCTTCAGTGGATTGATCCTGACACACGCTCAAGTCAATGTCGAGAAGATGTACTCTAAGTTGGGCTTTGTCACGGATGATAAGCTGGGCCGCTGGGTCGAGGAAGGCATTGAACATTTGGGGATGTGGAAGCGTGTATGAACCTGGTTCACGTCACTGCATCAGTTTCTGCCATGCTGCAGTACCCTGTCAGAAGAGCGTAAGCGATTCTCCAAGCATGTCGGCGTCACCTGAGGATGTGTGCAAGGAGGTGAACATCGTGAGCCTTGAAGAGGAAAACACAGATGTCATGGAATCTGATGATCTAGTAAATTGGTGGTCGCGATATCGTTCATTATGGCGACAGTGCTTTTCAGGCGTTCCATGGGGCCCACCGACGCCCTGCATGGATGGGTTGGTGCGGCACACTACGTCCCTAGAGCGGCGTTCCAAGTTCAGGCTCACAATCATCTGGGTGGCGTGACTGAGGGCTGACTTGACGATGCATGCATGGTGCTCTGAGCCTGCAACTTCCAAGAACGAATAGTAGGTAGTAATGGGGGGCTGCCTTCCTTGATATTGATGACAAACCTGACCACTACTAGCGGTTGAGTATAGACAGCCATTTCCTTTTTGTTAGGCTGTTGTGAACGAGACGGACACTTGTGCAGCAGGCAACGACTGTTAGTGCCCATTCTTCGATTGCATTGGGACTCAACCAGATTTCAGTTAGACGGGGAAAGGCGGTCAATTGCAGCGTGAGTGCGTTTATGGATCAGATTCGGGTCTTGTAATTCGTTTGATGCCTTGTTAGCATTGACGGCTGGGAGCACGACGCTATCTAAAGCAACGCAATTCCGCGGTAGGCCCGGCGCCCAGGGAATAGCCTGACAGCTTCGGAACACGCACGCTCTTCATAGTCGCAGAACAGCTTGAAGATAAATGCGTGCGATATCCGGCTCGAAAGTCCCGCGGTTATCAATATATCATGGGGTGACCATTAGACACAGTATTTGCCGAGCCAATTCTTGTTTATATGTACAAACGGATGATATCATGCCTTGTCGTCGAAAGGGTGCATGTTTTATTGTTTCCTGGCCTAAAACTCGCTGATAGTATCGCCCTTAAGCTTCGCTCGCATGTCCCATTTGCCCTGCCGAGTAGATTGTGTTAGTCAGCTTTGCAGAATCAATGACAGCAACTTCTCGCAAGGTTTGACAGCATGATTGTACTCACATCAGTCTTCGCGAATGCATATCCGACAACCGTTGGCACGAAAACCGCATACATGAAGGAGATGAATGCCGTACGAGGAGTCCAGCGAAAGTATCTCCACCGCTCCTTATTTAACTCTGTATTTTCCAAGTCAGCTCATCTTGTTATCCCACCGCTCCGTGACCCTAAACTTGAAAATGGCGTCGTCTGCATTGACCGAGGTCGGAAGGTCGAGGGTTAACATACGATTGTACTTCTCGTAGGCGGGATCGAGGCGAAGAGCTATGAAATGGTCAGTTCAATCATACTCTAGCAGCAATATGAAGTCTAATTCACATACGCGTAGGTCCAGCCATGTTTGGAACCCTTGGGATCGATTGTCGTGGTCTGAGTAGCTCGGTTCGAGACAATGCGACGTTCAATGTCGCTAGAACTTCAGTTTGGAGGAGCATGAGGCTGGTGTTTGCTTGGCGTGGCGGTGCTGGAAGCAGCGCCACAGAAGGATACGCATACGAATGCGAATACGAGTGCTCTGGACAGCCCGTAACATGGATGATATCACATAAGTACGGAGGTATTAGTGACACATTGAACATTAAAAAGGCTAATCTCCCTCGTGCTGTCCTGCACAAGACAAACGATACTGCTATCGTGTCTCCCTGCTTCAAAGAATCTATCTTTCCCCTCGCCTCGTTCGTCTGGGCCCTGGCTCTATCTCTCGTTTGTTGCCAGAGCCATACAAGTTTCAAATTTCGCCCGTGCTGAAATGACCTCGGTCAGCCCAGATGCAGGCGAGACGCCGAAAGTAGTCCTCCATTGGTGAGTAGCAGCCTTCTCCCACAATTCAATTCGCCTTGCGTGCGAACTGTGCGCCTGACACAAGCCAGGCTCGAAGTGTCTCGCTCACATCGCATTCTTTGGTTCTTCGAAGAGATTGGACTCTCATATGAGCTCAAAACATACAAGCGGACCACGGAGGGCCTTGCACCCCAGGAGTTGAAAAAGGTTGATCCTCTAGGCAAGTCTCCAGTCGTGGAGATCTTTCCGCCTGACTCGACCAAACCAATTGTTCTTGCAGAGTCCGCGGCAATCGTCGAGTATTTCTGCGACTATTACGGACGCTGGCTGGTTCCTCCACGATATCCTGACGGCAAAGATGGCCAGATCGGTGGTGAGACTGAAGCCTGGCTACGATACAGAAGGTTCATGCACTATGCGGAGGGTAGTATAATGCCACTGATGTTGTTGGGTGTGATTGTGAACAGTACGTTATTCCTCCATGCAGGTAGTTGTACTAAAGGGATTTCCAGGAATACGCAGCTCCCCGGTTCCATTCTTCATCAAGCCCATTGTTACGGGCGTTGCGAATAAAATTGAAGCCTCCTTCCTCCAGCGCAATTTCAAAACTCACTATGATTTTCTTGAGCATCAGTTAGCCACGGCCCCGGATGGCGGAAACTTCTTATGTGGAAAAGACTTGACGGCCGCGGACATTATGATGTCCTTTCCCTTGGAGGCTGGTGAGAGCCGTTCTGGACTGACCAAAGAACAGTACCCAAGGGTCTGGGCCTATTTGGATAAGCTCCATGATAGAGAGGCCTACAAGCGTGCGGTGGCAAGCATTGTTGAGCGTGAAGGGGAATTTAAAACGACACTCTGATACTCAAAGGATCAACGAATGCAAATAATGGCTGTTACAGAATGATCGCCACAATTTTCAATGGTAAGACTCCATCGAACCATCTCTACCATTGAGTTGTTTGATGGTAGCTTGAGTAAGCTTGATCCAGACTCAGTCTGTCTTCACCAAACCCCAGCGACCTTGGAAGCGCCCCGGCCAGCGACCGATGTTTCAGAGGAGAACCGCTTTGTCGATGCGGCCTGGAAAGAACCATGCTTGAAGCATGCAAGCATTCATGTTGGCTTGTTGTTGGCCTTTGAGCCGAGCCGAGTCTCGAATCAGATGACAAAGATAGCAGGACACATGTGTTATACTTATATCTCTTACATTTACTGTGAACAATCTGACTGTACTGTTGGCCCATTTGGGGCCAAATGATGGTCTTTTTTCTGCGCAAGACCGATAAGAATGATGAAGTCAACTGCAATCGGGGCCAGGCGCCCTCACTCACCGTTGGGGGCCGATTAAAGATACTTCAAAAGATTGGTTGAGGCCTCATTGCAATGGACCACCTGTTGAAGTTGTTGGCCACGTGCTTACACTTGCTGCGGGCCAGCACTGGGCTAAGATCTAGAAATCGTGCAGATATAAAAGACCCCTGTGCAGGATCGACAGGCGTTGTATGTCCCAGAAGAGCACGCAAGTGTCCCTGGCATCCACGCGCCATGCGACTGCTACTATATTGGCTACCTTGAGGAGGCCCGGTAATGGTTTGACGCTGACAGGCACGCACTTAAGAGGGTCTTCCAGTTGTCCCAGAGAACGTCAGGCCTACCAAATCTCCCAAATCGGCTTCCAAATCCAGACTGGTGCTCCCGTCCAAGCCTCATCATCGCTGGGATGAGCTATCATCTACTGGAATGAGTAAAGCTCAGCAACATCTAGGATCAATTCTTCTGGCCCTGATGGTTTCATCGATACACCTCTTGAGATATACTTTCCAGGATTGGCCAACGCATATCATCTAGGCTTCCGGCCACCACGACGATCTTGAGCTACTATACACCCGCCTTTAGCCCCGAAATTACCGGCTTCTCGGCGCGCTGATACCCCTGCAGGCTCCCTGAGCATTCAGAGTGCCTAACTTAGTGTTCGCATAGGGGACAAACAAACATCGTACGCGCTTCCTCGAGGACCTCACTCCTTCGAACACTTCCCTAGCTGTCAAAAATCGATACGGACTATTCATCCTGAGTAGGAAGAGAATCCGAAAATCCTCCACAGTCTGTATCTGAAGTCGAGGCCCCACTGAGGGCTGAGCAACCATTGTGCACGACATCATCTCTAGTAAGTGAAACCCTCGTAACCTCTTCTTTCTTATTCCTAGTCACCTCTCCCATTTCTCGAGCTGATTGACTTTGATGGCGCCGGCTCTTGGTAATCGACGTGCGTCATAAGACTCCTCCCAGCACACTTGTCAGACCTCTCAAACCAATGACACTTCCAGTTAATTGTATGACTCAGGGCTTACTCATCGCACAAGTTGAGGCAAGGGCCTTCGCATTTCTGCCATCTCTAGCAGACTGTCACGCCAGCAAAGAGTCCGCTAGACGCACCAACTCAAGCGAGAGTGCGTTGTGTGCTGCTAGCAAGCCTACTCGAGACCGTCCACGCTGTTTCTATCAGGGGATCTGTGTTCGCATAACGCAGACAGCCAGAACCACCATTCGAGACGCCAGCAGCCTTTCCGTCGACCCACTGCCGACATCCCGGACAGAAACAAAGAACAAATCCCTGGCCAATGGCCCCTCATGGGTGACGATAGCTTTGGGAGTACTCGTCGACCCCGATCATCTGCCCGAAAGGTACGTAAACCCGTTGCGCAGCGTCTTGGACAGTTGGCCGGTGCCAGCCTTCGTGACTGCGGCCGCTAAATGGAGCCATTGCAGGGGGGTTTACGGGCCTTGCTGATTGATGAGCTACTGTATCTCTCCATCTGAGGATGGACCCACACGCGACGTCTGCATCTGATGGCAGTATCACACGTTCGGATACGACTAAAGCCAGCCTGATTATTTCCCCAGCCATCTCCATTTCTTCAACGTCAGATAGGCGTCGCACGGGTGCCAGTGCGCCCGCCAGTAGCCCTGCCCTGTCGCCGGGAGCAATTTTTCAAGCTACTAATCATTACAGTACAACAGCCCATCCCGATGCATTCTCAGCCATCTCTAACCGGGACACCGAGCCTGCTGACACCGCTGATCCTTCCCCAGACACGCGACCTAACTTTCTTCCTCAGGATCCAGAGTATCCGACCATCAGTGTACATGAGACTCACCCTCGACCCCCAGCTCCTTCCAATACCGATGCATCTGAGGCACCTAGCTATACCCTAGGCTTCCCAAGCTTTGGATCTCAGCCCTGGATCAGCCATTCTCGGCCTACGCTAGACTTTGCACCTCAACCAATATATGAGCCGACGGGAGAATTACTGCGCGAACATACTCATACCTTTGATGAATTTGACGCACCCTTTCTTCCAGAATTTACGACCGCGCTCTCCGCATCTCCGATTCATCCGTCAAAGCCGTCCACAAGTGCAGCAGGAACGAGTAGTGCTCCCAATGCCGCTGGCGCGGTAGCGACGTTTGTTCAACCGTCCCTTCCTCGATCAGCTCTGAAGCGAAAGTCAAGCTCTACCACGACGACCCCGACCGCCGACAAGAAGGTACGGGTTTCGTCTGAGCCGGTAGCTCCGTCAGGTATTGACTCTGCTGTCCTAAACATTCATTCTGCCAATTTTGAGCGAATGTCAGGCATCGGCCCAACGTCCCCTGATGAAGGATCTACCTCTTCAGACCTCCCTACTGGCTCCAGGCAGGTCCCGACCTCAGGTATTACTACCAGCCAACATCGGACGCGGCAGCCATCAGAGACGACTACACGACCACCCCTGAATCCGGCGAATTCATCGCAGACATCAGCTAGGCAGAGGCCGAGTGGTAATCGCACCTCTACAGCTCATCCGCCTTCAATTCTACCACCAGAGAAAGTATTTCCTATTCAGATAGGATCAGAGCTATTCAGGCTATCTGGGGCTTCCATATCGTCAGATGGTGCGCCCGTCACTCTAGTAAAAGACAGTACAGCTCCCCGCTAACTCTTTGTTGTAGCGCCGTCCTACTTCACACAGTTTTTTGAGGAACAAATTAGGCAGAATGAGGAGTCTGGAGGCGTCAGGACCCTCTACATTGACAGAGACCCTGCTACGTTTCGAGATGTAGCCCGGCATTTGCAAGGTCAGACAATTTCTGAGATAGCCTCACATTGCTGATTGATTACAAGGTTACCACGTCAAACCCGTGGACGGCAGTCATTTCGTAAAATTGTTTGCAGATGCACAGTTCTACAGCTGTAAGTTGTTTGAATACGTGACTCCATCAACTAATCTCTTCTCAGTGCCACGTCTCATCGATCAATTATTCGAGTCCGAGATCTACATTCAGATAGGAGAGCGACATTTCCAGATACCCAAGGATATCTTCTCAGAACCAGGAAACTCGCCCAACTTCTTTTCACTTGGATTTGCGGTTTTCTTTTCGACTCCCGGAGAAGTTTTCCCCGGCCTCGATCGGCGCGGTCTACTTCGACCACCGTCCATCACGCCCCCGTATGTGCCAGGCCGGTCTGCCGATATCTTTGCGGAACTCCTACATCTTTTGCGAGGCTATCCACTCGACATCCGAAACGAATGCCACCGAGCCGAATTACTACGCGACTGCCGATACTTCCACCTACGAGGCCTCGAACAGAAAATCATTGCCCACGAGATCAGTTACAATTCCGAGAGACAAAAGCAGGAGATATGTTTGAGGCTGGAGGATGTGAAGCCATCAGGGGTATCATACAGTAGCGACGATTCATCTGGAGACAAAGCTACTGTTGGAGGATGGGTCTACTACGCAAGACCATTTGTAGACGATACTTCGTACGAGATGGTTGTGGAAGTGGGCAACGAAAGCACTACTCTCGATTTGACCGGTATGAGAGCCGACTTTCACGGTCTCGCAAAGGCCCGAGTGTCTTCCTTGTTCCAGGTCGTCGCCAACAAGATGAATCTACCTACAAATGCCCCATTGGGGTTGATGATGCTTTCTGGAGGCCATTCGTCACAGTCAGCGAGTCCAGGGCACACGCCACTGAGTGAGGACCGAGTAAAAGTCCGCTTCGAGCCTGCAACGGACATCACCCTGGATGGGGAGCCGTACACGATTGACTGGGACAGCCCTGCCGGGCAGATCATGCAGCATGGTCCATCTATGGCTCCTAGCGAGTCCGAGTCGGAATCAGACATCATGAGCGAAGGGCCATCTTCCAAGGCAACAGCATCCACGCAAAATCGTCGAACCCAGATCCGACAAACTCAACCTGGTTCAACATCGCAGGTTAGTGGCACCCGATCTCTCCCAGTGCCACCCATCCAAACAAGTCGACTCACCGAACCTTCGACCAAGAAGAGAAAAAGACAAAGCAGCCAAGGTGATCTTGGGGAGTGGGCGATCAGAACGGGTCAGTGGCGCTTGCGAGTGCAACCTAACCAGCAAGATACAATAAGAGGTGGATACGAGATGGTCTTCATCGGTGTAAAGATCGATGCTTACTCGAGCGAAAGGGCACGCAACGCCAGACGTGGCTTCCTAAATTAAACTCGACACGTCCAACTAACAAGACTCATCCTACACAATTACCTCGGCATGCAACCTTGGTAAGGTTCGATGAAGTTGGCGGTGGTGGTCTGAGATTGTGCCACCAATGGTCAGATCGGGTAGTTCTTCGGAGTCAAATGAGGACGAGTGAATCGATGGTCATCTCGTTGCTCGGATTCTGTAGAGTGGGCCACGCCACCTTCGACATGGATATGAGCAAATAATAGCCTAAGAGTGGCATATGGCGACATACAGACAAGAGCATATTTTCCCCTTCGGGCCTCTCCTGGGATCTAGTATCTACCGGACAAGCAACGCGTGACGCAGCAAAAATCCGTTCTCAAGTTGAACTCGAGCATCTTGAATTCCCTTTTTACGACGAAACGGCTGGTAGAAAATGCATTGCGAAATGACTTTGCTTTGTGTCTCCCCATTCTCCATCTATCTCATCTCATATGGGTCCGGTATACTAAAATCACTTGCTCCTCGGTCGTGCATGAGCATGCAGGCATACCTGGGGAATTGGATATTGCAAAGTGGGTGCAAAGGGAGTGTTTCATAGTATGCATATGGAAAACGACATTGACTTTGCAAGGAGTCTGGATAGTACTACAGTGACTTCTTCAGACAGAGAACCCTGCCAGGATCAGCATCATCGATTAATCAGTCAGTCAATCAATCAAAGTGAGGTGGCACGGGGTGCATTTGTCGATAATAGGAGTAAAGCGAGACAAAGTACAGCGTCGGAGATTCATGTTCCTAGAGACGCAAAGCATGCAGTGCATGCCACACTATACCTACCTAGTAGCATGTAATATATACATTATTTCCAATCTCTTCAGGATCCACCATCGAAGGCGCGTGTCCGGTCAAAAAAAGAGAGGATAAAAGAAGTTATTTACTGTGGTGACACACACCAAGACGTCGCCGAGACCGTTTCAGCGGTCGTTCAAGAATCAAGTCAGTGTACCTCTCTCTGTATGGGTTCTTTTGAAGTTCATCTCCTTCAGGTTACGGTGGTCTTGCTAGTCTGATAGAGAGAGATCCGGGGACGGAATTTTGGAACCAAAAGAAAATGGCAAGCTCAAAAAAACACGAAAGAGAGAAAAGTCAAGGCGAATAAACAGACAGAGATGACACGCAGACTTCTAACCAGAGTGCGCGAAGGAGTCAGGATACGAGGTGGCGGAGAGTGTTGTTTCTGACTGATCAGTGGCGTGCCTGTGCATGGATCCTTCCATTCTTCATCGAGGATGCGAGACATTCCTTCTCCGTTATTCTTCTTGTAGTGGTGTTCCTCGGAAAACTCTTGAGGCTCAAATCGTCGACACCAGACCTTACAACCCCATCAGCGTCGACACCTGGTCCGTCCGGATGGATCCTTTGCTTTTCTTCTCAGTCTGGCCGGCGCCACCGGAGGACCTTGGACCAGGAGCATGACGAATAAGGGTAATAATATTAATATTGGAAGAACTCTTTCCGTCATCGTCTGTGCCGCTGACGGGGATGAAACAGATAGACCGAGTAGAGTGCTTTTCGTGAGTGTGAGGACTTGAATTTGGGTTGATGCGAGACACGCAGGCAAAAAACAAACAAACAAACAAACAAACATAAAACGTCCATGCGATTTTGATTGGCCTCGGTTGGTCAGCTACCATGAGTGCTTGTTGCCACAGTGTTGATAGAGTCAGCAATCGTGTATCGGATGGCAACTTTGACCTTGACCTTGAATTTGAGTTCGACCGTGCATGCGACTCTGACTAGTATGGTGTTGATTTTGGTATACTTGACGACATCACGCAACACTGAAAAATGCCCGCCCGTGAACGGATGCAGGGCTCTGGCCTTCCCAAACAAAGCTAATGTTTTTGAGTAGACCGCGGGGAAAGAACTCTCGATCAGGCCGGTATCAATCCATTCGACGATTTATTTCCCACAGAAACTCGTCCTTGTATGCCGCCACAATCCGGTGGTGTGATAAGTTCAGAAGGCGTGTCTGTGGATGCTATCGCAATGTCATCTTCGACTCATGCCCTGGTTGATGACTGGGCTTCCTGAGATCCAGAAGCGAACAGGGGGACCCTGAAGCCAAGCAGTGTAGTGTAGACTTCTGCGTGCTGTGGGCAGCGTTCTCCGGCTTTTGTCTCCATATTCCTATTTGGGTAGTAATCGGATAAACTGTACGAACGCCGGGGCGGAGCCAAGCCAACTCTCACCCTTGCCCTCACCGTCACCTTCGTAGAGGGAAAACTTAAAGTGTCCAACATACAGTAGTTACTGTACGTGGGAAGAGGTGCTGAGCAGGCGCTGGACATCGCTTGCATCGCTCGAGTCGCTTGGGACGATTAGAATGTATAGCTCCACTCCGAAGGGTTTGCTCGTCACTGCTTAGATCCTTCTGGCCTGTTTGTATTGGCGCGGGACTGATGAACAGCCATGAGATAATAGTCCTGGAAGTCGTGGTCCCAGTTTAGCCGAAGCCCAAGGATCAACGAGAGAAAACCAAGCCTGACCTCTGTGGCCGGGAGGGTGGCGTGTGTAAAGTTGTAATCACTGTCCTCATTATAGGCTGTGATGTCTGGGGGCCCGCCAATGCCAGTAAGCGATGGCCGAAAGTAGACTTTGAAACCCAGAGCCTCGTTCGCCTCGATATTTTGTTTTCTTGTGAGAGGCTTTGGCATGATCCGAAATTCCGGTCCGGGTCGATCGGCGAGGACAAGAAGATCGTATACGACGAAGCTTTTATCCACCACCCTGGCGGCGTCTAGCGAAAATGGGCTTGGTGAGAGGCGAAATATTGCCCGCCATCGGCTGCCACCCGTTCTCTTGAAGACTGACCGAATAAGCAATTAAACAGAGAATATGATGACGAGAGGTGAGTGGCGGACGGACACAACGCTGGGATTCCAGAGGCTGACAACTCCACAGAGCGGAAAGGGCGGGAGACGGCGAAGGAATGTACCATACAGAGATGAGGCCGCGGAGGTGAACACAGTCACAGTGGCAACGAAAACCATTTGGTACTAATATCGTCCCCCAAGGGAGGGCAGACCATTCCCGAAACTAAATAGAATAGAGATACAACATCCAACCTCCAAAGGGACCAACAGGGGGCTACCATGAGGTACTGCAGGCGTGCTGGCCGCTCTCATGGATTCCAAACATGACGCCTTGGGACAATAGACTCAGCCAGGTCAGACCGAAGGTGTAAGACAAATTTCGGCGTTCTGGCGCTGAAACGCCCAAGAAAAAAGCTGCTCTGATCGAACGAACCGTCGAAGCCACTTTCGAGTTCTCCTCAACATTTGCTTGTTGTAGTCAAGCATCGGAAATCAGCCGTGTGGCAGCGTCTCTTGTCAGCACGATACCCACTGGGAGCACCGGCGACCGGTTACAGTTGCACGACGTCCGACATGGCCTAGATAAACATGTCTTTACCTGACAGTGGTGCGTAACCGAGAATCTAGGCACTCCAAGCCTTGCCTATCTGATTCCAGGGCGTCTCAGGTAATCAACATGCTTGTTTAAGGAAGTTGCTCGGGCGCCGGGAATTTTCGGTTTGAGCAATCAAAATTAATACGGTGAGCAGTTGATCAAAGATTTCAAAAAATCGTGGTCGACTTTATCGCTGGTCAATAGAGTATTGTAGCTTGTGGAGTCTGAGTGCTAGCCTCCCCTTGCCTCTGTTCCTAACTTCGTCAAGGCTACCTCGTATTGTTGCTTGACCTGGTCATCGTCCACTTTGAGGGCCAGGCGCCTGATTTTGCTGCTCCGATGGAGTTGATGATCATCACCGGTGCTAGCAGATTTCATGCTCTTCCCTCCTATTTCACGCCAGAACCATGCCCCTTCCCGATGCTCAACAATGGTCCATGCCTGACCTTGCTTCCCTGCACGAGCCGTCCTGCCGACTCGATGAACATAAGTCAGCGGACTGGATGGCACATCGTAGGAAATGACATGCTCAAGCCCTGGAACATCCAAGCCACGCGACGCACGATCAGTGCAGATCAGAACATATACTTTTGATCTCCTAAAGGAAGACAGTGCACGCCGTGAAGAAGCCGATGAAGCAGTGCTTCTAGTCAAGGTAGATATTCGAGGGGCAAGTGCTGGCCACAGAAGTGACAACAGTCTCGATAACCTATTGGCCGAGGCTGTCGATCTTGTAAAAACAAGCGCCCGAGGCGTCTCGTTAATGTTGACTCCGTTTCCGTTCTTTCGCCGTGCCTGACGGTTGGGCGTAGGCTGCTCTGACTCAACAGACTCATCACTGCTCGAACTACTACCAGAGGCCGAGGATTCAGATGAGCTAGTACCAGAGTCCGAATCCGAATCCGAGTCTGAGGATGAATCGGACTCCGAATCGGAGCTGGAGTCCGACTCTGATGTCAATTCGTCTTTGGAAGAGATGCCATTAGGCAGGAGATTCTTCATGGCTCCCATAATGCCAATTTCATCTTTCAGTATCCTGAGCAGATATAACGGCTTCTCAGAGCCATCAGGCACGGGAACAGCTGTCTCAATCAGAGAAGGCGGCAAGTGGAAAACATCTTCTCCGTTTGCCGCAACAAGACCGCCATCTTCGGGAGGTGCTTCACCAGCAACGGACTGTGGAGCCTCCAGTTGGGAAGAACTTGTCAGTACAATCAGCCTTGGGTTACGCAAACCTAAGGCATTAAGCTTGGAGACATCACGCGTCATGGTTGCGGAAAGCAGTACTTTCGTGACTGTGCGTGGGGGTGGAATCATTCGCATTGACTTTAGAAGCTCATCCCTTTCTCGAGTTGCTGTTTGCGACGTTAAAGCTGGAGATACCGCATCGATCCATTCCTGGTAGCTTTCATTCAACAGCCGATCAGCTTCATCCACCACTAACCACTTCACATAATCAAGGCTAAAGCCAGTAGTATTTTTGAGGTGTTCGACAAGACGACCAGGAGTAGTGATGAGGATATCCGCTTTGGATCTGTAGCGAGTGACATAGCCGAGTGAGGCAAAAGGCTCTTCAACCTGCACCTTTCGTAAAAGGCCTTCCACTGAGAATGTAGACCAGTCAACTTTTGCTTGCTGCTGTCTCTGGAATTCTTCCATGTCGTAGAGTTTTTGTTCCTCAACAAGGAGTTGCTGTTCCTCCCGGAGGGTCTTGCTGCCCACAGCGGTGGCTATTGTGAGAGAACTGCCTACCACACAAACTTCGCATAGCTCGCGTACTTGTTTCACGAGTTCTCTCGTGGGAACCACAATCACCGCCCTCAGCTTTGTGCCGACAGCGTTTCTCAGACTAGAGATGATTGGTAGTACATATGCCAAAGTCTTCCCAGAGCCAGTAGCGGCCGATACGCAGAGGTCACCATTGTGCCGGCTTGAGCCTTCGAGCAGCAAAGGCACAACACTTGCTTGCACCGGAAAAGCCTGCTCGATATTGACCCTTTTCAGGTTTTCAAGCATATCACTTGGAACACCAAGTGACTCGAAAGTGGCTGTGGATGTCAGCGGCACCGTGGTGGGGGTTTGTTGCCATGGAGGAAGTGTAGAATATGTTGGTTTTTCTGGAATTTTGTCAAACTGTTCGGGCTGAGGTATTGGCTCCAGGCCATGCAATTCAACCGTTGACTCTTTTGGAACTCGATCATGAAGCCTAGGGTCATTGTTCTCTTGCTGTCTGGCTTTTGCAAACTTCGACAGAACAGAGGAGTGCCGCCGGTCTATCTCTTCTTCGACATCGTCATTTTCCTCTTCGGCCAGCGCAGTTCTCAATTTTCGCCTTTTCTTGTCCTCATGATTCGATGACTCTGTTACAAAATCATCACGGATCCCATCCCCATTTTCTGTCGACTTCGGCTTTTTTATCTTGACAAAGGTTTTGTCCGAGACATTTTTGGTTACACGATATTTGTCGATTGCATTATTCGAGTCTGGTTTTGCCCTTCGAGTCGTGGCCGTGGTATCTTCAGTGTTGTGGTCTGTGGATGGAGCGGGTTCTATAGATTCGGATTTGGAGGTACTCTTTAATTTCTTGCTTTTCTTCTCGCGCGGTGTCGGCTCGGACTCTCGCTTGCGCTTCTCGAGGGTTGGAGGACTGGAGAGCTGGCCGCTTTTCGCAGGCGGCACATATCGGGCATAGAAGTTAGACATTTGGCATCATGCGGCATGCTTCTCTACGACGAGTGTTCCAGAAGCATGAGCAAAGACCGCAAGCAGCACTCGAATTCGCTGCCGTAGGCGTTGGTTGCACTTTGGCTCTACGAGTCGCCAAAAAAGTTGACCCGATGGCGGGTATTTAAACCGGCAGAATTTCTCACCGCCCACTCAGGAGGGAAATTCACCGCCCACGCGCATCGCTCCTTTTTGCGCGTGCATTTGACTACAGGTACCTACAAACCAGGCATGCAATGTCACAGCACTCTGTCATCAAGGAATCTAGAGCAGCAATACGGGCAACATGAGTCACTGGGAACCAGTTATACATAACCTAGAATCCAGTACCACCCTCAGGTCGAAATGCCTTACAATATCGCCATGGTTAGCGACTTCTTTTTCCCCCAGCCGGGGGGAGTTGAAAGCCACATATATCAGCTATCATCCAAGCTGATCGATCGAGGCCACAAAGTGGTGATTATTACGCACGCCTACAAGGGCCGCACTGGAGTTCACTATCTCACAAACGGCCTGAAGGTCTATCACGTCCCATTTCTTATCATATACCGAGAAACGACCATGCCCACCGTATTCTCATTCTTCCCCATATTCCGCGACATTGTCATCAGGGAACAAATCCAGATTGTCCATGGCCATGGCAGCTTGAGTAGTCTCTGCCATGAGGCTATTCTGCATGCACGAACCATGGGTCTCCGGACGGTCTTTACGGATCACTCGTTGTTCGGCTTCGCAGATGCGGCGTCGATTTTAACCAACAAACTACTCAAATTCGCCTTGAGTGATGTCGACCATGTCATATGCGTTAGCCACACTTGCAAAGAGAACACCGTCCTCCGCGCCTCTCTCGATCCCTTGATGGTCTCGGTGATACCGAACGCGGTGGTGGCCGAGAACTTTCAGCCACGAAATTACGTTCCCCAGTCAGACGAGCTCAGTTACATGCGGCCTAGGCCTGTTCCACAACGGCTTGGTCCAGGTGATACAATTGTGATTGTTGTCATCTCTCGACTGTTTTACAACAAAGGTACTGATCTCCTGATCGCCGCTATACCGAGGATTCTTGCCGCCCACCCGAATGTCCGCTTCATCATTGCCGGTTCTGGTCCAAAAGCCATAGACCTAGAACAAATGCTTGAACGACAGATGCTTCAAGACAAGGTCGAATTACTAGGCCCTGTTCGTCACGAGGAAGTGCGTGATGTCATGGTCAGAGGCCACATCTACCTCCACCCAAGTCTCACTGAGGCATTCGGCACCGTTATTGTTGAGGCAGCTAGCTGCGGCCTATATGTCGTCTGCACTAGGGTGGGTGGTATCCCCGAGGTGCTACCCGCCCATATGACGACTTTTGCAAAGCCTGAAGAGGATGACTTGGTTATGGCCACTGGCAAGGCAATCGCAGCACTTCGCTCTGGGAAGGTTAAAACTGAACGGTTCCATGATCAAGTCAAGATGATGTATTCGTGGACAGATGTGGCCCTGAGGACGGAAAGGGTATATGATGGCATTACTGGCGCGATCAGCGAACAGGAATTCTACGGCCAATATGCAAGCGCAAATTGGAGTGCAACTCGAGGTCGATCGTATGCGTTGATTGACCGACTGAAGCGCTACTACGGTTGCGGGATCTGGGCAGGCAAGCTGTTCTGCCTTTGCGTAATCATCGACTACCTGATATTCCTCTTCCTGGAGATATGGGCACCTAGAACAAGTATAGATATCGCTAGAAGTTGGCCTCGAAAACCTTTTATCAACGACAAGAACAAGCCCGTCGAAAATGGCTTACTTCGGAGAAGGGGTACCGATTTAATGGATCGCCGCAATGGAAGCCTTATGATGGGCTAAAATCTACCAGGATCATATTTCCTCCCTCCACCGAATGGCCCAGTTGCCTTTGGCAAAACTTGGTTCGACCACTGTTCCGTTCATCAATGCTTCACACTTGCGGCGCACCGTCTCCGACGCCGACCCTTGAACACCAGCAGTGGTGCCCTTTGCAGCACGCTTGTTCGGCTTCTTGGGGTGATCGCCATGTGTATTATGGCGCTCTTGGTCACATCCAAATACGACCAGTCTCCGGGCCGCCCTCCTGACCATTTCTCTCTGCTCTGCACGACGGTGGCCTTCTTGTCTCTTTTTCAACTCATCCTCCGCAGTGGGTCGAGCAGCGCCTGGAAGACTGCCCTCATCGATGCTTTCAGACCCATCAGATGTTGCAGGTTCGAGGGACCCTTCACGACTCGCTAGCCCACCTACACTGCCTTCAGAAGGTGGTGCGCCATGCTCGGCCTGAGCATCAATATCACTGGCGTCGGATGTCTCTGCAGTCGGTCTTGAAGCCGGAGAATCACTAGGAGGAGCAGGCTTTGGGCGGAACATGAGGTTCTCCACCTCCTGCATAGTGATGATGTTCCGTTGGTCCCCTTTTACAAACTTGGACTTGGCGGCCGTCTCCTCGATCCCTGAGCCCGGCTCCGCGTTCAACAATGCCACCATTGCCCTTTCTATTTTGCGGTCCAATGGTCCTGGCTTGTGGTGACGGCAGCCATCTGAACAATACTTGATGATTTTGGTCTGCGCCTGTTGGATCTTACGCGAGCCTATAAGATGGTTAGCGAAACTCAGATTGGATTCGACAAGCATGAAATTACTCATCGCTCGTCCACATGTCTGGCAGTATGCTGCGTGTTCCTGAGTCAAGTAGAACGGAGGCAGGACTGCAGGGCGTTTGCCTGGTCTCGACCATGAATCCATCCAACTCATGCTGGGCGGGCTATTGCAGACAGGCCGAATGTGCGACGTCTGTGTGGCTTGAATACAGAGCGCCAGTCTGTAAAAGCTCTTCAACATCGAAGTTGTTCCTGAAGAAGGTGATATTCAAATACTAGAATTCTGTCGCTACCATGACGACATGGTGAAGGGCATGACGAGGCTTCAGCCTCGTGGCCTCGGGTTAGTGTGCCCTCCGCATTCCAGGGCTCGGTAGAGCTTCATAGTGGCCAGTGGCACTGATCACCCCACCTAACGCTATCGATATTTGTGGGCATACAGAGGATTGTGGTCTGATTGAAGACATCCTGCGTGGACCGTCAAGCATTCCCGTACCATCTTCATCGACTACTGCGTCCAATTTTTGGATACTTAAACCACTCCTAGTTATGAAGTGGCCTGCCTTGCCAGCCCGAGCTGGCTACCTTGGTCTCAGGAATCCGAAACGACGAAATGCATTATCCCTGGCAGTCCTGAGAGATCTACGGGATCAGCTCCTTAGATACAATACTTCGCCGGCTGATGGCAAGCTTCGAATACTTCCACCATTCCAACCGGAGTTACTGGATGAGCTCGAGAGTGCCGCCAAACATCATGACACACCAGCAATGGAAAAGTACGGCTGGCTACTTAATTCCGCTGAATGGCAGAAACATCGGCGAGGCCTGCCTAATGTTGTCGTCCTTCGCAGTGAAGGGCCGGTCTTCTGTTCAGGGCATGATTTGGGAGAATTGAGTTCTCTTAGTCACGACAGAGTCAAAGAAACGTTTCAACTTTGCGGCGAAATCATGTCTTTGATCCGACGTTCCCCGGCGCCGGTGGTTGGGGTTATTCAAGGACTCGCCACGGCTGCCGGAGCACAACTGGCTCTCACCACCGATCTACCTATTGCTTCTGCTAGCACACAATTTCGATTGCCAGGGGCAAGTATAGGGCTGCCGTGCACCTCGCCGTCGACAGCTGTGTGCCGCCGACTTGGGCCCGCGTTCACCTACAAAATGCTTGCTCTGGCCGAATCGGTGCGTGCGGATCAATTACCTGGAGGAGCCGTCGATATTGTGGCAGATGAAACTGCGCTTGAGAAAAGGGTCGAACAGATAATCAAGCGGTTGGCAGAAAACACTGCCGCCCAGCCACAAGCTCTAGGCAAATGGGCATACTGGACGCAACTGTCTTTGACCGGACAGCGATCCGGCGGTGACGGGTACGAAGACGCTGTGCAGTGGGCTGGAAGGGTCATGGCTCTTCATGCCAGAGCTGACGACGCGAAGGAGGGTATACATGCTTTTCTTGAGAAGCGAGAGCCGAAATGGAAGCTGTGAACCACCCCAAGTAGTATGGCACCAGGGCGTAAGAGTCCCTCTTGCTCTCACCTGGGTGGTCCATCCTAGTCAGTGAAAATATTACGAATGGCGAAGAGTAATAACTCTGACGATCGTGCTCGTGTTAAGTAATCAGTAAGGACGTGGTGGCATCATGACTGATCCATGACCGATCGAGTCCACGCTCTTCACGGCGTCGTCTGGCGTCTGGCCACACGAAGCCTGGCGAGCTTTCTCTCCACAGGCGGCACTTGAGTGCTCGATGGCACCCAATGGATGCACCTCATCGTCGGCTCCGGCCCTGGGCTCCGGGGTCAGATTCATCATCCTCAGTCTAGCGTGTCTTCAGACTCGAATCTTTGGTGGTGGTGGTCACTACCAAGCTAAACCAGTGGTGGGGGTTCTTCTGCCTCTTGCGGCTTCATGCGCCCACACCCGTCAACAACTCCACGCTCTTTTTTTGCTTGTGCTTTTTGCGGACCGGCTTTCGCCTTCGGGAAGCACAGTGCATTTCTAGTGTCTGAAATCATACTTTTGCCTTTTTTTTCCGTTTTGCTTCCTTCTCAAAGACATGTCGGAGCCATCCAGAGGTGCCCAATGGCTCATGGCTTGCCTCGAGAAACCGACACGGTTATTGTGGGTAAGTAAACGGAACCCAAGAGATTTATTATTTCCCTGTGTGAATCGAAGGACCGAGGGGCTGATTTGGATGTTTTTTCTGCTACGAACTAGGCAATGGACCTTCGGCCCTGATCCTGTCCTATATTCTCCACGGCAACATCCCCTGCTACGACAGCTCGAGTCCTCATCCCGATCGTATCCTGCATGAGAAACTACTCCGCCATCACGATGACTTGCTCAATGTCGACATCGATGCCCTGACGACGCATTTCTCCGCGTCCAGGTTTTCGTATTCGACGCAGGCACTCCCGATCAATGTCCTGCTCGACACCCTGGTCAGGCCGCTGGGCGAGACCGACGATGCGCAGAAAAAGACGTGCATTAAGTGGCAATACGATCCTTCAAGGGCCGTTCCTCATGTGGTGATTGGCAACACACAAAACGCAGGAGGCCAGTGGGTGGACGACCCGGTCCACGCCAGCTGGGACATCGGGACACTTAGTTATGCGGGAATGCTGTCACTCCCGGGATACAGTTTCGACGAGCATTACAAGAGACGGAACGGCCAGACGATGCCCGTCTACCTGCGGCCCTCGAGGAGAGAGGTGGCAGACTACCTTGCGGCGTACCCGGACAAGGTTGGTATCGCGAAGTACATGCACAACGGGCAGCACATCGCGCGAGTGTCGCGGAATCAGGACGGTTTCTACATCGCGTCGCACCACCTGGCTTGCCAGAACCTTGTTCTCGCGTCGGGCATTTTCGACACGATCATTCCACCTCCGGCCATGTTTGATCCACTCGTTGGCCTCGACGACAGCTGTCCTCAGCCGTCGTCAGATCCTATCCTCGTCATCGGGTCGGGTTTCAGCGCCGCAGACGTGATCATATCGGCGCCGCCGAGTCAAAAGATCATCCACGTCTTCAAATGGGACCCGGCCGCCTCGCCGTCGCCGTTGCGAGGTTGTCACCGACAAGCATACCCTGAGTACGCGGGCGTGTACCGGAGAATGAAAGCTGCCGCCCTTTCATCTTCGCCGTCGAGAGATCGGCGACCGAGGATGCCCCGCTCGCAGTCAAATTTTGACACGAGCCGAAACTGGACTGCAACCTACGAAGGACTCCCCAATACCAAAGTCGTCGACGTCCAACTAACCTCGGACGGTGCCGGGATGGTAACCTTCCAAGGAGGGGGCGAGGATCAACCATTTCAGCGCAGGGTTAGCGGCCTCGCTTACGTCGTCGGAAGACGGGGATCCCTGTGTTATTTGTCGGAAGAGCTACGTCAAGAATTTCTCCACGCCGACTGCCACATGATATCCGGGCAGACTCTGCGCCAGCAAGCCAACGAAGACCTGGAAATTGCGCCGCACGTGTTCGTGACGGGCAGTCTTACAGGGGACTCGTTGATTCGGTTCGCGTACGGCGGGTGTGCGTATGCAGCTGGAAAGATCATGGGCCGCCGGCCCCGATGCTCCGCCCAAGACAAAGAGATCAAAGGAGGAAACGGTGTCAATGCTGCACTCGTTAGAAAAACAAACCACTGTCGATGTGAGACGCCGTCGCCCAAGATCCCGGCAATGAACGGCCTCGACGGACATGAAGCGAGTCCCATGAGCTTGGCCAAGATGTGTAATGGGGTGCCTCTGGATAGGCGAAAGGATTGAATTTCATGTTGCGTGCTGCGTGTTGCGTGTCTTGCATAAAAGAGGGATGGAGGGAGACGGGGATAGATACGAAAGACTTTTGGTGTGGTGGTGCCACATAAAGCCGGTGGTTACTGCTTTGAATTGCGATGCGCATGCCTACACGATCTAGATATCTGTATATACGAGTGAGAGTACATTGCACCTGCATATTGCGTATTGCGTATTGCGTGTTGCGTATTGCATAATCTTTGAATATACATTAGGTATATGTATCAATCAATCTTGCATACCTATGAAAAGAAGGAAACCATCCATACAACAAGTAATGCAGAATATAAATTGTACATGCAACGCTGATGATAATTCCTTGCGTCTAGGTATCTACCCACAGGTAGAATAGTTATCAGGACGTGAACCGATGTTCAATTCTTGAAGTCATCATCGACCCCTGCAGGGTAAAAGCCCAAGTCGTGGCTAAAAACGCCGGCCTGTCTGTCCTGTCCTGTCCTGTTCCCTGCCCGGTTCCCTGCCCGAGTCTCATGCAATGTTTCCAAGTCCTGACGAAGCAACGGCATGCCGTCGCCAGACTGGAGAGCCAGCGGCCTTGGATGCATACGTGCCCGAAGCCGAAGAGCGATCATCGGTCGGCTGCCTTGGCCTGCTCAAACCCGGAGAGCGTCGACGGACATAGACCCCAGCGGGCGTGCGCGAACTGAGAACGTATGTCCTCAACAGTCACCCCTGTTTTTCCTCTTGAAAATGACTACATACCGACCTACAGGTACATACGTACAGAGTCGACACTCAGAAACCTTCCTTGGCCAACATGTCGGCAACGCCCAGGTAGAAGGCCACGGCGTTGAAGCGTTCGGTGACGATGCCCAAGCGGGCGGCGAGCCTCTTGATGCGGTTCGTCCAGTTGATCAGGTCCAGATGGGTCACGCCGTCCAGAGTGCCCATGTACTCGCCCCAGCGGCTGCTGCGCACGCTGACCAGGCCGTCGTTGGGGCCCTCGACGAGCTCCATCAGGTCGTGGGAGAGGCGAAACACCGACAGCAGGTGCGGCGACGCGGTGGCGCCGAAGCTGAAGTACTGCACGTCCGGGTCGTTGGGGACGACGCGGTTGAAGTGGTCGTTGACGTAGGCCGTGGTGAGCTGCGCGAACGCGCCGGAGTCGACGTGCAGCCGGTCCAGCACGGCGTACAGGCGCGGCAGCAGGTCCGGCCCGATGTCGCGGAAGAGCATGTCGGCGGCGCTGGAGCCGCGATGAGGCGTCGCAACGGTCGTCAGGCTACGCACGCGGAATGTCAACGGGCAGAGGCGCGAGATGAGGTAGCGCGCGTCGAGTCCGCCCATGCTGTGCGCGACAATGTTGACGGACCGTCCGCGGGCGTGCTGCGTGATCTGCGACGAGAGCGCCGCCGCCCGCGTCTCGATCGACCCGGTCCGCGGGACGGTCGTCGTGATGCATTCGATCCCATTGCGTGCGAAGGCGTCCTTGATCCCGCGCCAGTAGTGGATGCTGGGGAGGTACGGCCCCGCGACCCGCCACTCGTCGAACCCGAGGAGCCCGTGGGCGAGGACGATCGGGTAGCGAGGTGTCGAGTAGTGCGTCTTGAATGCCGCGTAGTCGTCTTGGATCAGGCGACCGAGCTCCGGGAGCCGGGGATCAATCGCCTTTTCTTCGCGGCTCGATGGCGACGCATTGTCTTCTGTCGCGCGAGAGCCAGAGTGATGTTGTGACGATGATGACGACGGAGCCGAAGATGGCGGAGATGAGGATGAATATGACGATGGATATGGCTCAGGAGTGCCAGCTGGTTTGGAGGTGCTGGATTCATGGCGCACTTGTAAAAATCCTCGAGGTAGGCATTGATGTCGCTCTCCGTAGCACGGTGGAGGTGTGACAAGCCCTCGGACAGCCTGGAGATTCTGGAGTCGTCGCCATGGCATGCTACGCGTTGAGTAGAATCATCAATCAATATCCCGAAATGTTATTGCTTCATGACGATATGACAGGAAGAAGAAGAAGAGCACACGAGGCGTCGACAATGATGTGGTTGTTGTGTGAATCATTTCCATGTTGTCAGTCATTGCGTCATACGAGGTTCGTCCGTTCAGCCTTGCAGCAATCGGTCTCTGCAAGGCTGGCCAAGTGGGATACAGCAAATGAACACACGAAAGCTCGATGCTCCATGAAGCTGAGCCTAGAATAGAGCTGGGTTCTCCTGTCGTACCCTAGCTGCTACCTTTCTATTCTTCGCTTCAATTACTTGTAAAACAAACAGCATATAAATGCGCCACGTAGCCATCTCTCGAACCCGGGACGACGAGACAAACACCAGTCGACGTCCTTGTTGATTAAGACGTACAAGCAGCCAGCATTCAATCCATTACCGTCCCACCACGCAGTGGCATTCAATCCTCTCTCGAGATCTTCTCCGGCACTTCAGGCTGAGGATTTGTGACGGCCTTGATCAAGTCTTCCACCACCTTATCGCCATATTTCTTGCCGGCCTCCTCGATCTCCTTGACCTTAGCTTCGGCTTCCTTGTTGGCGTCGTTCTCGGCCTTTTTGTTTCCGCTTGATTGCTGAAGTTATCGTGAGTGTGTGCTTGGGCAGTGTCACAGTGAATTCCTCGACCGACCTCTGTTTCAAACTTCTTAAACTCTTCTTCTTTCGCTTTCCGGTACTCTTCAATCTCTTTCTGTGCTTCCGTCTTGGCGTCTTTTACTCTCTTCGTTCGATCTGTCCAGGTTAGACCAGCGCGGCATGGAAGGGTGCATCCACCGTACATTCTCTGGCTGCGTGAGTGTTAGCGTTGAGCAGGTCCACGAAGACATCCCCAAAGACCCAGGACTCTTACCTTTCTGGACAATCTTTTGTGCTTCTTTCTCTGCCTAGTGGGAATGTTCAGCATGTCGTCACCAAGTTCCCAGCATTGTGTATTGCTTACGTCAAGCAGCGTCTGAATGCCTGCGGAGTTTTGGGCAGACTGTGTTCTTATCAGCGAGGCGGTTTCGTCGAGGTGTGCATGCGTCGTACCATCTTGAGGGAGAGGGCTCAGGTTAATCCGACACTCGAAACTGTGCCAAAGGAACGACCGATGAGAGAGAGACGGGTCGGCGACAGTAAGAGGGAGAGAAAGAATGCGCTCGCTACCTGGTGAAAGCATCCATGTGCCTGCCCGCTGAGGTTGAAGCTGCGCAGCTGGAAACGGTTTAGCTCTTGGAGAAGGTCTGCACTAGGCCGAATACGGTATCCATGCAGAGAAATAAATGTCTCCGCGCCGGTCAAACTGCTTCGAGTATCACGCAACCCACAGTGTGTTTCTCCCTCTGCACAGATTCTCAGCTCGTCAAACATGTCTACAGCGTCCAAAGTCACTCTGTTGAGCACAGTGCTGGGCACAGCCGGAATCGTAGCCTTCGTGCACTGGGCGCAGACCGCCGAACAAGCTGTATGCATTGATTCCTCTTCTCTACCACCCTACCTGACGGTTCTAACTGTTCCAGGCCATGCATGCTGGCGTTGTCCGGGATATGGAGCAGCAACGAGTCAAGCGAGAAAGACAAGCGGATTTTGAGATGCAGAGACAGCTCGAGGAAGAATACAAAAGGACACAAAACGTGCGCGACAGCACAACCGGAGCCTGATGCTCGCGACAGCACTGTTCGCCTGCACCTGAGGTGGAACGGTCGTACAGGAGATCAGGCGTGCCGTTGCCAGCGTCTCCTTGCGAACTCTGCACCGGAAGGTAGTCGAATCACACGAGACCACCGCCTCACTATGTATGCATCGTGGCATGACCCGCTTCGGGCGAGAGCCTATTAAGGAAGACGTTTCTCGTCACTCCAAGAAAGACAACGACGGCGGCGCTGGAAAAATCTGCACCTAAATTCCTTCGAGCTCACTGCAACTCGACGAGAAGCCGCCCAGGTGCGCATTTCACCCACTACCAGATTTGCGGTCTCGGCATACGACATACCGCCGCGCGGCATCTATTACGAGGAAGGCCAGATCTCCTGGTGTGATCAGAGGTGCGGCTGCTGCTCAAAAGCCGGATGTCTATCGTCTACGCATGTCAGAACAAGGTAGTAGCGGACGGCTGCCGACTTAGGACGGGAGGCTTGCCCCTTTGAGCATTGACGCCTGTTGATGATCACAGATGGGAAAGTGAGACGCGATCGTCAATCGGATTCAGCAGATGAACTGCAATGTCGGCAGCATCAGTCAAAAACATGTCTGTTGAGTCTGTTGGAGAACCGAAGTGATGGATGCATATCCTCTCACTTGCTGTCCGTGGTCGCTGCCCGTTGGAACTACTCCGGGCGAAACGACTTCAAGCGAAGACCTTCTGAAATGCTAAAACTGTGGTCCACTCTATATTATACTGAGAACAAGTCACCTAGACAGAAATTTATCTATTCTAAGTCCACATAATGATCCTCAATGGCCGATCCCACCAGCGACCCAGTTATTGAATTCAGGGTCTCCAGGTCCAGGGAACATCCCATTATCCTGTTGGTCTTGTGCTTGTGGTTGCGTTGGCACCTGGGGTTGAGGCTGAAGCGGAGCTTGAGCTCTCGCACGCTCTTGAGCTTCCCTTCTCTCCTGCTCCAAGCCCCTCTGACGAGCCTGTCTAGCATACACGAGCATAGCCAGAGTCCCGGCAAGCGCAATGATGATCAGACTCTCGACCAATCCGTCGTCGATCTCTTCCCACTCGTCAGCTCCGTAAACATCCTCGCCATGCCTCTGCCCTTCTCTTCCCGCATAGTCCGAGTCGCCACCGGGCATTCCGGGCTCCGGGTAACCCAACATATCGTCATCTCCGTCGCGTTCCCTCATCATTGCAGCGGCTTCTTGTGCGTCCATCTCTTCAGCCGCGTCGAGGAACCGGTTGACCCACTCGCCCCATGACTTGGGCCGTTTTCGGTCCTCGTCCTCATCCTCGCGTATCGAATTGATCTTGCCACCGCTCACGCCGTTCCACCAGCTGCGCAATCTTAATTTAGCCAGCGCAAGCGTGACCGGCAGGTACGCTTCCTTGTTCATCTCCAGAGCCAGATCGTAGTATCGTTTCGCCATGTGGAAGTCCTGCGTCACAGACCCAATGCCGTTCTCATGCATCCACCCTAAGTTCCAGAGCGCCTGCGCGCTGTGATGGCTTTCTGCGGCCGTCGTATAGCACGTTGTCGCTCTTTCGAGATTGCTCTTCAACTCGTTTTCTTTGGTTTCGTTGGGTAGTAAGCCACTCAGCACCTGCAGGGATGGTCTGAGGGTAAGATAGTAGTCGCCCATCTTGATCAGCGAGTCTACATTCGACTGCTTCGCACTCCTCGTGAAGAGAGCCAGCGCTAGGTACTGGTCGTCCAGCAATTTGCTTCGCCCGGGCCTTATGTCGGGTTTGCCTGAAAGGAGCTTCGAGAGACCTGGAATGTCAATGACACTGGTCTTGCGGTCCAGCAGGTAAGCTACGTTAGCCTGTGCATTCTCGTATCCAGCCTCAGCAGCCTTGATGGTCGCGACTAACGCTCTCTCCCAATCGCCCCGTTCGTACGCAGAGTTTGCCTCAAGGAAACTTGAATGTAAGGCTTCCGCACGCTCAGCGACGATTTTGTAATAGACGCTGGCCAAGCCACAATTTCTCTCTCGCCCGATGCCTTGATTAGTAAGTTCGGCCAGATAATAGAACGCTTCCATAACGCCAGCACCCGCAGCGAGCTCAAAATACCGTGAGGCCGTCTCGATGTCGCCTTGATCAAGGAATAGAACACCTAAGGCAGATTGTGCGATGGGAAGACTCTGCTCCGCCGCAGCTTTGAGATATGTCCCTGCCCTGAGACCATCTTTTGGAACGCCCAGACCATCCCTGTACATCAGGCCCATATGGTATTGGGCGAAACTGTCTCCGTTCGCAATTGCTCGTTTGAACCACATTGCAGCCTTATCAAAGTTTTGATCGACGCCCTCGCCTCGAAGAAACATGCGCCCGAGGTACGCTGCTGCCTTGGCTGCAACCCTATCGATGTCTTTGGGTGCCTTGGGATTGACCTTGCCGTCTTTACCCCAGTATGCCCGCGCGACTTTCATGAACTGACGATGGGCCTTGCGAAAATTCTTCTTATACCCACGCGGCGCTTCATAATAATGCTTTCCGATCCCAAGCATGGCTGTGAAATCCCCCTGTCGTTCCTTCGTGTCCAGGTAATCCAGCACGTAATCAATGTGTGTAGTTATCACGCCATCCCTTGGTGCGTTGGGTCCGGACGAACTCACGCTTGCGCCTTCCCCATAGATACCGCCATCTGCTTCAACCCAGCGGTATGCGTTTCGTGTTAAGCTACGTCCTCCTGGCGGGCCCCCTGCCCAGAAGGCGATTGCTTTGTCTGCAACACGCTTATAGTACGATACTGCTTTGTTACAGTCCCGCGGACATCCAACACCTGCGTGATAACGGTACGCGAGGGTCATTTCTGAATTGATGTTCCCTTGTCCGGCGGCGAAGGTATGATAGAGTAAAGCTTTGGCTTGGTCTCGGGGTACACCTCCTAATCCAGTACCGTATATCAAACCTACCATATATTGCGCCGTGTTGTTGCCATTGAGAGAAGCGAGCTGGTTGTACCATCTCAGGGCTTCGGGTGTGTTTCGTGGATGGGAGAAGTTGCCGTAGAAATTCATCTCGGCAAGTATGAATATCGCATCGGGGTCGTCGAAGAGTGCAGCGGTCTTGAGTGTTTCAACAGCCTTGCGCAAGTCGCCTTTTACTTGGGGTGTCTCATCGTCGTGTCGGGTTGGCGCGTTCATGAACAGGGTCCTGAAGACAAGGCGGATATAGTACCAGACATTTTCTAGGAAAGAGGTGGGCTGAGCAGGACCAACACTGTCCTTCCAGGTCGGTTCGAAGTCCCGCAGGATAGACCAGACCTCATGAACCACATTATTGCCGCCATTTGCCCAGTAGTTCTGCTTCTGTCCTTCCTCAGGACTGAAATCGGTCGGAGCCTCCGCAGGTTGTCGGATTGTCTGTTTAGCGTTCACGGTCGTTCTCGAGTTTGAGGATATTATGGCAAGAGCGCAAAGAAGTGCTGCAAAGCGTGTCAGATACAGAGGGTTGCGATGCGTCGTGGACGTACCTAGAAGCACTTCCGCAAAGAACCTCCTCATGCTTCCGATATTTGATATTGCTTCCTCACTGGGATCTCATTTTGGGGCGATTTGTCCCAGAGATACATGAGACACCACAACTAACAAAACACGCAAGCGATGGAGACGGAAATGTCGTATGTACTGTGTACTCTCCTCGAATAAGCCAGCTTGTCGCGAAAGGCCGCAGCATGCGCAATCGGCCGAATGACGTACCGTGCAGCCTCGTCCAGCCTCGTGCAGCCTCGTCAGGTGACAGCTAAATCAACTACGGTCCAGCATAGACACCACAAAATGTCCAGGCGAGATTTCGACGGGGGTCACTGATGATAGATACATGATCTTCCTCGAGGCAGGTAGGACTATCAGCATTGGCCGATCATCACTTGTTATATGAGGGCCTCTTGATTCCCCTGTTGCTGCAATCCAGTGCCTATCTCACCAAACTATCACCGCCGGGAGATTGCCTGGTTGGTATTTGTCAGCACATTTGACGAGATCCCTCCTGTGGTCAGGACCCAGGTGTGATTTTTCTGCCTCCAAAGAGCGTTTCCAGGCGAAGAGGAAACCGTCTGTTTTTCAAACCATGTTCCACTTCAGCGGCCGAGGGCACGAGCCTAGCTCAGATAGCACGATGCCTGCCTCGCGTAACCAAGGCTCCAGTGGTGAGAAACGTCAGATAACCAGGAGTCGTATCAGTTACTCCTGTCAGACATGCCGGAAGCGCAAAGTAAAATGTGACAAAGTCCATCCGGTCTGCGGAGGATGCAAAAAAGCAAACGAAGACTGTGTCTACAACGAGGACACGAAACCACCCATCGCCGCCCTTACCGAGACATCGGACGGGTCGAAGAAGCGAAGGACGACATATGAAAGACAAACCTCGACGTCGAACTCATCGTCCAGTCCTCCTCAGGACAAGTCGATGCCACCGCCTCCTCAACTCAAGGCAATCGAGGAACAATTGCGTCGCTTGACTTCAATGGTGGATGCGCTACGAAATTCTAGCAGTAACGATTCAGACCTTCGTGACCTGCTCACTCCTGTGCATTCTCAGTCGGAGCATGAATCAGATGATGCATCATCTCGTCCTGACCTCAGCATCGGGATGTTCCGGTCAAGAAACTCAGGATCGCCAAAAGACGTAAATGAACTGAATTGGCCTTTGTCCGGCCTCAAATTGACAAACGGCAATCCCAAACGAGCGGAAGATCCATTTTGGATCCATATTTCTGACGAATTGGACCAGCTCAACCACATGATGAGGCGTGCCAACAATTGCAATGTCCCAACAGGCGTCCAGAATAAGCAAGGCGATGGACCTAAACCCCCTGCTTCTGGGCTACATGCTAGTTCCATCAAGGACGACTTCTGGGAGCCTATGAGTTTTGAAAAGGCCGCCGCGGTCAGTCGCATCGATGCCTACAACCCTGACAGTGATTGTACCATGTGCCAGACGGTGCCTTTCTCCAAGGCAACATTGTTGCATACAATACCAATACACTGCTCACATACCACCGCCTACCACCATCTTTTCAAGGCTTTCCCGACAAGGGCCCAGAGCAACGTCCTTCTCCGGTGTTGGCTGTCAACTGTCTATCCGATTCTACCGCTCCATATCCCAAGTGACGTTCTGGAGAAACACGAGAAACTTTGGAACCAGATCGAAACAGCGGGGTTGGCACAGATGCAAACACAATATCCCGATCTCGAATTATACACCATAATGTATGTGATTTGGTATGCTGGAGTGCTCAGTCTATCCCGCAAAGGTCTGCAACGTTGGTTTCCAGGTTTGACGCGTGCCGAGTTGGCCACCAAATTTCATGGCGGCGCAGTTTTCACGCTGCGAATGGGACATTTCATGCGGGATGTTAGCCTCCACAAGCTCGCTGCCTTGGTTTTGATGCAGTCTTTGCCAATTGCCGAAGAAGATCCTGTCCAAGCTAGTCTTTACACTCAACTCAGCGTCAGGCTGGGTCTGACGATGGGCCTACACCGAGAACCCACTTTATTCGACCTTCCCGTTGCCGAGGAAGGCATGCGTCGCCGTATCTGGTGGCAACTTGTGCTATTGGATACATCTCTTGTTATCTCCACTGGATATCCAACGTTGATTTCCGAAAATGTCTCCGATACGAGAATAAATTGTGAAGACAAGGACGCATTTGCCGCTGATGATGATGAGGGGATAAGTCTTGAGGGCGGGAAGAAGACCAAACCTTTCTCGTGGGGTGAAGCTCATTCTACCGATGAAAATGGCAACTTGACACTACATCGAACGATGTGCCTCGTCGCAAGGGCCAAATCAGTGCATGCGTGCGCCTTGCGTGCTATCATTGACACTCACTTAAGCACCAAAACGATTACCCACACCGATATGCAAAAATTGAAGAGGGTCATGGCTGAAACTGAAGAGCAGATCAATGGTATCATTGCACAGATCCCAGCTCAGGGTCTGCCCGAGATGGGATTTGTTCCCGAGGGCCCTAACGGGAAAGCAAGACAGGCCTACAGTCTCGATTGCGACTCGGCCATGAGCAGTTCCGTAACCGATAAGGATCTCGCATTCTACCAGAATTATGTGAGCGATGATAAGCTAGCAACGCCTCTTGCACGTTACCATCGACGAAAACTGGCCGTTTTCAACAAGTGGGCTCGTATCACGCTTTCGATGTTGAACGACAAACTACATTGCGTCGCATATGCGCCGTTCCTAAAGAACGCTAAGAGCAAAATGTGGACAGTAGCAAGACAATGCGCCTTGCATGTCTGCCACAGTTTTATGAGAAAATTCATCTCCCTAGTGGAAGACCCTGACCTCGAAACCTTCCGTTGGACTTGGCCCGCCATGTATGGCCCCTTACATGCCGGACTGATCATGCTTGTCGACCTGTTTGAGAAGCCCGATAGTGTTGAAGCTCCACGATCCAGGGAACTGATCGATAAGGTCTTCTCACTTTCCGATCCGCAGACTGGAATTGTCGGAGGTCCCAATGGTGTCACCATTCAGAGACCTTTACGCGAAGGTGGTGTGGAACCGTGGGATATGTTGCGTGGTCTTCGATCTGCTGCCTGGCAGAGAGCTGGACTTGACCCCAATGTGCTTTGGACCCAGGAGGACCAACTCAAGGTCGGCGTTGCCACTCCGCTCACAGACGCTCAGAGAATAGCTCAGAGTTTGAGGGAGGATACTGTCTACGAGAATGGAAACGGCCAGGCCACCCTCGTCAATGCGGACGAAGGAAATCGGACGACAGACCACGGAGTTCGATACATGGTCAAACTGGCTGCAAGTGAAATTAATGGCGAGGAAGAACCGGAAGGGTACCCTTGCTCTAGAGCATTAAGGAACAGATTCCTTCGCGACATCGAAAGCGGCGACCGTCAGGCCCGTGGACTAAAGCTAGTGCGACTAGAAGGGCAACAAAAGATGCCGTTCCCGCTGAGTGGCTTTGCAGAACAATGCTCCCAGCAAGCTGCGCAAGGTCATATTCCTGGCTCATGTTCAGGAATTGGAAATCCGGTCATCAGGCCGACCGCATTAGGGTACCATCAGTGTTCGACGGGGCTTGCAAGTTCTGACAAACGCGAGGACGATGGACCAACGCCGACGGTGCAGCAAGATGGACATCACAACTCCCACAGCGACACCCGTCTGCCGCCCATAGGAGAGGATACACCACAGAAAAGCCTCCTCGGAGAACCCACTGGACATGGTTTAAGCGCGCCTGTGATGCAGAGTAGTCATGGTAATCATGAAAACGAGCAAACTTTCAATGCCCATCAGGAGACCCAGAATGATGTCTCGGTATCTTCTAACGCAGACTTCGGGTTTGACTGGGCTCGATGGGATTCTGTGTTTGGCCAGTATACTGGCTTTACCGATATGATGGAAGATGTGACATTGTCATGGGTTGAGTGAAATTAGTTCTGGAGATGGCAGAGGACTGTGAACTTGGGTTGGGTTCAGAGATATACGAAAATGCATGTCTACTCAAGATCTCACATCAAAGGGTCAAACTGTTGGACAACTGTCTTGCCTCTGGCTATCTTGCAGCTAGACCACGACCATTCAGAAGCCATGGCTCACCCTTCTGTCCTCGATGTTGACGTTGATGTTGATCATGATTATGACACAACATGGCAACCAGTGCCAAATGGTCGGGTCTGAGTGAGAGACGCAGCGGACTCGAGCACAACAGATATCGCGCGTCGTCAATACATAGCCAGGGCAAAGAGAGATTAAGAGTTATTCTCAAGACCCTTATTCACTCTTCAATTCACTCTTCGGTTCACTTGCATTTCATTTCTTTTCCCTCGGCGCGTCTCGTGGAATTCACCAAGTACATATTTTACTTCACAGCCACCCACGCTGCAGCCATGCCTCAGCAGACAAACTCATTCCTCTCCCGCCTTCATATGTTGTCTCTTCCACTTCGTCTACGCCGATGATCCCCCACAACTCCTCAACGCTCACACCGACAACAATAGCTGCTGGTGGCAATCAGACCACATGACCTGAAGCTGAGTTGGCAGGACCGAAAATGGACGTAAAGTAGGTTTGCGCAAAGGTATAAAGCTATTCGAGGCCTGCGGGCCTCAGAATATCCAACAGCTGACGTGTTGGCAGGCATGCCCGTTCGCCTGTCATCAAGGTGATTGTTGGTGACGACGAAGACTTTGTCGACACAGCTGAAGGACGAATCCAACCCAATGTCTTCTACGTCCACAAGTCATTCCTCGTCCACCACTCGCGCTACTTCAGGACCCTCTTGGACTCTGCACTGCCTCACGACATCACGGTCATTCGCCTGCAGCTGCCAGAGGGGTGCGACTACGAGATGTTTGCCTCCTGGCTCACTGTGCTGTATGCAGACGAAGGCACCCTCAACGACCTTTCTCGTTCCGAAGAGCTTGGAGAAATCAGAAGTCTCTTTGCGATTGCAAGCTTCTTGGAATCCTCGAGCTCAAAGAATCTCTTGCTGGATGCAATACAGAGGCGGAATCCCAGACGGTGGACGCTAGTGGATCTCCAGGCGTGCAGGGAGGATGAACTTGCCAACGAGCTGCTTTACGATTACGTGCTTGAGTGCGTCGCCTACAGTATTGTGGTCCCCAAGATGGATCCTGATGAATGGTCAGACCATATCGACGTGTACATATTCACCAGTACCTTTTACCATGGATTTTACCCTGGCCACGAATACGGAGATAGCGACTATCGATCTCATTCCCGCGACTGCTGGGAAGACGTTGTGCATCGAATCGGTGAGCTCCGCGAGGATAAGTACAAGGACAAGCTGAAGAATCCGGGTAAGCGCAAGGACTGCAAATGGCACGAGCACACCGATCAGGATCGCATCGAATGTCCTCGGTACAGGAACGAGTATAACCCCCGGCGGTGAAGAAAGTCCCCAGCAGCATTGAGAGTGGCCAACATATCGGTCCATTGAACACAAGGGAGCTCGGCCATTCAAGCCTGCAGATGAAGGAAGCTTGCTGCTTGTTCAGTGGAACATTGGATGCAGTAAGGGGATGATGACACCAAAAGTGCTTGTGCGACGGAAACACTCCTTGGAATCTTACGGCGAAGAAGGTGAAGCTTTCAGTGCTGCTGCTACACACCGGGAGTCCCGTTCGACCGTACGGAGTATTTCATTCATTCTTTGGAGAGAGCCGTGGCGATGATGACATGCAAACATTGGAAACCCATGCGCGAGATTGACCTAAAAAGGCAGGGGTTTTTCCGAGATGTTGTGGGCGCACGAGGCACACTTTGTCAACCTCGTCGATAGAAACAGTTCAACAATAAAAATAAATATTGCCTCTGAGGTCTGAGTCGCTCGTTCGTTTGCCCTACCTAGCTATAACTTACTGCTGCGATTTTTTTTTTCCTTCGCCTGCCCTTGCTTGGAGTATACCACCGTAGGATCCAAGTTCAAAAAAGGTCAAGTCAAGTCAAGGGCGCCACTCTCTCTCATCCAGCAGGTCTATCTAGCTCGACCTCTGCGGCCACTGATCCAAAACGGCCTGCGACCCCGTCAAGGTGAAATTGACCGTTGCCTGGGTAGGCACGTCGATCAACACGGCGTAATCGCCGGGGTACAAGACCAGGTTTCCGTCCTCGTCGCGTCTCCCCAGGCTACCCAGCGTCAGGTTCAGGGTCGCAGTGGCCGACGCGCCGCCGGAGACGTCGAACAGCCTCTCGTACGCGACGAGCTGCTTGTTCGGATACGGCGGCGGGCCGTACTGGCCGGTTACGAAGGCCAGCGTGACAAAGTCGGACGTCACCTTGCCCGTGTTCGTGACGGTCACGTCGAGCGTCTCGAACGGGCAGAGGTCCTTGTAAGGATACGTGGCGGCCGCGTCGGAGTCACACCGGGACACGAGCTGGGAGATGTCGTAGCTCGACGGCCCGCTCGTCTGGGCCGCCGACACGCTGAAGTTGGTGTAGTGCATCCCGAACCCGAACGGGACGACAGCCTCGTCTTCGTACCAGATGTACGTCCTCCCGGGAGACCCGGACGTCTTGTTCGGACGCAGCGCCATGTCCGTCAGCGCCACCTGGTCGACGTACTTGGCGGGGTATTGCGTGACGGGGAGACGGCCTGCGGGTGCATATTTGCCCGTCAGGACGTTGATGAGCGCGTCGCCGCCCGCCATGCCGGGGTAGCCGCCCCAGACTATCGCCGAGATGTTGGGGTTGGTGAGCAAGGGCGTGTTGTCGATTTGGTCGCCCATCTGCAGCACAATCACCGGTTTGCCCATGCTCGCAAACTGCGAGATGAGGTCGATCGACGCCGGTGGCCAGTCGATCGTGTACCGGTCCATCCCTTCGGATTCGTCGTTGATGCTGATCCCGTCGGCGACGATGATGATGTCGCTTTCCTCGGCCGCCCCGAGGAGCTCGTCCCATCCGTCCGTGGTGGGCACGCCGAACCCGCCGCCGTACACGACCTTGACGTTGGGGAGTTGCTGGGCGGCGTAGAGTGGCGAGTGCAGGTAGGGCGCGACGCCAAAGTAGTTGCCTTGCATCGTCGTCGTGGCGTTGGCCCAGCTGCCGAGCAACGCGACGGTTGTGTTGTGGTCGCTGGGGAGCTGCAGGGGGAGAGTTCCGTCGTTCTTGATGAGCACGATGCCTTCTTCGGCGGCTCGGAGGGCGAGCGCTTCGGCGTCCGGCGTCGAGACATCGGACCAGCCGAGAGAGCGGTACGGAGTGGCGGAAGCAGGGTCAAAGTATCCCAACTTCACGAGCGCCGTGTAGAGGCGGACAAGAGCCTGGTCTATCACGGTTTCGTTGAAGAGCCCTTGGTCGTAGGCTCGCGGGAGCCATGTCTGGTAGTATGTGCCCTATTGGTTGAGCAGGTCAGCATACGTAGAAACGCTTCCCTTAAGACAGAGAAGCCAGCTGGTGTCACATCGACATACACAGTTCAGGTCCGTACCCGCGGTCAAAGCGTCAGCCACGGCTTGTTGCTGAGTCGGGGCGTAGTAGTGAGGCGCATAGATGTTCTGGATAGCATCGCAGTCCGAGGTCACATACTGACCATCGCCAGTCCAGTTCCAGTGGTCTCGAAGAATATCCTGGAGAATGTACGGGTCCGCACAGGTGGGTACACCGTTTAAAGCATTGTACGAACACATAATAGACCTATTTGCGCATTAGTACGACATGGCAGCTATCCTCCGCCGTTCCTCTTTTCGACCCCCGGTGGGTACCTCATGAAGTTACCAATTCAGGCTAAAAGGGAATACTGGAGAGAAGTTGCCGACTTACCCAACGGCTGCATCCCGCGCGCACGTCTGGAACGACTGCATGTAATATTCCGCCAGATCTTGCGTCGTAACCCTCGCGTCAAAGTTGTATCGATCGTACGTCTCCCACATTTCGAGATCGTAGGCAACGAAATGCTTGCAGGTGGCCACCACCTTCTTGATTGGTGGGTCATGGCCACCTTGAAGTCCGTCAATGAGCTGCGCAACGTACGATTTGAGGTGGAATGGATCTTCGCCTGGAGTTTCTTGTCCTCTCCCCCATCGAGGATCTCTGTGGTAACGGTCAGCCAAGAGCTCGCTCGTTTGTTTTCTGTAAAAGATGCGCAACAGGCCCGATACTCACTTGTAGGGATTGATGTTGGGAGTCCAGTAATCCAATCCGCTTCTGTTGGCGTTGTTGAAAGCTCGCGCCTCGGTACTGACCACTGTGGCAACTGCATGGATCAATGCATCATCGAACGCCGCACTCATCGTAATCGGCTGTGGGAACGATGTCGCATGGGAAAAGTTGCCAGAGCTGCTGAAGTTGACACCTGGAGAGCTGGCGACGCCATGCAACGCCTCCTCTGCAGGTCTGTTAGAACCTGGGCCCCTTGATATCCTCCAGCGAGAAACTTACGCCACCATTGGTAGCTGTACAGGCCTAGTCGTGGCACTCCTGGTGAGGTATTTCCTGTCAAGTTAAACTTCTCATCGATCGTCAGGGCAGCGACAAGAGCTTGCGCTCGAGCTGCCGCTGGTGCGCTGGTGTCACAGACAGTGTTATTGGACAGTGGCCCATTTACACAGTCAGGAAACAAGTCTGCCAGAGCCGGAACAGCCAGCAAGAAAAGAGCGCTCGTGATCAGTGCAGCCATTGTTCAAGACTCTTTTTCTCGAAGCACCTCCAGTCGTAGCTCAAAACGAAATCCAAAGAGGGCAACTGCGCTCTTTTTATCCACGAACTGCACTTGGAATTGTTGACAAAATCAACTTACCGGGTCACTGCACATTGTTTTGCATGAATGAGCGCATCATCTCCGCTTTCCAGTCCTCGTTATTGAACCTTTCTGGAAGGTAGAGTTGGAGAACGGACAAATGTCATCGTATACCGCTCGGCAGTCCGACGACGATGATCCTTCGGCCATGAATGCCGCAAAATAGCTGTGCCTGAACAGAGAGAAGTCGATCATCACCTCTTTCAGAAGACATGCAGTGAGGAGCAAACGTCCACCAGTAGCGACTGGTGATGCCTACCTGGGAATGAAAAGTCTATTACCCTTCACGGGGAGCAAGCTCTACCAGGGATGTCGTCTGAAAAACAGCGCAGGCGAGAATTTGGACCTGGAAATTTGTGAACATGTCCATGTGAGTATCCTGTCGTCATTGGTTGTTGTGTACCAGGAACTGTACATTCTCTTCCATGAATACTCTCGAATACGATGCTCTGCATGGGTACACGGAGTTAGACATGCGATCGGCCAAACGGCTGTACGGCAGGACTTCTCGCAGTGCTTCGAATGTGAGTGTAACGTGGAGCATGAAAGGAAGTAGCCTGACTTACCCCATAGTCGTCACACTATACATACCGATGGATAATAGACCATGACACGGCACTCGGAGATCATAGACAACGAGATGGATTTCAGGCTAAATAGCCCGCTTGAAATGTGGAGGTGGAGGTGAAAGGAGTTGTGGAGGCATGGGGATTGTGAAACACAACACCCAGCCTCTTATGATCCCCGTCGATCATCCGCAAAGAAGAGATTGGCCGGTGTGATGAAGAACCCCTCTGCCTGCTGATTCCATGGAATATTCGTCCGCCAGCTCGGATATATTGGCGTAGCAATCCCCTAGTGTACGAGTCCAGTGGCGCGATCACACATCGGCCATACTCTGCACGTTGCTCAGTCTAACATGACAATAATTGGATGTTGCATCTCCGCCACACACCAGTCAGACGCCGTTTCTTTCAATGCGGAGGATGACGATTTGGTTGGCAAGATTCATTTTCGACACGGGAGCTACGGGGGTCAAGTGCCGATCCTCATAGCGAAGCCCTTTGATCCACACGGCCGAGGAGTGTAATAGAATGCTTCGCTGCGCTTTCTGCCGGCCGGTGGGCAGCCCTGCTCGAGTTGCCTGGGTCTGTCCTACCAGAATGGAAACTCATTCACAGAACTCAACCCTTGCGTCTGTGCGATCGTGGCATCCCTGTCCACGTCCATGTGCCGTTGCAGTTCCGAATTAGCCTGAAGAGAGTATCATCGTGGAGGGTGTTTTTGGTGTTATAGTGTGGCCATCACCCTTATATTAGAATATTCCAAGTCTTCGAACTCTTCAGGAGGTTTCGTCCATAGCTAAAAGGTCGTCTCACAGTATCAAAGTATGGCGCCCGCAGTCAAGGATTCCCAGTTCAGCGATGCTGCTTTCCAGCACCGCCTGGAGTTGATAGGCAAGACCGGCCCCCAGGCATTGATCAAAAACATCCGTGTATTTGGTCTGACCTGTTTCGCCTGCATTGGCGGTCTGCTGTACGGTTACAATCAGGGTGTTTTCAGCGGTGTCCTGTAAGTTGTCCATCTGGTCACTTCGAATTGTCTCGAGCTGACCATATCGCTACGCAGGACCATGACTTCGTTCAACAGCCACATGGGAGATTATGTCCAGAACACAACCAAAAAGGGCTGGCTGACATCCATTCTTGAGTTGGGAGCCTGGACTGGTACCCTATACTCAGGGTTTCTGGCTGAGATTATCTCGCGAAAATATGCAATTATCGTCAATACTGTCGTTTTCATTCTCGGCGTCGTCATTCAGTGCACAGCCATCTCGGCCGGTCATTCTGCGATCTTAGGTGGTCGCTTTGTTGTAAGTCAAGACGTGTGATGTCGTTGCGGAAACGTTTCTGACATTGAAACTTACTCAGGTCGGTATGGGTGTTGGATCGCTGTCGATGATCGTCCCCATGTATGTTGCCGAATGTGCTCCGCCCGAGCTCCGAGGCCTTCTTATCGGTATGCAACAATTTGCCATTGAGTTTGGTATCATGGTCAGCTTCTGGATAGTAAGACCTCCTACCCTTCTGTCGAAGGCCGTATACTTACCGTTTTAGGACTATGGCACGAACTACATCGGAGGCACTGGTGCTTCGCAATCAGATGCTGCCTGGCTTGTCCCATTGGCCCTTCAACTGGCCCCTGCTTTGATCTTGCTTGTTGGAATGATCTTCATGCCCTTTACGCCCAGGTGGCTCATTCACCATGGCCGTGAGGAAGATGCGAGAAAGACACTGGCAATTCTCCGAGCCATGCCTGCCGAACATGAGCTCATTGAGCTTGAATATCTCGAGATCAAGGCCCAATCTATGTTTGAAAAGAGGACAGTCGAGGCCAACTTTCCTCACCTGCGAGAGCTGACGCCCTTGAACACCATCAAACTGCAGTTTGTCGCCATCGGCTCGCTTTTTAAGACCATGCCCATGTTCCGACGTGTTATTGTTGCAACCGTTACCATGTTCTTCCAGCAGTGGACTGGTATCAATGCCGTTCTGTACTATGCGCCTCAGGTAAGTTTCTTGTGGAGAAAGGGTAGGCGGATTGAAGCTCACATCGATAGATCTTTGCCTCTCTTGGGATGTCATCCAACACCACCTCGCTCCTTGCAACTGGTGTGGTCGGTATTGCAATGTTGCTTGCCACCATCCCTGCGATTCTGTACATTGACAAGATGGGACGAAGACCAGCGCTGGCTATTGGAGCTTTGGGCATGGGTCTTTGCCACTTCATCATTGCCGTCATCTTTGCGAAGAACGAACATCAGTGGCCTACTCATAAAGCCGCAGGCTGGGCAGCCATTGTCATGGTCTGGCTTTTTGTCGTCCATTTCGGTTGGTCTTGGGGCCCTTGGTAAGTGCATTCAGATCGGCGACGGGCAAGAGGCTAACGTGTGCTAGCGCTTGGATTGTGGTGGCCGAAGTCTGGCCTCTATCTGCACGTCCATATGGAATTGCACTTGGAGCTTCTTCCAACTGGATGAATAACTTCATCGTCGGTCAAGTTACGCCAGATATGATTGATGGAATCCGATACGGTACCTTCATCCTTTTCGGACTTTTGATCACGATTGGTGCAGGTTTCATCTGGTTCTTTGGTAAGTCGTAAATCTTCGTCTACCGATGCAGGGTGCTGATCGTCAATGATAGTTCCTGAGACCAAACAGCTATCACTGGAAGAAATGGACTTGGTCTTCGGCTCAAGCGGAGTCGCCCAGGCGGACAAAGAACGCATGCGCCAGATCAACGCTGAGATTGGTCTTGATCGCAGGATTTCAGTTATCGACCATGGCCATAGTAGCGATGACCACGTCACAGATGTCCATGAGAAGAATGCCGACTCCAAGGAGGTGTAGGCGCATGCGTCAGGGGGGTACCTGTGACCCTGAAGTGGATTAGCATAAGGGGCGAAGAGGTGGCTTGTGCTACTTGGTTGATGATTGAGATTCGCCCACTTTCTCTCACTTTGCAAGCTGTGCGTAGGAGGACAATCGTAGCAGAGTATAATGATAATCGGTATTCCTGGTGGCGGCCATGCGCCTTGGATCGTTGAAAGTTGTTTCTCTCACATGAACGCAGGTCGCAGCTTATCCGGGCCGGCCGACGATCAGACTTGCAGGGACCTCACAATAATATCAGTGATTCTCCCAGGGCTGGATGATGACAACCGGTAGCATCACTCAACGTCGAGTCTCCCATTTCAATTCTCTGTGTCTTGAAGCATGTACTCGTCCTTGTACAGTGACGTCGCCCGGCGTTGCCCTTCCTGTCGCCAAGACCATTAGCTCTAACATGGGTATAGCACTTATTCACCTTTAATGAGCTACGACTACAAACACCCAAGAAAATTCGTGATACGGCTCCAGAATACAAAGCTATGGAAATTGTGCATCCATGCTGGTCGTGCTTCTGGCCACGGTCTATCAACATCGATTCATGCTGAGAGTCTGGATATTGAGTAGCAAGCCACTCCTGCTCTGAAGTAATCCCCAGGAACATGCAAAGACTTGGTCTGGAGTTCCCGACTCCTTGTCCTTTTACTTCTCATCTGTCCTTGCCTCTAGCCGCTGGGCAGACCGGATAACGTTTAAAAGGATCGAAAGCGAGAAACCAATCAATCGTGTCATCGGTACGCAGCAATGAGAGTCGACCAGTCACCTTGTACTATTCAGTGGTATGTCCCAGGTAGTTAACCGTATAATCAGAGACCACATCTACCTTACGTACAAAGGTAGTCGGTCATGTAGGGACTTACACTCATGCAGGGACAAGGGGTAAGAGCCCACAAAAACCGGAGAACGTTTCCTCAACGAAAGAGTACCTACCTGTATGTAAACAACCATGCTACAACTACTAGGCAGACAAGCAGAGGAAAAGAAGAAGATCTGTAAGGATGTATCAAGTGCAAATCTCCTTGCGGGGGGCAAGCTGAGAGCCATAGGCAATAGTTATTGTGCTGTGTATCTCACCAGCCCTGAAGACTAAAGAGAGAGACTTAGCCATATCAGCGACATTCCTACCATACACCTCTCTCTCCATTGTAAGGATAATGCGAAGACCGGTCAGAACCAAAATAAAAACACTACGAGTACGCGGTGCGTTTTCTGTCCCTCAAACGCTGTTCTTTTTTGTTGCAGCTACATAAGCTTTGAAATAAACCGGTCAGCAACATGCCACATGCCACATAGTAGTCATCATAGCTGATCGGCAAGCTGCGGAAGGTGTACTGCGTACTGTCATTAAACCGCCTGCCCTCTCTTGAAACAAAGCCTCGTCTGCTCGAGCAAGGCTACCTCTGATCCAAGAAAGATATACCGGCAGTTGGCCATTGCACAAAACCTGTAACAAAAAACGCCGTCGCCGTATTGTGCATCCCGCCCTATATTGTACAAAGTATGCAGTTCCTTGGCATCATACCACGGAGGCCCGCCCCCTCCAGTAACCATGATGAGCACAAACCAGCCGAGGACGATAAAATCGAAGATGAAAAGCAGCCAAAAACACGTAGGACAACATATTGTCGAATAAACTTGTCGACAACGATACGCATCCTTCTCAATCTTAGTCCAAATAAGTCACTGTATTCCTGTGCGCAGCCAGTGTCGAAGGCGTGGGTATCATAAAATTGTGAAGCTTGGAACGAATGACGGCAGAAACCCACCATCCCAGATGCTTCGCCTCGCTCGTATACCTGAGGGTACCGCCATCTGGGATTATATTAACCGGGCGTCCAAACCGCGATGCTGTAACAAATGGCCGACGTCGGGTCATATCGACATCGACCACGAAAGGGAGGGATATGCGGGAGTCGTAAAAGTCGTTCATCGTTTGCCTTTCCTCACACTGCCGCTTCTGCCCAGATTGTCTCTCGACATGGTCCTCGTGAGTCCACCAATGTAATCTTGCAGAAAGCGATTCTCGTTTTCGAGTTTGTCGTGGTCACTCTTGACCTCGTCTATTTTTTCGGCCAATGCAGCTAATGAGGACTGGAGATTTCGAGCTTGTCTGGAGGTAAGGGGATAAAGTCAGCACATTATGTCATCCCACCACCAACAAAGAATAACGAGGGTAACCATACTCTTTGAGACTCTCGCGAACACCTCGCTCCAGTCTTTCAATGTCTTCGCTATTCCTTCGCGGACTCATGGCTCTGGCGTCGTCGGGTGGATATTGCGGCTTTTCTTTTTGAACTACGTCTCTGCCCTTGGGTACTATGATCGTATTGGATCTTTGTCTGTCCCCCAATCGAGGTCTGTCCATACGTGCACGTCTAGACCCCGGTCGAGAAGAGGTGGGGTGACCTGAACAGTCAGAGTCAGAAGACGAGGAAGAGGAGGAGCCGCTGGATATCGAGGGGGAGATCGAAGGTCGGATGGGGATGTCTTCAAGATGCGATCCCGTCATAGAGAAAGGTCGAGGAAGGAAACCCGTAGTCTTGGGCGATGATGGACCGCTGTGCATTTGGTGTCGACAGGTGTATCACGGGTTCGGCAAACCGCCCGGCTTGTTCTCACAACTCTAGTCGACCAAAGTTCTGGAGGTGTCGAAGGACGCATTGGCCTGTTTGTTTCGCGCAGTCGCTGGCTGAGTGCAAATGACTACGGGGCCAGTCGTTCAGACATACGAGGATAACCCCGTTGAGACGGAATGAGCCAGGCGAGAGGTATAGCAGTGGCTCTCAGAAAGAACAGAGGAATGAGGGTTGTGTGAGAACAAGTATCCAGCACCTGTTCAGGGTTCGGGGTACTTGGCGCGAAGGGAGCAGTATGGGAGGACGAGAGCAGGGGAGGAATTTTGGGTTTTCGAGCGGACAGGTCAGACGCTGTCTGTGTCTGAGAGGCCCAGAGGCGAGAAACAGCGTCAGTCGAGTGGATGATTAGCTTCAACTTTGGCTCGGACTGTGTTGATCGAAGCCTAAGCAAGTAGGATTGGCGGCGTCGAGTTTTGGTTCGGCTTGCCGTGGTACCCAGAGAGGTAACCAAAGCAGGCCTGTAGCTTGCCGCGTTGGCCGTAGTTGGCGCAGCCCGTGGGAGGCTTTTGGTGGGTACTTCTGTCTCGCTTGTGCCACGGGCGGGTTACGTCGTTCGACGAGGGGGGCTTGATCGGCAGCAACGGAGGCTTTGACTTGCTACAAGGGACAGTCAAATGGAACAATCGTTGCCGCTCCGTGTGGGTTTCACACGAGAAGGAGTCGGAAGAGAAGCAATTGTTTCACACAGACAATGGCCATGACAAGGCTCGCACGAGCGTCGCTGGTTTTTCCTCGAGTCAAGCGGCCTACGAGCCCTCCGGTGTACAAGTCTTTGGATATTATAAATTACAGATTATCCTTCTGCTGGATCTACCCGGAGCGATGACGATGAGTCGCAAGTGGCGCAAGGCTTTGGGAAGGCAACCCAGGGGAGGATGACGGTGCTGAGAAAACGTGGTTGCTGGGAGTGTGAGCGGGAGGCGAGGCCGTGCGAGTGCCACGGGACCAGTAGTAGGATGGAGACAGATTGGCCGGGAGGCGTGAGAGCGGGACACAACCAGTGCCAGTAACCAGAGAGCGGCAACGAGGTGTACGAGGATGGACCATGGATGGACCATGGTGGAGGAAGAAGCGCAAGAAAATGGCTGCGCCGCCTGGCAACTTGATTGGGCGCAGGCCACACAACGCAGCTTGACGTCGTTGATCCTCATCACAATTTCACCAAGATCTACATCCATCGCTCCCACTGCTCTCCTGTATCCTCAATCAACCAGGCAATCGACCAACCCTGGCCAACCCCCGTCCTGGCCAACCAGCCGCTCAATATTGTACAGTAGCAAGCTCCAGGAATGCCCTCTTGTCAGCCTGCTGACCGAAGCGAGACAGGTGACTGACTACTTTGCCTGCCTACTGACCAGGAGCACAGTTCCCTCCTTGCCTACGTGATGTTCATCATGATTCATGTATGGTTGTGTCTCCGTCTTAGCAGCTCCGTCCAGTGGATGTGTGTTGTTGCAATTCAAAGAGATCTTCACTTTAGGTGCTGGCGGGTGGAGGACTCTGATCCCACTCAACTCAAGATAACAGGCTGACAAAGGCAACGAGCAGCACTCATCCACAAAAGCAAAACTCTCAGAGGATGTCCTTGCAGCAGCTTTGGATTCACCAGCGTCCAAAAGCGAGATAAATGTTGCACCCTCGACCGGTGGCAGCCTTTCTTTTACACTTCGGAGCTTACCATCATCGCCCACCCACACCCCCAGTTTCAACCGCCCTTTGTATCATCCTTGCCACCACTATGACGCTACCACTCGATTGGTACGATATCTACCAACGGAACCGTGGGGGTCTTACATACTGTACGAGGGACACCCAGGGTTCTTCGAAACCCTTGGTCGGAGATTCCCCTTGGTCCCTTGCTGAAGGGCCATCTCAGGGATCAAGGACCCTGGGGAGAATCTTCCGGATGCTCATACGAACGGCGAAATACCACTGGCTAGAACTGGAGGGAGGACGCAGGGACCTTTTCATGCTCAATGACATTTAGGTCGGCTCTACACGCACCCTGATCCGATATTGACCCATCTCTCGGTAAAGTGCCGCTGTCCTGATCTTGGACCTACAGATACACAACACTTACAAGCAGCACGAGTCGTTGGAGGTGTCCTCGTACTGTTGAAGGTCTCTCCGTGCTAGTCCTAACGCCCAGGAAATGTTTTCCACAGAGCAACCCCATTGAAGGTCCGCCACTGCGACAATGGATCTCTCGGATCATAATCACCAGGCTGGAGTCAATTCTCACCCTACCTGGGCCCCCAGCAATTCCTCCTTTGGCCCTTGTCGCTTTTAGGGTGACGATGACGCCATGGGTTGTCGGAGTTCATCTCTTTCAGTCGAGAGATCATCGTCTGCGAATTTTTCCTGTTTCACCAACCTGTTGCAACCACTTACTCACAACCTCGGTGATCCATTGTCAAAATGAATCCGCTTGGGAGTCCTCACACAGTTTTTTCCACAAGATCTTCACTTCTGTTTCGTGAGGGGTGTACCCGCGCGGCACCATCCTCCCCCGCCGCTGCACCAATTGCTTTCTAGAATACAAATACCCCCGTACAATGGGGGCGTCCTAACTTGGAAAGGCCTCAAGACATCGAGATTCTCTGCTGCTGACGTAGTGGGCTGTCTGAAAACTCACGGATGCCCTAACACCACCACTGTCACAGGCACCTGAGTTGGAACTGGCGGTGAGCAGTGAAGATCACCTCTTTCTTATTCGCACGCGAATGTCTCCGTCGATGGCCAATGTGCCGTTGCCGGCATATTGCTGCTTCACTCTAGGAAATGCGGATGCGTGCTTACCCAAACCCACAACGTGTCCCATCCGATCCTGGCCGGAATACTCCACAAATTGCACATCAAACTTGAGGAAGAAGGCCGCTACGGCACCCAAAACCTCCTGTTTGGCAAATACGCGGCCAGGACAAATGTGAGTTCCTCCGCCAAAAGGAAAGTACTTCCCCGCGGCCCACGAAGAGCTAAAGGTCTGCTTCCCGGTTGTTTGATCGTGTCTGATGAATCGTTCTGCGTACCACGTGTAAGCAGGAGGCTCAAAGTTTTGTTCCCAAAACAAGTCGTGCTGGCTCAACGAGCTAGGTGCCATGATCAAATCGTCCTTGCGCAGCAAATATCCATCAATCACCAGATCTGTCTTCAATTGGCGAGTGACAAGGGTATCGACGTAATGTCTCATTGTTTCGGCAAAGACTGAATTCAAGAGTGGCTGGGCTATTAGCACTGCCATGTTGACTCCATCGTCTGGTAGCCTTGCATTTTCAACCTCTTGTCTCACTCGTCCGAGAACGTCATCAGGCATTTCCGGTGACAGGAGGTGTGCCAACAGCCAGTTTGTCGAAGGTACGGTATTTCCTGCCAAACTGGTCGTCACAACGTTGTCAGTTAAGGTTTCCGCATGTTGAACGTGGCTACGGGACGAAACCTACCCGAACAAGAAGCCAAGGTCAAATGCGGCTTTGCCCCTAATGCTTAGCCCAATGTTGTCGTAATAGCGATGTCTCGCTCTCGCGACTTTGGACCCCATCAACGGTTCCCAGTCTGGTTCCTCTGGCGCGACCCCGCCATGGTGTCTCAGAGCGTATTCAATCCATGCCTGCGTCGCAGTCAACAGGCTGTCCATGCACGCGTAGGCCTTGGGCTTGACGAGTTTCGGCACACCATACATTCGCGGCAGGAAGCCAGCCTCGTATTCCCAGAATTGCTCGGCCAAGGTAGGGTTTATCTCGAGTATCTTGGTGCCGAACAGTGCCCGTACCGAAGCTTCGAACATGGCCCTCCTCATCCATGATAGCAAGTCTATGGTTTTCCACTCGGTTTCGAATTTGATCCCGTCGAGTGCTTCCTGAAATGCCTCTATGAACTTTGCAGTGAGGGTATTGACGGCATTTTGGCTCAGTAGAAATTCATGGTTCAGTGCCTCCATGGTATCCTTTTTGTCGTGCTGGGATTCGTGGGTGGTCGGCGGGAACATGGCTTCTGCGTCTTCCCTCGAAGTGCCCAATGCTTGCGTACCGAGCTGAAAGTTGAACAGATCGCGACTCACGTGTTTTGATTTGAACAACGACTGTACGGCGGCAGCAGAGTTGACGATGTGGATGCGCTTACCGCCCAACAGGACAGTACAGACTTGGACATTTGCGCCCGTGGCCAACAGCCTGGTTCGAAGCATGCGCCAGAAAGAGCCGGGGTTTTCGTTCAGGAAAGCCAGGGCGCTGCCCAGCCATGGGATGAAATACGGCAGGACTGGTGGCGGGATTGGCTGAGACGAGTTTGACGAGTTGAGCTCCCGAGCTTTGAATCTTGCAATGGTGCGATGGAAGTTGATGGTTGTGATGACCCAGGTAAGGAGACATGTCGTGAGGAAAGCGAGGGGTATGCCCAAGAGGATTTGAGTGGGTGACGGTGCAAACAAATACGAGGTGAGGGCGTCGAAGGCTGTGAATGTCATGATGAATCCAGGTCAACAGACCTGCGTTCTCTTCTGAGACAGGTAACAATTTTGGTGGCTCATCCAAGACGGTTCAGGTAGTCAAGAGAGCAACAATCGTAGCCCTGACCGACCCGTCACCCTGACACAAAGTAGATAATTCGAAGTCTCGACGAGCGTAGGGGTCGTTTGGAGGTTGTCTCGGTTTTGCAATGGACAGAAGTGGCGGTGAACAGCAGGTGGCTTTCTGTCTGCATTGGTGTCTTTGTCTATACCGATATGAAGCCCTTCGGTGCACAGATTGCGACTTCAAACTTCTGTCTCTTTACGATAAGCTGACCACTTCGAGGTTGTTCCTTCGGACGCCACAAAGGTGAGATTGCTCTTGGCTCAGTACATTGGAGCTGTGTGGCCAGGTTCGCATACACTTTTAGCCGAATCCCCAGAAACCTTTCGGCTACTGCAGCCACCAAAGTCAAGGCCATAGAGTAAGCAAAGACCTCCAGCACCTGCGAACGGAGTTTCGCCGTATCCTACACTCTCCTGGTGGGGAAGAAAACGCTTTCTTTTCTTTCCGAGTCCTCGCTCGTCTCTATCAGTTAATTACTTTTTTTTTCCAGTTGTACTCGGCCAGAAAAATAAGTGAGCAAAGCGAGCAACTTGATCGGACCGCAGAAACGCCAATTGGGGGAAAATACACCAAAGGTAGAGAGAGAGAGAGAGAGAGAGGGCGCCAGCGACCACAGACCAAACAACGACGACAGACACAACAACCATCCAGCCATGACCGCCATCACAGGAATCGCACACGTCAACCTCACCGTGCCCAGCGGCGGTCTCGAGTCAGCCAGGGACTTTTACGCGGGCACGCTGGGCTTCACGTCGCGCACGGTGCCGCATCTCCAAAAGGACTCGCTTGCCTGGTTCGACATCGGGACGTCGGGCCAACAAATCCACATCGCCATCGGGGCCGAGAGCGATTTCCGGTCTGCCAGCTCGAGACACGTGTGTTTCAAAATCCAGAGTCCCGAGGCGCTCCTGGAGCTGAGGAGGAAGATATGGGATCATTTCCAACGCGGCGGGGACAGCGCGCCCCAGGCAGCCGATCAGCCGGGTGAAGAAGACAGCGGTGAGTTACTGCTGAGCCCCCTTTCGCGTTTCGTGTTGTGTTATGTCTGTCTACCTATACCCTCTCCCTATATGGACTGAACCTTTGGTTTTACTCCCGCGTTCATGGACGGACGGGCCCTCTTGGGGAGTATAGGGGGAAGGTTTAGAAATGAAGTTCAACTGCAAATTGCAATTGCAAAATTACTGTCATTTTCGAGAACAGAGTCCTAACTAGTGACTGATTTTGGGGTCGTCGTGTCATCAATCTAGGAGCGAAAGGAATCGAATATCCACAGCGATTCTTCGCGAGAGACTTTGCGGGCAACAGGCTGGAATTCAGCCTGTGAATTGGCTCCCGATGGCATCAAGGAGGAAGGTTAACGGTGAAGAAAGCATGTCTCGGCGCGAAGGGATAGATGATAAGTGAACGTGGTGGAATGCAGTTTTCTCTCCGAAAGAGAAAGAGAAGGGAAGAGATCGTTGGGCACCAAAACTGTTCCACGGTTTGTTTGGTGCTCGGAGAGATCTCAGAGATAGCTCGCGACGCACGCTTTGTTGTCTTCTTCGGCCAACGGCAACCGGGAAACGCGTTGATTTCGTGTCACGACCCCTACACCCACGACTAAAGATACCACAAGAAGAGAAGGTTGAGTATTCCCCCAAAGAGCTTGCACTTGTATCTCCTTGTACCTGATATTTCACTTCCTGTATCAGAATGCCCAGCTTCTCCATACGCCCCGTTGCTCGAATTCGGTGCACCACCTGATTTTCTCTCATGGTCTTGACATCATCCACCGATCTCCCTTTTGCCTGAGACGTAGCTCGACACCATTGACCAGACCCATGGCCCATCTCTTGGTCGATGGGATTTCCGGGGACAGGGCGTACCAGCAACGACAGACGCGAGGGTAGAAAGTTCGATCTTGATGGTGATAGGGCATGCCGGCGCAAAATGTAGAAATGGCCCGTGAGGTTGGGTCGCAGTCTCTCGTCCCTCGCTAGGTGGTGGCTTCGATTGAGTGATTGCCTCCACCACTGACGCCACCGGGGATGAAGCCTTTCGACAAATCTTTCTCCATCAAGGCAGAATGTCCACCACCACCACCACCACCACCACCACCACCACCAGCAGTGGTAGAAGAAGAACACAACCCCGTTTGATCGCAAGTTAGAGGCGATAACACCCCGTTGAAAACAAGTATTCCGGACCTAGCCTGGTACCCGACACTCACAATGATGATATTGAGTCTGATGCAGAGTAACTGACGGATGAATGCATCGGTGTCGGGCGAACCCAGTCTCCATCCACCACTGTGGGAAAAGACCATGACAGGTGAATGTTCGCAGGAAGGGTCGAGGCCGATAGATTCGAGTTGTGGTGGACGTGCCGTCTCTAGCGACGAGTGGCCTGTCCTCTTGGTTCCATGGTCAAGGCGAAGAACCGCCCAGAATCTCTTTGACAAACTCGCTCTGATGAAACGAACACCGCCCATTGAATGGAGACGACGTGACTCGGCCATGTCATCTCGCCTTGGGAAGAAGTACTTTAGTCGTCAGCTCTTCTTCCATTGTCTAACCATATTCGGTCAGCAGATCATCCGTCGCACAATCAAGCACGGTAAAGACCACGCCGGTCGAGTGCAGGCTCGGTAGGGAAATCTTTGACTTCACTTCAATTTCACTTCACCATTCTGCGCGTCCATACGCGTCTCGACCACCACGCAAAGCTGCAAAAAAGATAAGGCAGGTGGGTGTAGATGGCCCGACTCGAACCATCTACACTACCACTCCATTTGCCCTTGCGCGTAGGGGCGTCCACTGATCTTGGGTTCCGCATACTCCGCAAGTCGAGACAGAAAAGACCGCCTTGATCTGTCCTGGAATGGCCCAACCTACCAAACCACAGGCGCAGCCCCTCCCACGTAGCGCGGTCATGCTACTCCCTCCCGACTCTTCGGGGCTGCATTGTGACAAAATTCCAGGTTTCGAATACATATGGACTTGAAATAAGAGGCTATGGTTGTGATAGGCTCAGAGAAGAGGTGACCGCCCTGGAAGTGGAACCCCCATTCACTGCTTCTCTGTTTTGATCATTTCACTGGCTGCCAAACATCATTCTGACGAGTGAAAGACGGCACTGCGGAGGAAGACTCGAAGACTGGGAATGTGGGAGTAGGAATCGGATCTCCGAATGACCAAGTTCAGAGAGCCATATCAAGACAGTTGATATAGGCGCAATCTGGAAGCAACAACGGGAACAGTCTGGATTGTTTAGCTCTAGATTCATACCGTCAAGGCTTGGGAAGCGCGAAAGGCATCTGTCTCGTCGGAGGATGGAGCCTGAAAGGGGGAAGCGGGCATCAAGCTCAGCAGGACAACAAGCTGCCCATGAAGAGAGTAAAACGAAAAGCGGCGAAGAGCGAGGAGATATCCAAGGGCCAGGTGCTGACTATCTTGCTAGTTACAGCCGATGAGGCCGTGGGCATTTGGCGAGATACACGACGACCTGGGGGTCTCGAGGAGTTTCCAGGATGAGCTATGGCCCTGTAGATCCAGTGGGATAGAGAGTCTTCGTACCAAGTAGTACTGTGATGCCCGTAGTAGCCGCGGTAAGCATTCATTGAGCCTGCAGAGATAGTACCTCTTTGGGAATTGCACGAATGTACGGTGTAGGTGTCGGTACCGTGGTACAACATTTCCACTGCGCAACCGGAATTTCGGTGATTCAGTCCGGCTCCGGATTCCACTATTCTCTTTTGAGACCAACAACCTAGGCATCTCAAGTTCCATCAAACTGCGGCTAACACATTCCCATCTGATTGTCTCTCTTTGCGGTCGATGGACTCCGCTGAACGGATCATGTACCCCCAGACTGTAGGATAGTCTGCCGAATATTCATCAGACTCCTTTTTCTCTTGTGCTACACTCCGAGACAAAATCCCTAGACTCCCCTCCCCTACCCTCCATCTCCCGTCTTCTAACCAGATCGTTCACCTTGATATTCTTGCCCAGGCACTCCGTAAACCACTCGCCATGGGCAGCGCTCAAACCGACGTCGAGCTCCAAGACTTTGGCAGCATCTTCAGCCTCGAGGGCAAAGTGGCCGTCGTCACTGGCGGCTCAAGAGGTCTAGGCCTGCACGTTGCATCTGGGTAAGTAGGAATCACACACATCATTGCATATTTATTCGCGCCATGGCCCTCAGGCCCCCATGCATATCACCACTGACAGCAAACCTGCAACCCCCAGATTCATGCAGGCAGGCTGCTCCAAAGTCTATATCACGTCCCGAAAGGCCAAAGCATGCGAAGAAGCCGTGGCGGCTCTGAACGCGCTCCCCAACAAACGTCCCGGCGCCGTCGCCATCTCGATCCCCGCCGACTCGGCCAAGATCTCCGAGATCGAAAGACTGGCTGCTGAAGTGGCCAAGACGACCGACCACGTCGACATCCTCTTCGCCAACGCCGGAGCCACATGGGGCGCGCCCTTCGAAACGCACCCGGAGAGTGCCTTCAGCAAGGTCATGGACCTCAACGTCAAGAGCGTCTTCTACACGGCGCAAAAGTTCGAGCCACTGCTCAAGAAGCAGGCGAACACGGAGAACCCGAGCAGGATCATCATTACCGCCAGCGTCGCGGGTTTGGGCGTGGGCACGCTAGGCGAGAACGCCACGTACGCCTACAGTGCCAGCAAAGCGGCGGCGATCCATCTTGCAAAGAACCTCGCGGTCGAGCTGGGCCCGAGAGGAATCATCACCAACGCCGTCTGTCCGGGTTTCTACCCGACGAAGATGGCGTCGGGTCTGATGGAACTGCAGGGTGGCCAGGCTGCTCTTGCGGCCGAGGTGCCCAACAAGAGACTGGGACACCCAGAAGACATCGCGGGGCTGGTGGTCTTCCTGTCCAGCAGAGCGTCAAAGCATATCAACGGCGCCGTCATCACGACTGATGGTGGATCTTTATTATCTCGAGGAAAGCTGTAAATGTACATGATACCAAGAAGTGTACTCTGTGTACCAGTATATACGGGTTGAAATGTTCGACGTTGCCGATCAGAAGTCAGTAGTACTGACCGCAATGACACCAGTTTCCATGTCTTTAAATCGTGTCGAACTCCTCCGGCTAGTTCAATCTTGTACGGTGTTCTTGGTGCAATCCTGACAATCCCTCCCCCTACGTTTGGTCAGCTAGTCTAGCCCAGGATTATAGGATCTACTGGCAGGATTGTGTACATTGATGCAATACCGAGTGCGATGTCAATACATGCTCAGCGGTGTTTAGAAGTCCATCTATATAAACACCCTCAAGAATTCGACCAAGGCCATGATGGCCATCGCTTGACCGTACGGCATACTCGTCCTCTCGATGTTGACGTAATGCTTCAAATCGTGGCCCATGGCCGTCCCAAAACTCACGTCGCCGAGCTCCCCAGCGTCGTTTATTCTCCTCAACACAGCCTTGACCGCGCGTAGGGCAACATCCCTGTACTCTTTCGGTACGTATCTCTTCCTCACGGCTTTCAGCAGTCCGTACGCGAACCCGGCGGTGGCAGACGCCTCCGGATAACTCCCATCGTCCTCGGCCACGTCGAGCAGTGTCCTCCACATGCCGTCGGGCGTCTGCAGCGCGCGCAAAGCGCGGCACTGCGCCTCGAGCACGCTGACAAGGTACATCCTGAGGCCGTCGCTCGGCTGCAAGTCGAGGATCTCAATAAAGTCCGGGATGGCGATGGTCAGCCAGCTGTTCCCCCTCGCCCATCGGGCCCGGGCGAAATTGTGGCCTCCACGGCCGGCCGCGGCGTCTCCTTCGTCGTGAAACTGCCATCCGTGGAAAAACAAGCCCGTCGTCGGGTCAAAGAGGTACTGGACGTGCAAGAGGACCTGCCGCTTCGCTTCCTCGACGTAGTCCGGCCGGTTCAGGAGCACGCCCACTTTGGCGAGCGGGAGCACCGTCATCATCAGCGTGTCGGCCCAGAGTTGGTTGTGGTTCTCGTCGACGTACGTGATGTGCTGCATCGCCCCGAACGTGGTGCGCGGGAGTTCGTGCATGGCCCACTCGCACCAGCTATCCAACCAGGCGAGGTGGCTCTGGTCGCCCGTCTTCTCGTACAGGTGCGCGAGCGTGAGGAACACGGCCATGGTGTTGATGTTCTTGGTCGTCCCCTCCGCCAGGCGCGCCGAGAACCACCGGGTGATCACGTCCAGCGCGGTCGCGGACGACGTGAGCGTGTGGTATTGGTAGAGCCCGTACAGGCCGATGCCGTGCGTCCATTCCCAGTCGTTCCAGCCCTTGGTGTCGATGGTACGGCCATCGGGGAGGCGCTGGAGGAAGCGGCCTGTTTCGTCCTTGATGCTGACCAGGTTGGTCATCAGAGATTCGATCTTGGCATGAATGTCGCTCGCTTGGAGTCCTTCGACGGTCAATGGTGAAGGCATGCCGACGATATGATCAATATATGCTTCGGTATGATCTCGGACAACGCCCGGCTACTTTATTTGTCCGTGGTCGTCTTTGTACCCTAGGGAAGCCCTGGTTGACGTCGTCCTGGTTTTGGGTCGAGCGTAGGCGACTACCACTTAGAACCGCTGTAACTTGGAATATCTAGGCTGGACGTCGGTGTAACGCGTAGTATAGTTCTTGTTCTCGAGTGGCGAGCCTACTGAGCCTTACCTTGAATGAAGTGCCGAACTGGTCGATGGTTTTCACGCGCTCTGAATTGCACCGAGATGAGCCCACACCATGTGCCGATCAATGGGTCCATCCATCTGAATCCAGAACCAATACAAGTCTCTCTCTCCCCTGAACTGCATTGCACGAGTGAATAATATCCATACAGTGTTGCCATTGAAAGGTTGGGTAAGAGTTGCGGCCATGCTACGCTTCATACTAAGGTGATGCTATTGAAAGATGAAAAGGCTGAGAGGAATGATGTTCGGGGCATTCGAATCATCCCGGCGTGTCTGAAGACAAGAGTAGTCTGACAGGGATGACTATTCAAGAAGGGTGCTACTTATGCCACAAATGAAAGCGTCGAAATCTCAGAGGAAGAGGACGAGCGGCTTAAGAGGTCGATTGAGCTGCGTGTGCTGGTTGTCATGATTCATCGCAGATGTACTTCCCCCCAGCGCTTGAAAAGGGAACAACGTTCTCTGCATCAAGGGTGTGGATTCGACAGGACCTTAATCTGCACGCCCAGTAGGGTGGAGATGCTTGTGAACAAAACCATGTCTGGTCGACTCGTGCAGTCGCTGACAGAGATACATACCGTGTCACCGTAGTCGTCGAGCATGATTGTGATCTGGTAGAGAAAGTGGTTGCTGTGGCGACGGATCAAAAGGCCAGCGACATCAACAATTTTCCGCCGGTGACACTGACACGCGTCAGCCACTTTCACCCCGTCAGCCCGTGCTTTCGTGCAAGAACCATCCTTTCGAATTCTGCACGGTCGAAAACTGTGAAGATCATGATGTCGAGTTCTCCGTCAGCCGTAATCGAAGATTTCGCATATCAACATTCCTCTCCGCTTTCATTGCGCCAACAGCGACTCCCAACTTCGCCCGATCAAGTCTCAGAGCCACACGACTACAACTTCTCGGGCGCAGTGTACGATGAGGGTACCTCAGGTACAGACTCGGAGAATCAGACGGCAACAGAAAATGATGAAGAGGAGGAACTGTTAGACATTGACCGACGTGCCTCGGGCTGCTCTTCAATCTCGTCGTTTCCTGCGTCAGTATCGCACCAGGTGCCGTCGAGAACAAGTCACTATGGCAGCTCAAGGACGCCTACAAAGCGGGATTTGGTTGGGTCACATGGTGTGTACAGCTCTGAAGGACCAGGCTATCCAGCAAGGTCGCCCAGGGCATTCCCAGAATACCAATCGCCCTTCCGACATCCCAGCAGTGTAAGGGCTCTGCAAATGAGAGATGAAGTGATGAGCGATACGCGGAGCGTGCTAAGACACAGGCGAAGCGGCTCTCAGATGTCTTCATACAGCGCCAGAAGCTCGTATTCGACACCTAGTTCTCCTGCCAAACGCACGACCCGCTCAAATCGCTCATCACCTCAGAAAACCACCAGCAGTCTCCGAAAAGAGTTCCCACTTGTTCTACTTCATTGCACCATGCTGCCTCCAACTTTGCTATCACAAGCTATGGCTCATGAAGATTCTCTCATTTGCGAGTTGCTTCCTGAAGAGTATCAGAAGAGATGGCACCATCTGCGAGACAAATTGGTCGAAGATGTCGAGATCAAAACCAGAGGAATTCTCATCGCACATCCTCGCGATGACTACGAGCTCCTGGAAGAACGCCTTCTCGAGAGCTTGGACCTTGAACGGCCTCGCATAAGGCATAATCATTATTTCCCGCACGATAGTACCGGGACTGATAGTGGATTTGAAAGTGGCAGTACTACTAGCGACGACAACGACGACAACGGCCCGAATGATACCAAATGCCCTGACTGTGGCAGGAAGTTGAGAGCAGACGAGACTCCGCGAAAATGGGAAGTCAAGGTATTTGCTGCCAACGGACTGCTGAAGGCAGGAGCCTGGGGAGCTGCGTGGCAAGAAATGGAAAAGGTTGACGTGGAAGTCAGGGTTTGGCTGCCAGAAGACATACGGCGGGATCTAGAGGCCAAAATCGCCCTCATCGACGCTATCCCCGGTGGCTCTGAAAGCAACGCCGGCCAGTCTGAAGTTCCAACTGCTCGTGACAGGGAAGTCTATGGTGCAAGCGGGAGGTCCAGGAGTCAATCTGAGATCGATGGCTTTTTTGAACAGCCCGCACCAACCACGATGCCAGAGCCACGACCTCCGGTGCCTCAGGCGGTACCTGACCCAGATGATCTTGGAAAATTGATGGTTGCTGCGGTTCAAAAGTTCAGTCATGAGCGGCGAAACCTGCTAGTGATGATCTTAAGTGGGCTGTTGCTTTTGTTCGCGATGAGGCCAAGGACATCTCCAGAAGGACAACGCCCAGGACTGTACGATCCATCATCGGCTTATATGGCAGAGACCTTGACGACCACGGTCACGACCACCAGGATTGCGGTTGCCACTGCCACTGCCACTGCCACAGTAACAACGTCTATCCTTGCACCACCTTTGCCCGTGGCCCCTGGTCCTCCGGAGGATGTAACGTCCTCCTTGGCGATAAAGGACGACGACAGTGTCTCGTGGGAAGCTTTGAACGGCACACGGTCGACAATGCGTCCCGATGGGGATGCCCCGGTGGTCGATGCGAATATATCATCCTCGACTTCAACCTCGTCGAATCCGGCAAAGCCAACCGCGAGGTCAGAGGAGATATCGGTGGAGACTAAGAGTGCAGATTCGTCACAAGGAGAGAATGGCGATGGCGATGGCGATGCAGATGAATATACGCAGACGTCGAGCGTGGTGGCGGAAGCTGAAACGGCGATGAAAGAGCTCGAACCAGGATCCAATTCCAATTGAGACGACGACAAACAATAATGCCAACCACACAAATGGGTGTGTGTTTTTTTTGGTTTAGTTCCAGGTAGCTTAGCGTTTGTAGCGTGCAATATCGACGAGAACCATTCATTTAATTTGTACAGAGTCGACAAACGTATACAGATAGGCAAAGCAAAAGATCCGCAGCTAACTACTGGCGGGAGGATCTCGGGGGGGGGGGGGGGGGTGGTTTAAAAAAGTCCAAAAACTGTTGAGATTGCGAGGAATAAATAAATGCAGGTAATAACTCGAGCTCGGTGCCCGTACACCTCACCTCATATTCCAAAACGGTCCAAATTTGAAAAGAAAAGAAAAAACACTCCCCCCCCTCTAGATACAGTACCAATCGCACTTGCTACCTGGAGGTCCTTGGTGCAGAGAGAGACCTGGATTAGAACCATCGAGCGAGGAAGTGTGCCTGGTGGAGTCATACCGGAAGCGGTGACGGGGCTCTTCAGGTACAAGTATTAAGCACATACAAAAAGTCCGTACATATCTACTACATATTGAAATACCGACAGATAATAACCATCCCGTCAGACAAGTCGATCGCCGTTGGGTACAAAACTCGGAGGCATGCATACCACGGCGTGTGTAGACATGGTCTCTGTCTTGTGGAATCCAACATCCACGATGATCCGCACGTGGCGGCTTCAGGACGCCATGAGCAGCCCACACTCGAACGGCCCAAGAGCCAAGTTGACAGAGGAGAGGACCCAGCTTGATCGGGGGCGAATGGTGGTGAAACTGAGGAGGGACAGAAAACGCAGCGGTCAAGATGTATGTTTCTCGTTAATCAAAAAGGCGAGAGTGGCCTTGTTGTGGACATTGTCCAGGAGATTCTGCTTGGTTGACCAGTGATATCCAGCTGATGTCGCCCTCGGTGGTTCGAAGGGAGAACTGTGTCGTATGGCACAATCCGCCGTCCTGAGAACACCATCGGAGGACTGACGAGGGGGGGTATGTTCCTCGCACCAAATCAAGCCGTCGATGCGAAGACAGCGTTTGTCACAATCACACGTCAGTTTTGAGCCAAGTCGTATCCGGGGAGGCAGATCGGTAGGCGCAGGCATGCCTGCATAAGAGATGCAGCACCTTGTCCAATTTAAGCACAAAGCTGGACCTAACTATTTTCGTGGAACTGTATCGACTGAGGTTTTCGCTTGAAGGCGGATTTCACCTCCAAGTGTCGGAAGGAGCCGATCTCGACAGAAAGCGGGCACCGAATTTCACACAAAAGGCACCGTTGTCTTGAAGATCAAGCGGGAGAGGGGCGTGACCCTGGCGGCGGCTTCATGTCGATGAGTAACACCTACCAGGGTTTAGTATGTCTTGGCTTGTCATAAAAGGGAAGACTTGGTCGTAGATCTGGCGAGCTCAATCCATTTTAGCTCGTGGGGGACAAGTACAAACCCCGGGGGCTCTTCTTGTCATTGTCATTGACCAGGGGAAAAGTGACAAGGATGAGCTCTCACCGACGACCAGCTTTGGCGACGAGGAGAAGAGTCAAGTGCGTGGCCAACAAGACCAAGACAACGTGGGTGAAGGTTGAGCAGGGACGAGCAACATAAGAGACGGCGAAGAGATATAGAAAGGACGATGCTGTGGAGTTGTGAAGGTCGAAGTCGTTCTCGACTCTCTTCGGTGTACAACACGTACGAGTATGAGGCTGCGCGGCACGGAAGTAAGAACCTAAAAGTCGTCAGTCCTGGGATCCCCAGACGAGCCCTCCACGCTTTCCCACAGAGCCTGGCGAGCCTAGTGAGAGCTCTAGCCAACGGGCCCGAGGGGGGGCCTCTACATACCTATTGTAGGTAGGCACCTACGGGAAGGTAACGGACAGTTGTATCTTCTGGGATCGTCGGCGTCTCCGATCATGCGGACATCAACAATGACCCGTTTTGAGCCCCGTCACAACGTTGTTACTGTTCACCCAGCCATCTCCACGTCACTTGGAGTGGGCGAAGGATCAATAGCTCACTCAAAGGACCAGGGGGTACGAGGGTTGGACAGACACAGCTCGGCACGGGCACCATTCTTTATTGCGGGGCGGCCATGGGCATCCTTTTTCCACGTCTCTGCGCCTATGGGAGCCCCCGACCAACCACCTCCCGCCGCCGACAGTGCCCGTCGTCGCCTGGGACTGGGTTAGATCTAGTTAGGGCCACTACGATTTAGGTACAGTACATCAGCTACCCAGAAAGCACCAACAGCGTCATGACCCCGTACCACCATTCGTCTAAAAGCCCCATTGTACGAGGTAGTCCATTTCCAACGGTTGACACTTGTTGAATCTGGGATCTGGGTCAATCATCACCTGGCACCGACGCCACCTACGAATCTAGCCGTACATGACTTCATGTCTAGCAAGCCGCCAGGATCAGGAGCAGCGGTTACCTACCTTACTTGGGAAGGTCCAGATAGTGACGAGTCGACGAGGGAAAAAGTAGCCACACTCCCGCCGTAGTGAACATGCAGTACATCCTTGTACTCGCACACGGCGAGGCACTCATCTCTACCTACGGAGTATAGGTACCGAGACCTGCGGTGGTCTGTACCTCGGTACACCCTGCCCTAAATGTACCCAAAATGCGCCCCCGGTCGCTGCAAGCAACAGCTCATTACTCCGTACAGGTAGTTAACTTAGTGTCTTGTGGTGGTGGCTCAATTTCCCTTCGCCTTCCCCTTCCCACGGCCCTTTGCTTCCTGTGCCCCCTCGTCTGCTCGTATCTGGCATGGACAACTGTCTGTCTCATGCTCTGCGCTCGTCTGATCACTGTGTACTGCGACTAGTTAGCCATGTCTAGCTTGGTTGCTGGCGTCAATACCCCGCAATAGGCTGGCGCCTCCTCGCCCTCCCATTGACTGTTCTCTTTTGGCGACCTTCGCTACCTCGCCGTCTCGTCGGGTGTATTCCTGTCTACATGTCCATCTGACCCTGGACATTTCCTTCAGCCTTCGCCTCGACCGGCCCCAACCATGCAGTGGGCGAGTGAGTGTGTGTCTCCAAGTCACTCCAGCCCCGCTCGACGTGGTGCCCACCTCCGCCATCAGTGCCAATTCTCCCTCCTCTCCTTCGTCGCACCCTCGAGCTACTGCTGTACTGTACATGCTGTTCCTCCCAGGCCCACTGGCCTCTCCTGTACCATCCCCGTTCTTGTGGCGTCATGTCTCTCGTTGTTGTCCATGCCATGCTCGACACGCTCTCAGTCAATCGCAGCAGCCTCTTCTCAATCAGCATGGACCCTGAACACCCTGCTCGTATCCTGTCGTGGATAGATACATAACGACACTGCCACCACTGGGAATTCTGGGACATGATCGGTCTCATTATTCTCTCTGCTCCATCCCCCTTACCGTAGCCCTGGTCGCCCGGCGGCACTCCTCCTTTCCCTCTTGGTCCAAGTGCTTCACCCATCTGGACTGACTACAGTACCCTTCACTGCCAGCCTACTGCTACCTCAATCTACTCCCACCATCCGATCTAGCTTCCTTTGACTGCTACTGCCAGATACCCGGCCTGGTGCCTGTCGTCTGAACAGCTGTTGACCCTCGTCAGTGTCGTTCCAGCTACCGGGGAGACAGCCAACTAACCCTGATGATCAGCACGCCTTCACGCTCTCCCTGTCGTGCTTGACTTGATGTGCTGAATGGTCAAAGTATTCACTGCAAGTCGCGGGGCCGAAAACCACAGGAAAATAAAATAAATTCGCTGGTGGATGGGCGAGCGTCGCTGGACTTTGCATGACCGTCGCACTATCTCTTCCAGCTTGACTACTACTCCTACTATTACTACTACTACTACTACTACTACTACTTTGACTTCGCCCTTATATCTTCATTGGCTTGACCCTCTTGGTCTCACTCCTCCTCGGTCACACCGCACCCTGCGCGCATAACTCTGCCTGGCCTTGCCCTACCACTTGCTCCTCTTGCGAGCGGAGCCGTGAGAGGCAGAAGGAAACGCTGCCCTTCGGTTTAACCTTACCAGCCAGCCGCTGCTGTGCGACCTGGACAGTTTGACTCTGATACCACGACTGCCATTCCTCGGCAACGCGTGCTCCTGTGGCTAGTCCTGCCCAAGGAGGCTCTTCCAGGATATTGATGAGTGTGCCGAAGCCTTAATCGGCCGACTTCAAACCTCTACTTGCCAGCTACAATCTGGACGCTATGTCGTAAGTTTCTCCCCCTGCTGCGTGGTACCTCCATACTCCAACCCCCTCCTGGAGAAGAAGCTGCTACTACTGCTGGTTCGGGCTCTTTCGCCAGACTTCAAGCCACGACTGCTTTAAACATGCCCTGACATTCTACTCTGCTAGGAGTCCACCACCGCCGAAAAAGCAGAAGCAGACACAGCCCATAACGTCGTCCAATGCGGCCAACAAGGAGGTGTCGGCGCCTCAGACGCCGCTGGCGCCCAAGCCAAATTCTGAGCCTCTCCTGATGCCAGCAACGGACCCAGGCAATCCTCGAAAGCGTGGTCGAGCTACGCCGAGTCCCAAGTTGAACACCTTACCCCCGCAAACAGGATTGCCACCAGAATCACCATCGACCACACCCAGTGTGCCCGGTGTGCCCATCAATGCGTTGCTGAGCGACGAATCGGGCAAAAAGCGCAGTCGCACCAACACTCCGTGGACGCCGCAGGAGGAACAACGCCTAAAGCAAATGCGAGATGCGGGTCACAGTTGGAGCGAGATTGCAAAAGTATTCGGGCCTGTGCGTTCCTGTTCGATTACAATGCTCACGTCTCATAGTCCTTTCCTGCGCGAACAGAAGGAAGCGTGAAGAAACATTGGTACAAGGCAAGTGTCGGCAGCCTCAAACTCACCAGAGCAGGCTAACTCAACTCAAGGACATGCACTACGCAGAGTTTGCTGAAGACGAGGCAAGGTTCGCGCTCATCTTGTATGTCACCGGAACTAACCTCGTCCAGTCCGCAGCCCTGCGCGAAGCCATCAAAGAATACGATGCAAACAAATGGAAAGCGATCGGGCAGAAGCTCGGCAAGCCAGCAAAAGTATGCTCTGGCCCCACGTAATTCTGCCTAATTCTGCTTATTAACCGACATTGTCAGGCATGCGAGCAGTATGCGCGAGAGCATTTCAGGAACGGCTGAGCCCGCAGTTGATTATCTCACTTGTCATGAAGCGAAGGCGTTGGGTTGGACACCAAAGTGTATCGTGCTTTCTCAGGTTACAGAATTGACGGGCTTTTCCTCGGCTTGAAAGATACCTCTACTCTGTCTTGTGTCGGGACGTCCAGAATGCATGGGAGGAGCGCTGGATATGATTGCCACCGGTCAGTGGTAGGATTTGTTTGCAATAATTAACGCTACTGGGTTTCTAAATGATGAGGCTGGCCATGGTGCCTGTCGAATAACGAATTCATGCGCTCCAAACCGCAGACAGATCGAGACCGAACATGCTTGCCAGGCCGGGGTCACCCAAGCACCTCAGCAATCTGTCAACCATGCGACGGTGCGTGTGCCAATCACGAGGTGCTTGCCGACCTGTGTCGCCGCAGAGATTTGTATGGCGAGGATTGGTTGGGCCTTAGTAGCCCGGGAGTCTTGCCTAGGTGGGTGTCGGCTGGCATGCCAGCCCTTGATGTTAAGGCACCAGATCCGCAGCTGTGTAAGCCTGGGCTGCATCTGTGCTCTCGAGGATGTGACAGTGGCATCTTCCTGGCTGCACGAGCGGGCATGTTACATGCTGTAGCAGCTGCCTCTGCACGCGCGATTGCCATTTCCATTCTCGATACGGAGGACATCGATAAGGCTAGACGTGGAAAAAGAAAAGGATGCCGCTCCAGGATTAAAACGAGGCCAAGGGGTCTGGCGAGGGTGTTTGATTGAGAACAGCAAAGGTGTGCACACTCGTATTGTTGAGCGCCACCGTAGCAAGGGAGTTTCTCAGAGGAGAATCGTTTCCCCGCCCTCCGAAGTCACCTTGATGTTATCGTTATCGCTATCGTCACATGTGCAATACAATACAGTACGCTCGTACACTCTTATCAGTCGTACCTGGCTTTCTCCGCTGTGCCTGCGGAGTACAGAGTCATTACCTAAATCTTTCCCAATTTATTTCTTCCTCGCTCGCCTTTCTGGCTTTTTTTTTCTGCGCCCTTCCGCCCGCACTGACTGCGACCGACCAGGTCCAGTCCAGTCCAGTCTATACACATAATGGCCACATTTCGACGTCGACGGTGACTCACCGATTCGTTTTCCTTGCTTGGGCACGTTCATATTCGTTCCTTTCGTGTGCTGTGCTCTCTCTTTTGCCTGGTGTCTGCCTTTTCCCTGTACCACTAACCACGCCCTCGAGGGCTCAAAGAGTTGGATCTCATCGTTGCACAACCTCGTTTGGACGGCGACTAGAGTCACGGCTCCACCGCTCTTTTCACCATTCATCGCCACCGTCGTTGTGCGTCGAGTTGCTCTCTGCTTGCATCAGTGACCGCGGCGAGCACCTCCCCCGCCGGTGATAGGAGGGCTGCACTGCATTCGAGTCCAGCATATCTTGGTAAGTATAGTCAATGTGCATGAACAGCTGTTCGTCCGGTTCCGTTGAGTTGCGGTCCTTCCATACCCCGTTGGGCGCCTGCATGGTAGACCCTCCTCGTCCCTGCGCTTGCATTGGCGAAGGTCGGTTTATTGCAGCATCTCAAAGTCCTTGTCGCCTGTCGCAGGCTGTTATGCTTACTTCTGGTCGTAGATTTCCGCCGCAATTTAACCACCTGCCTCTCGATTCTTCCCTATGGCCAGTCAAGCCGATCGTTTCGACGCCGAGAAGGCGCAAACGCAGCCATCACCTCAGCCAACGACCCCTGTTTCCGGCTACCATGCGTCCGACGACGACAGACCTGCTGACCTGTCCGTGACCGCCCGGTTCGCTGCACGGCTTCGATTGTTCGAGCATATTCTGCTCAAGTACAACATCGAGACTCGAGGGATACAAAGAGTAGAAGATCACGAGAAACAGCACCACTCGTGGTTTACCTACCTCCAAGTTTTTGTGCTGTGGACTTCGATCAATCTGGCTATAAACAACGTGACGTTGGGCATGCTAGGCCCGGCTGTGTACGAGCTGTCCTATACAGACTCGTCACTTTGTGCTGCTCTGGGCGCTCTCTTGGGCTCCCTGCCTGTGGCCTGGATCGCAACGTGGGGACCAGTTTCCGGCATCCGGACAATGGTCTGGGGAAGATATGCCATGGGCTGGTATCCCAGCAAGTTGATTGTCATTCTGAACATCGTTGTCATGCTCGGCTACTCTCTACTGGTGGCCATCATTGCTGGGCAGGTGCTCTCGGCCGTGTCCCCGAATGGATCGATGTCTGTGGTCGTCGGTATTGTTATTGTCGCCGTCATCACTTGGGCGGTTACGACGTTTGGGATCGCCGTGTTTCATTACTACGAACGCTTTGCCTGGTTGCCACAGCTCATCGTTTTCTCCATCTTGTACGGTGTGGCGGCCAAACAGTTCGACACGACGACACCCAGCGTGGGAGATAGCCGTACTGTCACTGGCAACCGGCTATCCTTTTTCTCGATTTGCGTCTCTGCTGCCATTACGTACTCTGGTCTCGGAATGGATTACTTCGTCTACTGGCCAACTACGACTTCACGACCATTAATCTTCACCATGACATTATTGGGTCTAACACTTTCCTTCACTTTTGCCTTCGTGCTGGGGGCAGGAATTGCCTCGGGCATTTACAAGTCTGAAGCATACATGAACGCATGGACCAATTCACAGGGCGGTTCAGGGTCGGGGGCTTTACTGGTCGAAGCCTATTCTCCATTGGGCAATTTTGGAAAATTCTGTGCTGTCATTGCTGCATTGGGCGGTATTGCGAACATGATCCCACCGACATATTCGTCTGGAGTTGACTTCCAGATGCTCAATCGGTACTTTGACAGCGTCCCGAGAGTCATCTGGAACACTCTTGGTGTCGTAATTTACACTGTATGCGCTTTAGCCGGACGCAACAACCTGGGCGTCATCTTTACTAATTTTCTCGCGTTGATGGGGTATTGGGTCGCCATATGGGTAGCGATTCTCCTTGAAGAGTTCCTCATATTTCGAAAAGCAAAAACATCAAACTACGACTGGCATCTGTGGAACCGCAGAGAAAAGCTTCCAGTCGGTCTTGCAGCCCTTGTGGCATTTCTGATTGGTTGGGCGGGCGCGATTCTCTGCATGGCTCAGGTTTGGTACACTGGACCAATTTCTAAATTGGTCGGTGAATATGGCGCCGATATGGGCAACTACGTCGGGTTTTCCTGGGCAGCTTTAGTCTTCCCGCCCCTACGATGGCTTGAGCTGAAACGTTACGGAAGATAGAGTGGACGCGGCGTGAGCATGTGGCCTCTGCAGGCCAACAAAACCGTCTATGTAATGATTCCAATTGGCTCGCAGCCTGCGACAAAGAGCGGCCTGGATTTGTTCTTGATGACTTCGCGAGTCGTTGACCCACTACGAAGTCAGAAGCTTTCGGAGTAATATCAATCTCGTATTCGCACTGTCTCGCGGCTTCGACAAAGGCAAATTGAGTACGAGGCACAAAGTTACCTTGACATGTTATTGCCGACGTGGGGCATGGAGAGATTATTCTGATTTCCACGTCCAACAGAGTCAACTCTATATATATCAAGCAATCACAGTCGGACCTCAATATGAGAGCCAGGCCACACGAGGTCTATCTGCTCATTTAAATGTCCTCATTATATGAGTGCAAACTGGAAGCGGCCAGGAGCTCGTAACGCTTAGACTTACTACAACCAACTGGCAGCACATTGGCCATAGGACAACATCAGCGGGTTATGTGAGATCTGTCCGCGGAGACGGATCCTCTCTGCATGTTTCTTTAAACAGAAACGCGCTTCTCTAACCGATCTCGAGCGTCAATGGTCGCCCACGGGCCCATGGGCCAGGCCCCTACGCGTGGACTCGAGGTCAAAGGGTTTTCGAGACAAGCGTCAATCTAAGCCTCTTCAAGCCTGGTGAAGCTTTCGTCCCCAGTCAAGATTGCAGTCAAGCGCAAGATCTAGCCTCGGCTACGAACCCAACCGTCGACAGATCATCCCGCGATGGTCAAACTTTTTCTTCAGTACACCCCCCCGGTCTCGAAACTGCAGCCACTCAGGGGTTACTCTCGTTGTTTTAGTGAGCAAAAAGCCATCCAGCTCCTTCTGCCTGATCTTTGATGGCGCGCCTCATATTCAGACGGCTAAAGTGCGCTCAAAATATGACCAGGTCTTTTTTTAAGGGGCGGCCACCCGTCAAGATTCAATATCTCCGCCTCCTCCACGTCAAACTCGTTGTCAAAAGTGTTAGCCTCAGCCTTCCTAGTGAAAGCCGGTTAGGATCCCCGCAGACAAAGACTCCCAGTACGAGTAGGAGTAACGGATGGGCGACCCAGCATTCTGGAGATCAACTGACAATAGTGCCGTACAACTACTACTGCTGTCCTGGCCGGGTTGACAAGCATGGTCCATAGCCACAATCGCTTAGCCTCGCTGAAACCCGTCACGGCATCAATGTTTGTGATCAATGATCGTTGATCACTGATAACAGAGGTAGGAAAGGGCCAGAGCTGCCTTGTTATTGTGGCTGACGTTAGCTCGGGCTCACTATGATACTCTCTGTCTCTCAAGACCCATACGCGGGAGGCGTGCTCCACAAAGTGACACGGCTGTCTCGCGGCTGGCTGGCCTTCGCCTGTTGCCATCAGATGGTTTTGAGCATGCCAGGCCCATGCTTACCTCGTAGTCTTGCGTTATTCTTTTCATTTTCTCATTGCAAATTGTTTCCTTCGAGTCTCTCGTTAACTCGACTTGCTGTTGATTGCTATCGCTGACCTCTCTCACTCGTTTGGGAGGCAGTGTTGGTTTCCATTTGTCTTTCCCTTCTTTGTTTTTTGTTCCGTTTGGCATCAAGATGCAGGCTCATTCGTTTGCCCTGCTTGAATTGTTTGTTTTCTTGCTGATCACCAATTTTGCCGCGGGGGCTTCATCTACATCGACGTCGCCTTCATCGATCACAAGTTCGACCTCGTGGTATCGCCCTTCCTCGACGACGGCTTGGTACAACAGCACAGCCATCTCGACACTGAACTCGTCGTCGACGACGACGACGACGACGACGGCTTCAGAAACCCTAACCACCCAACTGCCAAAGTCGATCTCAGACATAATCTTCCCAACGGCCTTTCCTTTCCAAAAGCCCATTCATCCATGGAATATCCCAAGCGGCAAATGGCGTCTATCCCAGTCGCAGACAAACGGCAAAGGGCTTTTAGGCACGATTCCAATCAAGGGGCAGGGAGGAGCTCCCAAGTTCCCGGCCTTTATTGGGGCTCCTGGTCCAAAGGGTGTCTATAATGGCGGCTCACCGAACGGCGGCTCACCAAGCGGCGGCTCACCAAGCGGCGGTTCACCGAATGGAGGTTCGTCAAACGGTGGCTCACCAGGGGGGAGCGGCCCGATAAAGACCTATCCTTGGGGATCACGTACAGCAAACAATACCAATCCTTACACCAATCCCCCCAAGACTGGCGTTGTTCGAAGCTATAACTTTGTCTTGGAGCGTGGGGTTCTGGCGCCTGATGGAGTTGAGCGCGATGTCATCCTCATCAACGGTCAGTTTCCAGGACCGACGATCGAGGCCAACTGGGGCGATACTATCGAAGTTACGGTGACGAACTTGATCTCGGGACCCAAGGAGGGCACTTCCCTTCACTGGCATGGCCTGCTGCAACAAGGTACTCCGTGGGAGGATGGCGTTCCGGGTATTACGCAATGCCCGATCGCCCCAGGTGCCACGTTCACCTACTCATACCTCGCTGATCTGTACGGCACCTCGTGGTACCATGCTCACTACTCTGCGCAATATGCAGCTGGGTTGTTTGGAGCCATCATCATTCATGGGCCTGCGAATGCCAATTACGACGTGGATCTCGGACCAGTCCTTCTCACCGACTACTATCACAGGGAATACTACGATATTGTTGAGGAAGTGATGGGCACCGATCTCAGTAAAGTTGCCCCATTTTCAGACAACAACTTGATCAATGGAAAGGGTACGTATGACTGTAATCTTGTCGCGAACGACACCACATGCACACTGAATGCTGGGTATGCGAAGTTCCAGTTTACAAGGGGCCAGAAATACCGACTTCGCCTAATCAACGCCGGTGCCGAAGGGATCCAGAAATTCAGCATCGACAACCACAAACTGACCGTCATGGCCTACGACTTTGTGCCCATCCAACCGTACACGACCGAGATCGTGACGCTGGGCGTGGGTCAACGCGCGGATGTCATCGTCGAAGCAACCGCTGGCACCCATGACTCCTTCTGGATGCGAAGCGTCATTAGCAACTGTTCGCTCTCCAATCAACCGTATGGCTACGCAATGGTGTATTACCAGAACGCCAATACCGACTTCAAGCCCAACAGCACGGCGTGGACCGACACGACTGACGGCTGCGCCAATGACGACCTCAGCACGGCAGAGCCATATTTCAAGATCACCCCTCCCAGCAACCCGGCCAAGGAAGTTCAGGTTGACGTGAACTTTGGTGTGAACGCAACGGGCAGTCTCGTCTGGACCATGAACAACAGCACCTTCAGAACTTGTTACAACGACCCGGCACTGTTCCGGGCTCAGGAACTCGCCACCTCGCCCAACAGCACATTCGAGTACCCCGAAGAATGGAACGTCTACGACTTGGGCAACGCGAGCAGCGTCCGTGTCATTGTCAACAATCTGACTCCAGTGTCGCATCCGATGCACTTGCACGGACACAACATGCACGTCCTGGCCGAGGGCGTCGGCACCTGGGACGGCACCGTGCTCAATCCCAGCAATCCCACACGACGAGACACGCAGCTTCTGCGACCAGCCGAGAGCGGGATCCCTGGTTATATCGTCATGCAGTTCGACGCGGATAATCCTGGAATGTGGCCCTTCCATTGTCACATTGCTTGGCACGTCAGCGGTGGGTTGTATATTAATCTCTTGGTGAGTTTTCTTTTTTGGACCTGGACAAAGTTCTCTTTGAGGGGGGGGCCGAGTGTTGATATACTAATGGTTTCCCCTGCGATACTTTTAGGAACGACCAAATGATGTACCTACGAATATGCCGCGTGCGCTCAATGACATGTGTACTGCTTGGGGTGACTATACGAGTCTCGGTCCAATTGATCAGATCGATTCTGGTCTGTAACTTTGCTATTGTCAAGGAGTGTCCTGTATGTAGACACGGGCAACGTGTCGGTGTTTTGGAGAGGACTGGTCAGTTTGCCAGGTTGATGAATTCGATTCCGGGGCCCCAACTTTATTACTTAGAAAAGTGGCTGTCTTGTTGACACGAATAGGGAAAGGAAGGGATGGTTTTAACTAATATAATATTTCTCAGGTTCAAATCTCAAGATTCAGAGAGAGAGAGAAAGAGGTCTCTCTATCTATTCTTACTTAAGAATAATAGATGGAAAAAGAAAACGAAATAATACAATTTTCATCTTTCGACCGACTTTTTTGTTCTTTTAGTTTGGTTGGTTGGTTGGTTGGTTGGTTGGTTGGTTGGTTGGTTGGTTGGTTGGTTGGTTCATATTTAAACGTCGAGGAGAGACCGACCACACCACACCGAGACACACACGAATTCATATTCGGAAAAGGCCTCGTACGCAATCGAGGTAGGACCTCTGTCACGCCGTATCCAAGGTAGGCGCTCTCACGTAACAACACCCACCCGTCCGTCTTTCAGACCGCGCGGTACTCAGGCACCTGGTACTGTCGTGCGCAACCTAAGACCTCTGTCCGTCATGCTCTCGTGTAACCTCTTCAAACCCTCGGTTCCCAGCGCGGACGCCAGGTGAGGATCTGTGAACGCGAGCATGTGCATCTCCTTCGACCACGGACAAGCTCTGATCGCGGCGTAGAAGGTGTCGGTGAGGGCGGTGAGCCGTCGCCGATGCTGCTGGTTGTGGTGTCGTTGTAAAGCACGCCCGTCGTCGTCGTCGTCGTCGTTCTGATCGGCGTGTCGACGGTGGTGGGCCTGACGCACGCCCTTCGCCGACTCGAGATCCTTTCCGTCCCCGAGGCCGCCGCCACCGCCGGCATCGGCACTCTTGGTGCTTTCCCACGTGACATAGGACTTCCACGTATCGACGCACCACGGAGGTCCCGTCGTGGCCTCTTGGCTGCTCGTGGTCGTGGCTCGTTTGAACGCCGCGCGGACGCTGTGGTCTGTGCTTCCTGCGTACGAGGGACGGCCGAGTTCGACGAGAACGCCAAAGGACGAGGAGATGACGCCGCCACCACCCTCACCGCCGCGGGGGGCGGCGACGGCAGAACCTGCGCCCCTCGGTTCAACCGCGAGACCGTTGGCGTTCGTGTCGTCCCACTGGCGAAGACGATCTACCAGTCCTGACTTCTGCAAAAAGTAGTGATGCAGTGTCAGAAGGGTGGTGTTGTTCGGGAACAGTCGTGTCGAATCCGCAAGGACCTGCCGGGCTTCTTTCGGTCTAAATGGCTGTGCGTAGATCGACGAATGGGCATACACAAACTGCGCGCGGCGTTCGTGGACCTTTTCCGTCACCATCGACAGGTCCACCCCAGTGGTGCTCACCGTGGTCGTCTCTGTCTCTCGGAGAAGGTCACGGTACGCATCCAGTGCGTCCCCGAGGCGGAAGCCTCCATTGAGGTATTTTTGTAGAGCAAGAAGATCGGCAATGATCGGCAACGTCCGACCTGGGGAAGAGACCCGATGAGCCGAGTACTCTAGTCGTAGATGCCGCTCGATCTTGACCTGATTCGCCGCAGACGGCGCACTACCATTCGAGACTTGGGCTTGAAACCGGCCAAAGTCAAAGGGCTCATCGGTCATCATGCTTAGAAGAATTCTAGCGTGATGAAACCGTCTTTGTCTCATGTATGAAAAGATCCAATCTCTCCATAATCCCAACATATCCCGACGCCGACTTTCCAAAGGCAAAGGCAGGCCATGCTGCATGGACAGAGCAGTTGACCATACCTTTTCTGCCGCCCCAAAAGTACCGGCTTCATTCTCGACCAAGGCATACACGTTGTACAGACGGAGGCTGTTGGGGTTCTTCTTGAGGAACGACTTGGCTTGTTTTCGAGCCGATCTGGGATCAATCCCGGCATCGAGAGCTATGGCGTACTCCATCATGTTCTCATTCGGTGCATGGCGATTCGAAGTGACGCGCGCAATTTGGGAGACTCCCCGCCGGACAAAGTCCGGTACGAGGTGTACTGGTCGTTGGGAGGAGGATGGAATCGTGTCCAAGTCCGAAGAGGCCATTATCGATTTCATTGTCCGAAACACGTCATGGAGTGAAGTGGCGACAACAGTAGTGTCGGCATGCTTCTTCCCGGTCAACATGTCTGGATCCGAAAAGGCAAGACTCGAAGTATAGATAAATGGATCTTCTTTCCATTTCTGAGGTTCCCGCAAGAGATGGCATGGCGGCAGACCGAGGAACAACAAGAAGGCATCTTGAAGGAGTTCTGTCCCTCGCTTCGATTCAGTTGAGAAGATAAACTCCTGAATGTCTGAAAATAAGAGAATCCGATAGGGATCATCATCGGGTACGTCGTCCAGAGCTCGGGCCGGGAGGCTTGCATACTTCTCCAGATAAATCTCGGCGTGTGCCCACGCAGTGAAATCGTGGGCGCCCACCTTGGGAGGCTCCTTGTCGACCTTGGGCTCGGGTTCAACGTGCGAATTTGAGTACCACCCTGTTGCTCCGTCTTCTCCAATGCGCGGCACTTCCGAAGACCAAAATTGCTCAAACTCTGATAGAAGCGTATCGGTCGCCAACTCGCAGGGTCGGAAGAGATTAAACTCTAGCACGGCCTGCCAAAGGCCGATTGCTCGCTCGGTGAAGCCAGATTGCCAAAGAAGCAAAGTTAAGCGAAGAAGGAGGTAGATGCATTGCGAGTCCCGGAAAGAGCCATCCTCCGATGAAGAGAACTTGGCCAGACAAGTCCTATACACATGCAAGCATGAGTCCAAGTTGAACCTCACTGCATTGCTCTGGATAAAGTTTAGATACAGTATCCACAAATCAAAAGTTGAGTCTTTGTCGAGAAAAGGTTGCCACTGCGAGGCTTGCTTTTGAACATCCCAGATCTTGCTGCCCTCCTGCATTAGACCCAGGATCAAGGCATGTCGCCCGGCGGGATCTTTGACATTAGATAGTGCTTGTTCGTACAATGAAATTCTGATATCAGCGAGACTCCGCGATGTCGCAGCACTATGTGTGCGATATTCGTGGCGGGCACTAAAGGAGACTTGTTGATATTTGATAAAAGTGAGCCATGCATTCACATCTTCAGGGCGTTCGGTGGTGGCCCGAGAGAGTTCCATGTGGCGCTGGTGAATAGGGTCATTTTTGAAAGCATCAAACGCGTCATGTTCAGATTTACCACGTTGTCTATCTTCTCCATCGGACAGGTCACTGGAGTCCGCCGAAGATGCACTTCCATCCAGGTCCGTCGACAAACGCCGCCTCTTCTTCGGTCGACTATCAGAGAACCTCAAAAAATCCCTCTGGAGATCATCGTTTTGACTGGGACTGCTGGGGACTCTGATGAGCAAGTCATCGCTCTCGGGGATGGCGGAAAGCAGAGACTGCTTGCGCGACTTTCGTCCCGAGTCGAGTCCAACGTCCTGGACCTCACGGCGAGTGTCAGACTTCGAAACAATGCGATAATTGGGACTGAGACCAATTAATGCACCCCCCCCTGAAGTGTAGTATCGTGGGATGGCATAGCGATCTGGAGAAGCATATTCCAGATTACGTCTGTCCCCTCTCCGATCCTCGACGAACCATGAAGACGCGTTGTGTTTGGCGTTGGACGAAATTGGAGTGCTTTGATGCCGTATTTCTTGGTGATGTGAAGGCATGATGGCGTTCGTATGTTGTCGCGGCCAGACGCACCGTTGGTTCGTTAGACGGGCAGTGCTTGGCGTCCAGCTGCCACGCTGTTCATGGCAATGTTCTAGAACGTTGCCTGTCCATCACGTAAAAGTGTATCTTGGTGCTTGGGAGGTTTTTGGCCCCCCGAGGAGACTGTTGTCTAGACCTGCTGGACCAGGTCAGAGCGTCCAACAATGCGACGAATGGCGGCGAAATTGTAGCGAAATGCCAAGAGTACGGGGACGTACATGTCGAAACCCAAGTCACGTGTCCTTCCACCGTGTTCGAGAGGAGCGTCAACGAGGCTGCGAGTTACGTGGCTTGGAGTAAAAACAAGAGGACGAAGAAAGGTATGAAGATGTTGAAGTGAGTAACTCGCTCGTGTTGATGTAGGCGCCATGTAACTCGTGCGTTCTCCTACGCGACCCTTGAGACACAATCATCTCTCCGCAGAGAAGGCCTATGGAGAACCCCAAGACAGAGGGTCAAGATAGGGTTCGGTTTATTAACCGGAGCACGATTCTAGCTGAGGTCGTTAGCGAGCCATTGGGGGCTGCCTTATAGGCTGTTAGGGGCCCATAAACGTACGGTCCCGCCTTTTGCGCCCTGAAGAATTGGGGGCCAAGGCTCACTAGTCTCGCCAACGTCGCCTATAAGATTTGTGTCTAGACACACCAACTGCGTCACGGTGGCTGTTCGGCCCTTCCAGGCCCAGAATCCTGTGTCGTCGCCTCTCAAGGATTTTCTTCCTACTCATGCCTGGCACAAGAGGCTCTAGAAAACCTGGTGCATTTTGCACGCCCATCCCGGCTCAAAGGGAAGTTCCCTTGAATGAAAAGCGGCATCTGCCATGTGCTGAACAATTCTCCCTGCAGCATTCTTGAACCACCTGATAATCCACAAAGGCGGCCATGGACACACCTCCCTCCAAACGAAAATCCTCCTTCGGATCTGATGGCCCCGTATTGTTTTCGAAGAGGATCAAACCGCTCAGAGAAGAGCCTGCTCATTACAGCGATGCAGTGCGTAAGAAGCTCACATCAACCTCCCGCACCGGGCAGGCCTGCGATCGCTGCAAAGAGCGCAAGATGAAATGTGACACCGATCCCATTGCCTGTGGCCCCTGTCGCCAAAAGCTATTGCGTTGCTATACCACCGACAGAGTAACCAAGCAGGCAAGAGAAAGAGGCGAGACAGATCGAGCAGAAAATGAGTTGCTATTCTTGAGGGATCAGCTGGCTGCGTATCAGTTAAAATATGGACCTCTACAGAGTTCAGATCTCAATGTGTCATTGACGGAGACGCCGACATTAAAAGAGAAAATACCGGTACATTCTTCAGCCTCATTACCAGATGCGCATTACGTTGGCTGGCCTGCTCCAGACCACTGTGAACCAATGCGTTCTGGTCCAGTGCAGGGTACGGTTGTCGATGTCTTGGATGGCCAGATAGATATTGCGGACTGGGAATGTGAAATGATGAAAGACTATCCTAAAGACACCATGAACAGATTCAATCTCTCAGCAACATCCATCATCAATACCATCTGTGGCTATCAGCGGATTGAGGATCCCAGACCGCCGCCTAAGGAGCAGGCTTTACGAGACGCCAACCACTTTCTAGTCATCATGGCCCAATATGTTCCCATCGTTCACCAGTCGAGCTTCATGGACCTGGTACATAGGTTCTTCGATGTTCCTGAATTTCTGACACCGGCAGAGCGCGTTCAGGTGTACATGTTGTTTGCCATCATAACTCATCAAACAGCTGTGCGAAATCATTTGCATTCAGCTGATAGGTTCGAGGAATCCCACCGGTACTTCCATGTCGCACTTGGGCATGATCGCGACCTATTCCACGATCGATCTCTTGCTTCCATGCAAGCACTGGCAATGATCTGTGTCCATCTTCGGAACCTGCCCAAGCCTGGAATATCTTGGGTTTACTGCCACAAAATCCTCGTACGCGCTATCGAACTGGAATACCACCGAGATCCTGACAAGATTCGGCTGCCCGAGGCTGAGAGAGATCCTTTGTCAAAACAGCTTCGAATACGGGTCTTCCATGTGATTCTCGGCATCTGTGTGACAACTGGCTGTAGAGTTGGGTTACCTGCCCCTTGGCACTTTCAACACATGGACGTACCTCTTCCAAGGGCGATAAAGGACTCGGAGATCTCTAGACATGGCGTCGCGGCTCAGCTGTCAGGTTTGTGTGACTTTTGGCCGTGTTTGCATCTTGCGAAGTTACTCCCTCTGCTCACAGAACTTCACAACAACATTGTTGCAGTGAGGAAACCTGCGGCAGAGTACCTCCAGACGGTCGAGGCTCTCAACACCAAGATCCTAGCATGGCGCCAGGATTGGGAAGACACGATCAAATTCGAAGCTAAGCAGGTGAATCTCCATGTCGCAGGTCTCCTCATCGAGACCTGGGCCGCCGAGTATCAACTAAATCTCTTTCATCCCGTATGTTGTACAAGCGATGATCCAGAGGTTCATGAACGACATCTGGATATCTGCCACAAGGCCGCCAGGCGTCTCCTACAAGCGTTTCATACGCTTTCGAGCCGATACAAGGGCGTGGACTTTACCTGGCATTCGACCCTTGCCTATGCAACCGGGTTCGGAATCACATTGTTTGTGTACAGGAGGAAGACAACGCCCGTCACGTCAGAACAGTTTGAGGCCATGCGTAATGAGCTGAAAGGCTGGATATCCCTGATGGCTTATGCTGATCTTGTTCTAAGTAAGATTTACATGCTTGGGAGCACCGCTGCTTGTGCTAACATCGCAATAGGGACCGGAAATCACCTTCAACGTCAGTTTCAGCCGCGGGTACAATCTCTTGAGGATCAATACCGGCAACTGGTTTTCGACGACAAGGCCTCAGTCACACCGCTGCCGTTCAATGCCGTCAACGGCTCATATGGTCCCCAGTTCAAACACCCCAAACCTGAATCCGAGACGCTTTTTTCGTACCTCGACCCCCACGCTACTCCCGTGCAGCAAAAAAACAGTCTACCACAACCGCAATTCACACAAAATCAGATACCTGCCGGAGTACCGCAACAGTGGCCATCGCCTTTCTCGATTCTCCCTCAGCCGATCGCACCGTCTCAAATTTCACCGCCCCTATTTTCGACCTTCTCGCAGTCGTCGAATGCGGCTTTGACGACTGCGCCGTTGCAAACAGTGCCCACGTCCTTGGCGTCTTTGCTCAATGACTCTAGCAGCATGTACGTCAGCTATCCTACGCCGCCGCAATCCCAGAATGGGTTGAACGGAGATTCGTACATGTCGTTCCAGCCAAGTCATTACTTTGATGGACCTGGGCCTTTGACTTGGCCGTTAATCTCAATGCCTCCTACGACTAGGTCGTAAGGGTAACCGTAGGGCAGGTTTTCACCTTGACACAAAAACTTTGTCACATTCGAGTAGTCTATATATATATATATATATATACCCATGGACAAAATCAATAATGACATTGAACGGCCTAATCTTTAATATTGCTATCTTTTTTCATTGATACTAATAACGTAGTTTTATCTAGCAGCTGGTTAGTAGTTGGATTGGTGCTGGGGATATTTTGATACTACGGTGTTGCCCTTCCGGCTTTCTTTGACGCGTAGTAGAGATCATCCCAAAACATCCCTGACAACCTGAACGTACGTCTTGTTCGTGCCTGCACCGTCGACGGGAGCACCACTCCTGATCTCGTACGCGCCATCCCAAAACATGGCTCCTGCCACGTTGGGCAGACGCAACGCCTTGACCTGTTCCAGTATATCCTTGTACTGTGCAACGGTCACGTACCCGGTCCCTGCGGCGCCGAAGGCAGGCGTGCCGACGAGGAGTCTCGGGTATGTGACGCCGTTGTTGATGTTCATGAAGCCAGTGTTGTCGTCATTGTCGTCGTCGCCGCCGCCGCCGCCGTTGCTGCTGGCGCCAGGTGCCGCGTCGCCAAAGGAAGCTGGAGGGATCTGAGTTCTACGAGTGGAAAGAGAGGCGCGTGACCTTTTCCGCCGCGGTGGTGATCTTGGCCTGGACGATGGTCCCGGGCCGCCGTGTACGGCTGGAAGGAGGAGGCTGCTCGACCACGAAGTCAGGGAGTCGAGAAAGCCTTGGCCTGAGCCGAGTTGGCACGACGGGTTGTTGTAGAACTGCACGTTGAAGAAGTCGACCACGTCGAGAAGCCCGGGAACGAGGATCGATTGGTCTGGTTGAGGGCATTGAGGGGCCGCGGAGAGGTAGTATGATTTTGCGGAGTCGGTGGCCATGAGGGTCCGAAGGGCAGCCATCAGGGATGGCATGTATTGAGCGTTGGAGGGGTTTTCATTGTCTGTAATGATGATAACCCCCGGCAGAGTCATCAGTTAGCCAAGGGGCACTTTGCGCAACGCTGGGGAACCACGGGGAGAAAGGAACGGAAAGGGGAAAGGGGATTGCCTAGGAGTGCTGTCCTTGTCCTTGCTTCTTTGTGGTTCTTCGTTACATACCTAGATCAATCCCGTCGAGGACCACGCTGCCGTAGGGACGCAGCGGTGCGGTCGCGGCGTCGGTACCGCCGAGGAACAAATTCCATAGCAATTGGGCTGCTTGTGTAGCTTGGTCGGTGCTCGAGATCTGCAGGTTGGAGTATATGCCGCCCATGCTGATGAGGACTTTTTTGCCCAGAGACTGGCACGAGGAGATCTGGACGGCGAATCCGTCACCTACGCAGTCCAGCAGCCCTGTCGCACCGGCGTTTTGTTGCGCGGCGCTGGGTGCCCAGCAGTTGGATGCCATGTTCATGCTCGGGTAGCCCCCTTTGCCGAAGAGGCTGGTGATGAAGGCTAGGATGACCACGTCGACCGAAGGATCCGAGCAGACCTGCGTCAGAGTGACGGTCTTCGTCAGGTCTGTTTGGGAGTAGTACACGATATTGAGGTCGGAGGCCTGTGGGTTGAAGGCGTATGTGCCAGAGGGCGTTTGCTGGCTAGATGAGGAGGAGGAGGATGCTGCCGCCGTTGGTGTACTGGAAGGTCCCGGTGTCGGATAGCTGCCATGGCTGTTGGCAAACGTTATCGGGTACACCGTGGGATGTGAGGATCCCGAAGCAATGACTGGAGGGCCGATGTTGTATTCACGTTGGATGAGTGCCCAGAGCGTGTTGAGACTAGAGGTGAGCTGATTAGCGACGTCGGCGAGTTGAGCCTCGAAGTCTGAAGGGGGCTCTCGTTGCGAGAGCCGTAGTGGTTTCCAGTATGATGATCGAGCTGCACTGTCTCGTGGTCCAAGGCCTGCGAAATGGTGCTCCTGTTTACTTTCAATCGTGTTGAGGGGGTCGTGGGCGCGCTTTGCGATGTCGTCGTTCCACTCCGAGCCCGAGGCGAGAACGAGGTTGGCGTAGACGTTTACAAGGCATAAGATGGGAATCAGGAAGAATCTAGAGCATGGCATTTTGACATATCATTGACTCACAGAGAAAGATGCAGCGCCAATGCATCATGGACTCGTCGGACTTATACCACAAGATGCACAAACCTGGGTGGTGTGAAACATTCTCCATTCCAAAGGGTGGAAGGTTGCTTGAGCGTGCAGGAATTTGTGGCATTCTGCGCCAGACTTGCCCCGTGCTCTATCTCGCATTCCAACAGGAATCCTGTGTACTTCCAGCACCGTCTTTGACATGCATAGACGCTGGATACGATGAGTATGAGCAATACATAAGTCCAAAGCCGCAGGACATAAGCGGAGGTGTTACCTAATTGACCTCTGGTGACTTCTCAGTATGTGGGTGACCTTCTCATACCGCCGGCAAGAACACAAAAGTTGCAGAGCTTCCGGGGGATGTTTGTGCCAACTGTACCAAAAGCACAGTCGCCCCGATCCAGGGTCTCAGATCACCAGGGGCCATAGACGATCAACGGTTCTCCATCCGTTCCAACGATTGTTTATCCACGGTAACCTCATTATCCTATCCGGGGAGTTCAAGGGCGGTCGGTACCCAAAACCTGAGACTTTTACCTCTTGGGTGCTAGAGGAGTCGTGTACAATTCGAAGTAAAAAAGAAGTCTTGTTCCCGGTGACCGGTCTCTTTGACGAGCTCTTACGTGCGAAACGAAGGCGGCCCTAGCGTCAAGAACATCTCGGACGGAGAATCAAACTCCGGCGGCCTCAGTGTACCGCACGTTAGCCATCACAAGGAATAGTGACACAATGGAGTATATCAATGCCGCTGCTCTCTTCTGTAGCTAAGTCTATCATGCAACCACGGCACCCAAATCATACCAGCACTCAAACTATAAGCAACTTCACCTTAATCGCCTCAAAATGTCACCACAGACCTACGAGACCCAGCGCGCCTGGAAAAACGTCCAAGAGTTCCTCCCGCAACGTCTCCATTTCAGTAAAGAACACCAGCCGGTTGAAGAGTGGTGGGAGAATCGAGGGCATATAATTCACCTTGATCGATGGAAGAACCCAGGGGCTAAGATTCGACTCATCCTGCATCATGGTGTCGGCACAAATGGAAGACAAATGTCTATGATTCTAGGTGTCCCCTTACATCAGGCCGGCTTCGAGCTTGTCGCTGTCGATATGCCTGGATACGGGCGCACACAGGTTGCGAAGGGCGTTGTATACTCATATGACGACTGGGTCAGTATCGCCAACGACTTTGTCAACTTCGAGCTCGAGCATGATAAGCGCCCCATCGTGCTTTATGGCCTTTCTGCAGGCGGCATGTTGACTTATCACACGGCGGCGGTCAACAAGAGAGTTAGTGGCATCATTGGCATGACCTTCCTTGACCAACGAATTCAGCAAGTCGCCGACGAAACAGCGCGAAACATGTTCATGGCCCGCGTCGGCCTCCCCATGACACGTTTATGCAACAATCCACTTACCAAGAAGATTTCTGTCCCTATGTGGCTGGCGAGTAAGATGTCGGCGTTGGCCAATGACCCTAAAGCCCTAGCCATCATGCTGGCGGATCCGTCGTCGGCTGGCTCGTGGAAGTCGATGCGGTTTTTAGCGACATACTCGTCATATAAGCCTGCGATTGAGCCGGAGGATTTCAACATCTGTCCAGTTCTGTTGACGCAGCCAGCCGAAGATGTTTGGACACCACTCCATCTGAGCGAAGCCTTTCTGCCCAAGATCAAGAAAGTACCTGTCAAGACTGTGATGTTGGAAAATGCTGGCCATTACCCTCTGGAAGACCCCGGGTTGCAGCAGCTGGCTGATGCTATCATTCAGTTTTTGACGGAGTTGTCGCCAAAATAGACGGTGCGGTAGTCGAGGCAAGGATAGACGAAGCGGTAGATACCTGACCTACTAATTGGGCTTTCGATAGAGACTTAATAACCGTGTATTTTTCTGTGTATCGCAACCATTCTGCTAAGCGCGAGTCGATTTGGGAAGACAAATTTGACCTTGAAACAAAGCGAAAGCGGACGCATGGGTGACAGGAACACGCCAGGGCGCTAGCCCCGATAAGGCTATAGTATACGGATATATGTTGCAACTTTATGTACCGATACCCCTGGGCCCATTCCTGTGATATATCTTGTGATTTGAGGAGGAAACAGGTTGCTAGCAAATTTATATGGCAAAGGCTTCCCTCCTTGCATGACTTGTTGCATTCCTTGCTATAGTCTCAGCCTGTCAAGTGACGATATTCGACGTTCAATCAGATCGATTCCAACTACCATTGAAACGTCCCTGGGATGGCAGCGCTAGACCCTTCTCCTCGTCCTCATCGTCGTCGACGTCCTCTGCGTCCCCTGTTGCCGTCTATCTCTGTCTTGACTATCTCCTTGCCTCCTCTATTGCTTGTTCTAATCTCCTGAAAGTGCTAGACATTCGTCGGTCGTCTTGGCAGACAGAGAGTGTGATCAGCTTTGGCCGTGGCGTCCTCCGACCCGGCTTCACTACTTGAGATATTCTGCTTGTCGTCCCATGTCATTGCTCTGATTGTGCACGACTTTTGCAAAGGACCAGAAACAAGGCAATCGTCGTGCTACCTGATGGCCATCCAGCCCAGATAGGTAACTCTCTTCCTTTGGTAAGCCTCCAGTCGGCCGTGCTGTAAATGTCGACGCACACAACAAATCTTTTGTTGAGAACTTACTGCGACTAAAACTGCGGTCGTCTCTGAGACCCTCCAAGATTCACGCGTCGCAACTGCTCTCTCTCGGCCGGGGCAGATCTGTTGGTCTCATGCTTTTTGACTTGACGGTGCAAATAATGCTCTCTGAGCCATGTCCTGTATTGGATCAGTCAATCCTGGAAGATGGATCTACCGCATATGCAGGGCGCCTCAAGCAGTAGCCCCTGCGGCTGTGTTACACCAGGACCCCTTCCTGTGGAACTACGCAGTACTCAAGCGAGCTGACAGCGTCATGAGAATCTCGACGTCGCTCAGGGTCATCTGCCGCCTTTTGTTCAGACATCTTTCTGCAAAGCCAAGGCTGGCCAGCCTACTTGGAGCCAGGGACGATATGATCGCGCCGTCCGACAGGTATGACCCGGTTGGTACTGAGTATCATTCCGACTAAAGGACAAGCCGGACGTCAGTAGTGGGCGAAAACTGCGATCCTTCAACTCTTGCATGAGAGTGTCATCTGCATGGCGTCTAATGCAGGTGTCCTCACCTGGAAAGCAGGTACACTCAGTGTTACTTCAGGTTCGAGGATGCCCAACCCTTCCGCATCCGAGCGCAATCTCGGATCTGGTAAGGCCTCCAGTCTGGACATGGGCCATGGCACAACGCAGGCCCGAATAAGCTGTTCGCAGTAGTATTGACCCAGGTGACTTCAGGTTCATTGTCACACTACTTAGGGAGTACAGGAATTCAAAGCTCAACGACTCAAGTGCTCAGCCAGACCAGCCTCGCAAGTGATCATCGGCTGGGTGTAGTTTCAATCTTCTTACCATCAGGACACCGTACTGCTGTTCAAGCATCCAAAACTCCCTCTCTGGTCGGCGCCGGAAGAAAATCAACTTCCGAAGTCGGCGAAGTCACTCCAACGTACGGAGTACCTGGGACCTTTGACAGGACTAGGGATCAATTTTGAGGTTGGTAAAGCCAACTACCGAGACCGGGCGATTCGAGTACCCTTGTAACAGCTTGCAACTCCGTCGAGAGAAAGGAAACAGCCCCGAGCCGTCCCGCTTGGTGGCGCCGTTAGGGAAGGCTCGGCTAGTAGGCGAGTGTTGTGCTCAGCCGCAGGGTTGATCGAAGGCCGTACAATTTTGCTAGGCCATGCGGCCTTCCACTAGTTAGTCCATCATGATGTGTATGAAGAACGGGCCTGCAAGATGAAGACTTTGCACAATGGCCTCTCGGGATGGCCTTTCCGACGCACGAGAATGGTCATCGAATCCTCTCGACAGCTCTTGGAACTCGTTCCCTGACCGGATATGGCTCTTCCCACGCTACAAGGCGCCCATCATTGGACAAACCTTGCATGAGGAATGCAAGTGAGAGGATCTACCAACATTGCCGACCGTGGTACGCAGTATAAAGACTCCTGTTCCGGCGACTCGCAGCATGCCACTCTTATACCTAGCGTCTGCAGATAAAGTTTCTTGCAGACGGAGCAAGCTTTCTGAGTGAAAAACTGAACAGCTTTCCGACTACCCGCAATGAATGCCCACCTTCGGCAGCTGTATTAAATTTGGCCAACGGCGTTTCACTGTTCATGCTTGCCGATTACATACTGTACATACAGTCAGAACATCATGAGCGACTGAGTGAGCGCGCGCATGTGTGTGGAAAAGCTTCTCCCCCAACAAACCAGTAACGAAACCCCTGTCGTGATCAAGATCATGCAGGTCACGGCCAAGTTTGTCACCTAAGTGTGTCACATATGCGCAAGCAGCGACACGTATGATATCCCTCACGACACCTTGTCACCGCTATACAACGGATTGAGATCCCCTTGCGATCTGCGATGGCCAGCGCACAAGTAGACCGCGGATATGGATGTGTACTCATGAGGCAGACATGGGCGAAACTCTGGTCATACAGACAAGGCGCAATACTCATTTACCGGCAGTTTTCTAGTGTCTCAGTTTCACCCTCGTTCATGCACAAAAACACTCTTACGTTCACTTTTCAGAGATGCCTCCAGTCTAGACATGGAAGGTTCAGTGCTGACCGCTCATTGCATCGACATCACCAACAGCCACCAAGCGATGCAGTGCATAAACGCCCGTCTGGGCCATACCTGCTTCCCTCTGCTGCCGACTCCCCTCGTCCCTCGTCCATTGCATGAGAAGCGAGTCGGCACAGAATCATGTTCATGCTGTGTGACCAAACCATCTCATACGACGTTGGATGCAAGCATCCTTTCCAACACCCCCCCTTCCCAACCCCGGGAACGGTTACCTGCAGTTTGCACATGTGCACGCACATCCCTCGACGAACCCGGTTTCAGGCTTGGTGGCCCGGGCCTTCCCTGGCCTCCGTTCCCTCCGTGTGGCTCACTGCACTGGCTTTCTTTGCAGATTATTTAACTAGTTTGAATAAACCTAAATCAGACCCCCCCTGCCAAAGTGTCAGTGCAAGCCCCTCCCCCCTGCACGCCTCGCAACCCCAAGCCAGGATTGTGCCTGAAATCCTTGTCGCAATTGTCACGCTGTGTAACCCGTACTAACCACGCCACCCCGGCGCAGAGCCCAAAGGATCGAGGACCGGGTAACTTCGAGCGGAGGAAGCGCCCGGGACGTACTTGTACGTACAGTAGGGGTCTTGGGAACGTGACGCGAATACGAGGCGTTCGTGGGGGTGCAAAACAAGGGGAGGGGGGTTGAGAAGAGAAAGAAAAGACTTGTTCAGCGAAACCGTTTGACGTCCGTGAGCACTGAGCACTGAGCAGGAGGTCCCAGACGCAACGGCGTTTTTTTTTTGCGGAAATTAGCGTACAAAGCTGTGACGATCGATCTAACTTACATTTGTGTGTCGCACGAGAAGGAAACCGGGGCCGCCGCACGGATGGAGTCGGGGGTGTCCGAGTATACTGTAACTACTGTAGTTGTTACAACATCACTCGCCCACGACGGGGAGATTGCCAACCTTATTTTTACTCGTGGACACCGATCAAAAAGGACCTTTCGACTCCGTTCTGTACTCCGTGGTCGCATCTACGAGTACCTGATTTATTAACAGGACGAGGCTGCAATTTTTGCCTGCCCAACCCATGGCCCCCCCCCCCCCCCCCCCCCCCCCCCCCCCCCCCCCCCCCCCCCCCTGGGAACGCACTCCGTCCTGCGGTCCTGCCAGATAACTCTGTGTACCTTGTACGTACAGGCCCCCCCAGAGGCAACCTACCTATTGAAACGTCCAATTTGTCTTCTTTTGGTCACTGGTCGATTGCCGCCACACAACCAACCACTGCCGCCGCGCCTCGCCCGCCACCTCCAAACCAGCCTTGGCCCACTACTTGTAATAAAACTACAGGGTCTGTGTTGTGACTCCGGAGAGAATCACTTCTGAACAATTGGACTCTACCTTGGGCCTCCTCGTCACCTAACCCTCCCTACCTACTGTAACCAGTTCCCTTACCCCTCTCCCTCGGGGGCCTTTTTCACCCAGACCGAACCGCTGAATGTACTCCTTGTGATGACGGACGCGCAAAAACGCCATTCTGGTGGGCCATCTACGATCCATCCCTTGCGACGACCCCTTGCAAGATCCATCGGAAGACGGAGCTCCGTACAGGGTCTGGGTAACCCCCAAGGTCCCCATTGTAGGTAGTAACATACTCCGTAGGTACAGTACTGTAGGTATTCTGTGTCTCGAGGTATGCAGGGTCTTGGACAAAATTTGGTATCTCGTGATATTTGGTCGAGAGCGCCGGCCTGAAAATGCAGCCACAACTGCATCGTCGATGCCCACCGTTGTCTAACTTCCCTGATCCTAGACCCGCCGCATCTCGGGTGTGCAGCGTGGTCGTGTCCTTTTTGAACCGATACGTGCGCTGCGTCACTCAAACCATCCCGTGCATCGTACTGTACAGCGTCTGCGAGCGACACGGTTTTCGTCACACCTCGTCACCCCGCTCATGCACAGGGCTTTCACGAAGGATTGGATGGTTCGCATAGACCACGAATGAGAAAGGCCGGTGAACTAATCATTATTGAATGCTTTTCAATCTGCACGAGGACAAGAAGACAATTACCGCCATGCCCGGTTCTGTTTGCCGTTTGTTCACCCAGTCTCAATTCGAGAGAGTCTTTCCCCACCCAGAGCCAAAGCAGATATCCTCGCTAATGTGTAATGTGCAATTGGGATCAAATGAGCTGTACACAACCACGCAAGCGCAAGTACAAGCACAAGGAAGCAATAAAGGCGGTAAAATGACAAAACCAAGCAATTTCAATTTCCCGCTGTCGTCCGTAGAAATCCCGTTTCAGTCAATAATCGTTCGTCGATCGTTTTCATTCCGTCCTGTCCTGTGACTTCCAGACCATTTTGAGTTCGTCATTCCAGCCATCGATCCGTTAGGTCATATTAATCGTCAAATGTATAAGAGAAGCAACCCTGGCAGACACGAATAAGAAACCAATCGCTATGTGTAGCACCCCTAGAATAAAGCCCCAAGCTCCAGTCTGCTATGCGTGTCCGAAAAATCAGTGTCGTAGAAGAAGACAAGAAATAAAGCACTCGACTCTTGCTAGCCGAGTTCGAGTCAGGATCGAAGAGAAGATCACCGATGCGTCGGGAGTCGTATCTGTTCGCAGACCCCAAGCGAGGATAGTGGGTTGGGGGGGATAAGAAAGCATCCGTTTATTCGGATGACAAGGGGACAAAATAAACTCGAATGAGCTTTTGCATGTGCTCGAGCCTAAAGGCTGCGGCAAGGCCGAAGAGAAAACCTCCCTCCATTCTTTTGTCCCTCCATTGCGTTCTGACTTTTGTGCCACCGTTTTGTCGTATTTAATGAATGTTCCGCTTTTTGAACGAAGGAATAAGAAGTGCGTTGAAAGAAGAAACGGTAAAGGCTGCGCTCCAAGAAGTGCTTCAAATTCTGGGAGGTGTCTTGCAGAAGAAAGACAGTAATTAAGCGGAGAGGGCTTGATGATGTTTCAGGTCGTAATCGGCATTGATTTTCATATCGTCATCGGAGAGTAGTGGCTTCTCGAGTAGCTTCTCATGTATCGGAATGTAGTGGGAAGCAGGCCGTGGTCTCTTTTGCTTGATCATTCTCGCGGAATCGCTGGCGTCAGCATTGGCCCGACTGCCCCATGTAGTCTGAGAAAGTGTTAGAAAGTGTCGTGCAGATAGGCGAGGACGACGGATGCAAACTCACCTCAGAAAGAGTGGCACAAGCATAAATCTTGATCAGTCCATGAAACCAACCGAACAAGACAGAGACAGGCCACAGGAGGATGTCAACAGGATAGCGGATGAAGTGTGTGATCAGCTTGACGAATTTGGAGAAGACCATCCAGGCCAGGAAGGCATAGTAGGCAATAGACGCGTGGTTGGGGCTCCATGTAGAAGTTCCCGAGACCAAAAGGTACCAGAGAAAGGCATCGCCTAGGAGTGCAGGTGGCATCAAGGTGGTGACTTGGACAGCATATGTGCTGTAGGGTTGTTTTCTAAATGAGGCAGTGATTGTCAGCGCCAAGGCCAGGGGTAAAAGGGACAGCTCAAAGCCAACACAAAACTCACTTCCAAATGTACCCCTCGGTAAACATACTAGTAATATTGCTCCGCCAGTTGCTGCGTGCCCATCTCAGACATTGCTTCAGGAATTTCGGGTTATCCTCGAGAGTGGTCAAGACCTCGCATCCAGGGTGATATTGCATGTAAACCCCGTGGCCATGGGAAACCATCCAGCGAGAAAGGAAGTTATCGTCATCGGCGTTGAGTTGGTATTGTCCGAAGAACCAGTACCATTTTTCATTGGTGAAGTTGTCGGTGAAGTTGACATCCTGGAGAATGCTGGCACGGTAGGCACAAGTACGCCCTGAAATGCATGGCAATCCTCCATCCATGTGAACGGTGGCAGCGCAGTCAAAATTGCGACGTTCCAGGTACAAGGCACCCAAAAAGCCATAGATGCGTTGAGACAGGGTGGGGTTCTCAGCACGTCTCAGTCGCTGGCAGGTGACCACCGCACCATACTTTTTGTCCTCAAAGGGAGCCAACATCCACAGCAGGAGCTGAGACGGCCACGTCACGTCGTCATCGGCAAAGACAATGATCTCGGTGGTGACTTCAGGAATGGCCCTGGCCATTTGGCGTCTCTTGTTCGCCTGTTTGACCGCCATACAACGAATTCTGCCGTGAAGGGCCGCAGGCATCTTAGACACTGTCTTTTCGGCCTTGTGCAGATTCTCGTCAATGGTCACCAGGATGAGTTCTTTCGGCTGGGTCCTCAAGATCGACTCAATGGTCCTCTCCAGCTCTCCCCCCTCGCCATCCAAAGTAGGCAAGATGACGGTGACATCGTCGGAGGAGAGGGTAGGATTGTCTGGAATGGGTATGGGCTTGAAAGTCCAGAACAGCCATAGATTGACCACGAGCCGGAGATAACGCCAGATGCTGGTCTTGGTCAGTCACGGACGACAAGGTAAGAAGGCGATGGAGCAACTGAGGGACTTCCAGCGGGTATATGTGCCAGGGAGCCCGGGAGGTGTCCACTTACAAATAGGCTATGAAGAGACGAAAATACGAACTCGCCTCCATGGTAGCAGGTGCACCAGTGACTCTCAGTCAATGAGGTCTCTGGTGGATGTGCGGACAATAACGACTGTAAGAGTGGGCAAGCCACTCGAGGGAACTCGAAAAACAAGGACAAAAAAGGACGAGGAGGATGGAGGTTTCTGAGATGGACATGGAGGAGGATGAAGTACTGGAAGAAAGAGTGACGACGAGGCGTGGAGATGTGAAGGTACAAGTACTAGTGCTTCGACGTTGCGAGTGAGAAAAATATGGGGGAGGTGGAGGCCACGTCGAGGATGGTAAGGTGGAAGTGACGCCGATGAGCAACGCACCGCAAGAGAGATTGAACCTGCAGCAGCTGCTCAGTGCGTCGCCTCGATAGTCTTCAGTAGTTCAACGGCGTGCATGAGGGTTGATTCGGCTTCACACCCCCAGAACGAGAAGCGTAGCTTGTGATGCGAGCGTCAACAGATTATATTAGTCGCATGTCCAGTGTACTCGGAGCCAACAGGGGGCTTGATTGGACGATGCGCCGACACTGGGAGGCGCATATCTGACCTCGCTTTGAGACTGGCCACTTTCGTTTCTCACGATTCTCACGAACACAGGCAAACAAAACGATTACCCCTCCATGCATGAACCACCGAGGGGCCGTGGTGACCGGGGTGTCGGTGGCTCCAGGCATGGGTCCAGGTGGGCCCGAGGCCACTAGGTCCCTACAGAACTTTAGGCGCGGCCAGGGTGCGAGGGCGACCTACTCCAGGGCTGTTGGCTGTATGGGGTATCGTTCTGACGCCTGGACTGGAGCGCTCCATGCCCGCCCACTTTTTGATGTGCTCGGTGACTGCTGCATGGCATTCGGCATGGCCATGGCAGGCGCATGCGTGTTTCCTGACGATGTATTTCATCAGCAGCAGGATGACCAGACTCTGCTGAGGCGCAATGATAGGGCGAGGCTCTAGGGACGCCTGCATGCCTAACTAGCATTGCAGAAGTACGTTGCTGTATCTGGTCTTCACCGTGTGCCGATAGCCGCCGCATCTGCCACCCAGGGCTCGTGCTCGTAAGTTAGCTACAGCCTACAGGTGTCGACCTACGAACAAACCACCACCACCATCATTTCACAAGATCTTCGCTCCAGGCTTAGTTACTCTCATTTCTTGAACTTTAATGACCCGCGTCATTTTTCTCGTCGCGTGCAGAACACACCATTCTTGATTGTGTGGCCTTCGAACCATCTCGATCAGACCATCAGTCCGTCTCGGTCATGACACCTGCAGCCGCTGCATCGCCTCCCTTGATTTAACCGCAGCGCTACCAGGCTCCAACAGGCACGCATAGACGAGCTACCTCAGTGCGCAGATTACAGCATGTTGAGCGCGGCTGCATTCCTCCTCCGCCATCATACTCCCTGCCTCCTGCAGCGTCCTAGTCCTGGTGGAGTGTTCAGACTCCGACACCAATCCTCGGTGCCGGACCATTCTTCCAATCCGGCGACGCAGCGACCAGAGGGTGAAGAATGAAGATTGAAGATTGAAGACCGAGGATGTGCACACCCATACATCCAACCACAAGTACAGTAGGTTCGACGAAGAGCGCAAGCAAGATGCCTGGCACTGAGTGGTGGGTTTCTAGGCGGCCCTTTTAGCGACTGGTGGCTGGTCATGCAGCCGCTGACAGGTCCTCTCAGGACCACACTTTTGCAGGCCTGTGGCTACACCATGTCCGGCACACACGTACTCATATCACACATGCTAAACTCAGTCGCCGATTGTCGCAGCTGCAATCCGCTCACGCTCACGCTCACGCTCACGCTCAGGTGCATCGTGTAATCAACATGCACTGGACGCCTTCTCACACAGCCACCCAAGGTACTTCTGAGGAAGCTCGGTTGGAGCCTCTAGCAGGACTGCCGGGAAGACGAGGAGGATGATCATAATCCGCAACACGAGCACTCCCCAACAACAATGAATTTGTGTACGGAGGCACGAGGAGTTGCTGCTCACTCGCCGTCGTCTCCATTTTGTCTGCCGCGTTCACGAGAATCAGGCTTCTCCACCATCATTCCCTCATTCGCCGCTGGCTTTGCATCGACCACTTCGTGCAAATCCAACCCGTCAAACTTGCCTCAGGGCGGCAGTTGCTAACCTCAAAGTGTTGAAAGCTGAACAGCGCGCCGAGCATGCTCCATCAGCGAACTGCAAAACCACCTCTCCAATAATCCACTACTCTACAGTAGTCAGTGCGTCAAGAGATCAACAACTCTCTTGTTTTAAGACCATTCTCGCCCGTCGCCCCACACTGCTCGCCAATTCTCGTCGATGGTGCTCCTCCCTCCACACGAGAGGGCTCTACCCTCGGTCTCATAGGTCCACCAATCTGCGAGCCACGACGCTCTGCTCTCGATCCCAGATTGAATTTCACGAAACTGCACCATGTCCCAATCCGTCAAGGGGACGATTGCTGGAGGCTGCAAGACTCGCACAGCTTTATAATGGGGTAGTTATGATCATGAGTGATAATATCGAACCCCTCGAGGTCATCCGGCCTCGAACATCATTACCAAAGCGTCGGCAGATCGTCTGAGAGAACGTCTTCGAGCTTGGCGAACGTTCATCTCGAACTCAATCATGAAAGACGTCTATGGTCGTCCCGTACCTTCGAGCCTGGCTTTTACGAGCACCCTTGCCCCTCGCCCACGTCCCTCGCCTTCGCTCGTATTGTAGCGATCAGCTGCACCTGTCCAGCAGGGGTCCGGCCCAGAACGGAACTGTGCATGGGCGCCAGGTCTGTGCTTCTGACGATCCACCAGCCCCAGATGGCGCAATGCGTTTGTACAAGGACGACTCAGCACGGAATCACCCGCAGGACGTGCTCCGATCACAACAGATAGCTTGGAAATCTAACCCGCTCTTGTCCGGCCGTCGCCTCTGGCTGCAGCCGCACAATAGGCATGCTCCCTCTCTAGCCGTTCGAGGGCGATTTTTACGCCTTATAGTTCCTCGGTCTACACCCGAGGATTCAGCGCAGGCGAGTGTGTGCGCTCTGGAGACATGTGCTCAAGTCCAAGCGAGCCGTCTTTGGAACATGAATACTCCAACATGAAGAGATCAGCAACAAACTGGAGACGGATATTGAAACAAGGGGCAAGCGACGTCACCTGCTGATCACTTCCCCTGTGGCCATGTGGCGCTGAGTACTGGCAGATCAGCGCAACACAGTACCAGCCAAGTGACCTTTTGTCCAGGCATCGACGGCTTGTTTTGGCTTATTTTACTGAAAGGAATGCTGCCGACTCGGCTGTGGTAACGAGAATGAAGCCCGGTGGCCGAAGAAAAGCTGTCTGAACGCCACTATCGCGCCGAAGCTCAACACTCGGGAAACCTTTGACGAGGCGGCGAGATACGGGAAGCTGACGAGGCCGGATAATAATTTCTGGCGTTAACCCACCACAGCGAGCCCTTCCTCACCTCCGTGACCAAAACATCACAGGGCATCGATCCTGATAGACTCCAGCTTGAATGCGGCTCACTGGAGTCTGAGTCTAGAGTCAGACCACTGGGGCAAGGAAAGATGACTTGAACTGACACATTCTCCATGACCTGAAAAATTTGGTCTCATTCAGGACAGGGTATGCTGATTGTTTTTCAAATGTTCGCGACACGCACGAGCACTCGCCCACGAATGGTGGGCACCGACCTGGTTTATCCAGGGTGGTGTGCTGCCTACATGGAGTGGCCATGCATCGTGCATGGTGGCGTTCAACCCTCGCTCTGTCTAGTGCCATCCACCCCCACACCTTGCTGTAAGCGACCATCTTGGGCGTATTGATTTCTTTCCCTGTGCATCAACTGTGCATCTGACGACGAGTCCGGCTTATTTTGTCGTGCATCGTGTTCAACTAGGCTTTTACGCCCTTCGTATCCGCTCGAGATCCGGCTGACCAACGTCAAGTCCGCATCACTTGCTACCATGATTGCTGAAGAGTCCCAGAGAGTGCAAATCTCGGTCAACTCGATTATTTTGGTCCAGCATGAACGTTTGTAGGCGTCGGGAGAGTAAAGATAGGTACATTTGAGGTACATGAGAAGCAATCATATCCCGAAGGAAGCCCGTCGGCGCTGATAAAAGATCAACGATCTGCTGATTACACGCTACTCTCGACGGTTGAATTTTCCAGTACTAGTCGCGGAGCAAAATGTCCATTTATGGCCTACTTCAGAGGATCAGCTTACCGTGAAAGCATAAGCGTTGTCACAGTTCTGTTTTCGCTGCCCGTACATGCATCTGTGCGGCAACAAAACAGTTCTCTCATGCGCATACTCGAGGCAGTAATTCCAACCACCGCGAGAATGACAGCATATGCGGTAGAGTTGTATCTCCCCCGGCACTGAGACGTTGTACTTTCGAAGGTCAGTGGTCGCAACCGCTTGTGCGTGTCGAGTGGACTGAAAGGGAAAATACCCGGAGAGCAATCGATTTGTCACCAATCATCTATAGCAGGATCTCTTCTTCCTTCTCTCTGCTTCCTCCAGAGAAAGCAGCTAAGGCATCGGGGGAGGGAAAGTCTTATTGGTACAAAGAAGATGAACTAGTACTGCCAATTGAGTGCCGACAACATCCAGTCCTGGTGTCTGTCATGTCGATGAAATAGCACATATCAACGCGACACACGACTCTACCAAAACAGTCATGTCGTTGAGGGAGCGCGAATGAAGATGGAGATATCTCATGCTGCCCGGAAGCCAGGGCTTCACTTCCGCCCGTAGCTCCAGACACCCTAAACAAGTCGCAGCGCGGGGGTGGCCCACGGTGCCTGGACGATCTGTCATGTCCAGCGCCCAAAGCCCAGCTGCTTCTGTGAGGCCCCAATCGTCGCGCGGCCCAGGCTAGTAGGCCTAGATGATGGAGGATGGAGGATGAGTACGCAGCCATCGTGGTGAATCTGTTTCGACGGCCTCAACGCATCTCACATCTCTGGCCATTCTTGGCAATGACGTCAATTCTCTGGTGCAATTTTGACGACACCAGCGTCGATTGATTTCTGAGCGCATTTCCACCACCGTCTACGAGTGCCTGGGCAACTCTCTTCCTGGTGACTTCGTGGTACCTCGCTGTACCTCGCCGCGGGTGATCTACAATCCGGTGTTCATGCACGTTGTCCGAAGGTTCATGCATGTCAACAGCGAGCTTCACCGCCAGTTGGGCCCCTGTCCATCCTTTTCTCGGGGCTTGACGCAATGCAGGCGGTGAAGAGAAACCCGGAAATGCAAAGCTAGTGAGGCTGCAAACCCTACGATGCTTTTCAGCCCATCAAAACCTCGCATCCCACGGCCCGAAGCGAGATCTGACTTGTCTCAACCACACTCGATCGACTATAGGATCTTATGATGCAAGCATCGTAGGCCCTTCTAGTTTCTGCCAAACCCGCCCAAACTCTGATCAGACCTCGACACGAAAGGTTCTGGTCCCTGATTCTCATCGGCAGCAGGACGCGCAAGGTAAAATTAACAAGTTCGCAGCGATTCACCTCGTATTGCTTTGAGTTGTACACCTCACCAAGCAAGCCTCGGCCTCGTTTCCGCGCTCCTATCCACCGGCATTTTCACGCTGCCCACAACGTTCTGAAATTCACACATTACGTGACTAAGCATGGCCACGGGTATTGTACGAGCAAGATAGCCCTTGTCACAACACGACCCCGTGGCTAAACCCCCACGACACTGGTCATGTGCCACGGTATCCGAAAACGCAGACCTGGCGCCAGATTCAAGCGAGGCTCAATTTGTTCTTGCATCATGCTGTGTGACGTTGCACACAGATCCGAAGGTGCACCCAGAATTGACCGAATGGCGAGAACTTGTCGTGGCTTATATGGCCCCGGGGGCTTGCTTGATGAATTTCTTGCATGGTTAGACCCTCCAGGATGCTCGAGCAAGGGTCTTCCGAGTGGCTGGCTCTTTTGCCACCGCCTGCCTCGTTTTCAAGGGTTGAATTTTTCCGAGATGCAATTCGTGGAAGTTTTCTCCTAGTGACTGGACCACACCAGTCTTCCTCCAAGACATAGGAACAGACGAGCTCCCTTGCCCTAGTTCGTAGCGAGGAACGGAGGACGCAGCTGGGGGCGGTTCACCTTGCAGAGCTCTCTAGTGAGAAACTCACGGATCCCATTCAAAGCGCGATTTTGATTCTCTCTCCGAAAATTCCTCGTGTTCATCAAGCAGACATGGGTCCAGGTCTGATCCGGACGACTGCAGATCGCTAATGACTGCCTACAGAACTGACTAGCATCTAGTTCACAAGCCGTTCCTCTTCACAACTCACGACACCAGCCGCATAGCGGTGCAGAGGAAGGTTTCCACTCGCTGGCTGTCCGACTTATCACTGCTCTGAGGATTACGCGGCACAGCACCCTGTCCTGGCTCTGTGGCTTGAGTGCAATGCGGTGGGGTGATTTTAAAGCGCAGCGGCCCCTAATACCACCTGAAAGGTTAAAATGTGAGTTACAATCCTGACCCGTTGCAACCCAAGATGCTCAACATGCCGCCAGAAGATATCTTTGCTGATATGCGACATAAGGATGTGTTGTTCTATGGACCCAATGAGGGTTAAAGACCTCTAGGGAGCCATTTCCCGATTGTTGGACGCCTTCTGCAAACTTATCAAGCCGTCTTCGACTCAAAAAACGTTACCTGGTGGTGCCAGGCAGAACCTTGCGTCCATTTTGCAGACGTTTAAAGATCCGCTCTACACTCGGAATATACGGAGTGTTCCTTCTACTTGTCCTTTGCCCTGTAGATCATTCAACGACCCTGGATTTGATGTTCGCTTGCCAGCTATGCCTAGGGAGGATGAAAGGATCGATCTGAGCTTCCGGGGCGAAGTCTACATCAGAGTGGGATACTGGCGAAAGCAAGAAATGACACTTAGCCTCAACTGAAGACTCGCAGGCCATGGGAGAAGGTTTACAACCAATGTCATCTTCACCGTATCGACATTATCGGATCCTTGAGACCGTGTCGTGAGCCTGTAGCATAAGGCACGGCCTGGGCAGACTTGGCCGGAAATACGATGTATTGATCGTGATAGACAACGGCTACGGCATACTTCAATGGCCTTCCGAGAAGGGCACACAGTTCCGGCCTATAGACACAGCCACGCTCCCGAGTATCGTGGATGTAAATCGAGAGCTTGATGGTGGACCCGTGGATCTCTTCGACAAAGCTGTTAGCAACGGAAGCTTCAGCAAGAACACGGCACCAGGTTGACGCACAGGATGGGCGAAAGGACTGAAACCCTGTCACATGGTATTTCACAGACAGAGTCAAGTCGGTTTAGCGGCGCACCTTTACATCTAGTTGCGTCCTTCATCTGCAAGGTGGTGCTATCGACAAGAACGTTACAAAACTACGCCCTTGAAGAACTCTAGGCGGGACATGCGTTCGCCATCATTTTTGTTATTGCGGTCAGGAACACACTAGCTCCCATTAGGATTGATCACACTGCCGCCTGACATCGACATTGCACGTGGATACTTCATCTGGCTAACCGTGCCCAAACAGTTGGACTTGTCCAAGCTTCTCAATTTGCCCTGGCTGAAGAGAATGTGATCATTTGGGCCAGCGAGGAATGCAGGGTGGAGGGCGACGATCAAAAGAAGGAAATGGGCTGGAAGCAAATTTTCGCCTAGGTTACGCGTGTGAGCAGAGGCTGTGAGGTGGTTGCGACGAGTGACGCGGCGGGAGACGGCCAGGTCAAATGAACAATCATCGTGACGGTTGCAGGCAGCGTGACATTGCTCTATAATCTGTCTCTTGTAAATGTGTCCCGACACATCAGCCAGCTGGGCCAGACCTAGCCGGCGATGTGTTGGACCAGATCCTGATCTTGCCATCTGATTGTAACCTTGTGAAATGAGGTGTCGCTGCTGGGCCGCGATGCCCGTAGAATGACGGCCGGCGTCTGTTTGCTGTCAAACACCAGGAGTTTCGGGGTGTTTCATCGCGTCCCGGGGCGAGCCAATCGGCTGGGTGGGAGACGCCAATGTTCATCAACTTGGTCAAGATGCCAGCTTCGTCCGCCTCTTTTCGCTTCTGTTCTCCTTCCGTACTTCGGCCATGCTCTGTGGCGCAGGAATTGACGAGTGGACAACGGAGCTTGATTGTGAATTAAGGAGCCATTATGGTCCCTATATCAGTCGAATCAGCACCACCACCGCCAGCCTGGACTCGGTGGCGGCCAGCGCAGGCGACGAGAAACGGAGAACCAAGGAGCCAGGATCGACAGCGAGTACTCGGAGACGTTGACCAGCCTCTCTTTGTTCTCTCTCGATGCAACAGGCCACGGTGGGTGTGGAAGTGGAAACGCAGGGCAGCTTGAAATTGGCACCGACAGCAGAGGAAGAAATGCCGTGCAATGAATGGATGCGAGCAGCACGACGTTGGCAACTCACCGCCTGCACCCTCATTTATACTGCAGTCTGCTCGTCGTCGAGTCTGTGCTATACACTTGCCTTGGGATTCTTTCTCTCCTTTCTCTGTCCTCGTGCACATCGCTCGTTCTGTTCTGTTCATCCATCCACGCGGTCACCATTCCACTCGTTTGCCTCTGTCCTGCTGGCACAACACCTGCTCACCGCCCTGGCACGTGCTCTGTCGCACCTGCCATCGCGACTGATTGATCTTCTGACTGCAGGCGGTCACTCGTCACTGCCTGTTCTCTTCAATACCTGCCCATTGTTGTTGTTATTGTCTGTTTCGCAAGGCAGTCGCGTTCTTTGGAAAGAAAACCTCACTTCAGGGCCGTCGACTTGGAGACCTCGATCCGCAATATACCACCTTTCGCCTCAGTCATCGGACCACCGTCGCCGTCACCGTCACAGACTGTTCTCCGGGTGCTGGTCGCCCTAACTTTTAAAGCTCCTTCAGTTTACTGTTGCAATCGTACTCTCGCTTCTCCTGGAAAGCTTTTCAACAGCTGCCGTGAAGCGACTTGATCCGGCGATCAAGATGCTGTACCTCTACCTCTTCTTTCTTCTCCCGTGGATTGCCATGGGAATGCCGCGACCTCAGGAACAATCCTTGGAGCCACGGCAGCAAGCTTCTTCTTACTGGCTGGCGCAGATCCAACGACAGGGCACTGTCGCGTTTGGTTCTGATTCAGCCTACAAAATCTTTCGGAATGTTAAGGATTATGGAGCAGTTGGTATGTCACACTGCCTCCTCTCTCTCTCTCTCTCTCATCTCTGTCCTGAGATTAATGGCTGTTAGGTGACGGCGTGACGGATGATACCACAGCAATCAACAATGCTATTGCCGATGGTGCTCGATGTGGTCTCGGCTGCGACAGTTCAACCACGCTCCCTGCGATTGTCTACTTCCCTCCAGGCAAATATGCAGTCTCGGCACCGATCGTCCAGTACTACTACACACAATTCGTGGGTGATGCGGTGAACGTTCCAACCATCATCGCCACTGCCAACTTCGAAGGCCTAGCTGTTCTCGATACTGACCCCTACATTCCTGGAGGCAATGGAGCGCAGTGGTATACCAACCAAAACAACTTCTACCGGCAGATCCGCAATTTTGTCATAGACATCACGCAAATGCCAGAAGACAAGGGTGCTGGGATCCACTGGCAAGTTGCGCAGGCCACCAGCCTTCAGAACATTGTCTTCAATATGGCCCCAAAGAGCCCGGCCAACAAGCAGCAAGGGATATTCATGGACAATGGATCTGGAGGCTTCATGAGCGACCTCGTCTTCAATGGCGGGAACTACGGCGCCTTCCTCGGCAATCAGCAGTTTACCTCTCGCAACATGACATTCAACAATTGCAATACGGCAGTCTTCATGAACTGGAACTGGCTCTGGACATTCAAGTCTCTTAGCATCAACAACTGCGATGTCGGAATCGACATGTCCACTTTATCAAACGGTGTCAATCAAACTGTCGGCTCCGTAGTTGTATTGGACAGTGTCATGTCAAACACTCCAATTGGAATCAAGACATCTTATAACGTGACAAGCCAGCCCATCAGTGCAGGCACTCTGGCATTGCAGAATGTAGATTTCAGCACCGTGCAAAAAGCAATTGTTGGTGCGAATGGCGCTGACCAGATTCTTGCTGGAGGAAGCGTCGTCGGATCATGGGGTCAAGGCGACTATTACCACCCTGCCTCGGGTAATCAGCCTGTCAAACGAAAGCCTCAAGCTGCAGCAAGCACTACTTCTTCGGACTGTAGCGCGACCACAACGACGACGACAGTGACCCTCTCTCCGACCGCTAATGTCCCCATGTTGACCACCACAGTGACGGTGTCGCCTCTACCAGTCTCTGATGCCAGCGCTGCTCCTATTGCGGCGTCAAATGCAACTATTCTAGGCAACTCTACTTCGACCAATTCCGTGGCCACTGCTACGTCGAGATCCTGTGCGGCCTCTCCAGTCGCACTTCAATCCTCGCGAGTGCAACAAGGACTCACCAATCCCACGCTGCCTGCGGCCCTCATGAATGGCAACGCGGTATTTGAACGGTCGAAACCGCAATATGAGAACATACCCGCTTCGTCATTCATCAGTGTCAAGTCAAAAGGAGCGAAGGGCGATGGTTCTACCGATGATACTACCGCACTGCAGCAGATCTTGAACAGCGCGACTGAAGACCAAATCGTCTACTTTGACCATGGGGCCTACGTGGTGACGGATACTCTCAAGATTCCCAAGAACATCAAGATCACCGGTGAGATCTGGCCGCTGATCATGGCCCGAGGCTCGGCATTCATGGATGTCAATCACCCCAAGCCAGTTCTCCAGGTTGGATCCCCAGGCGATACAGGATCCGTGGAGATTTCCGATCTCATTTTCGAGACCATGGGAGCCCTGCCAGGCGCGATCATGATGGAGTGGAACGTTGCTGAGACGTCTCAAGGATCTTGCGGCATGTGGGATGCGCACTTCAGAATTGGTGGGACTGCAGGCACTCAACTGCAACAAGACACTTGCCAGGCCAACGTGACCGGGTCATTCCAATTCAAGCCGGAATGTGCCGGCTCGTTTCTCATGATGCATATCACCCAGCAAGCCACTGCATATCTCGAGAATGTCTGGTTCTGGGTTGCTGATCATGAGCTCGACATCTCCACACATAACCAGACGGATATCTTCAATGGCCGCGGCCTGCTGGTGGAAAGTCAAGGTCCAACATGGCTGTATGGCACTTCCTCCGAGCACAGCCAACTATACAATTATCAGCTTGCGAATGCTCAGAATGTCTTCATGGGAGCTATCCAGACGGAGACGGCATATATGCAGGCTAGTCCCAATGCCCTCGAGGGAGGATTCACTCCGAATGCGGCCTTTTCGGATCCCACGTTTGCCGATTGCACCACCGAGTCGTGTAAGAAGACCTGGGGTCTTCGCATCGTGGACTCGACTGACGTGTACATGTACGGAGGAGGCCTCTACAGCTTTTTTGACAATTACATCCAAACATGCCTTGACACGGAGTCGTGCCAGGAGAACATGGTCGACATCCAGTGTTCGACCAATGTCAACTTGTATGGCTTGACCACCAAGGCATCAACCAACATGATCAATGTCGATGGCACTCCAGAGGTCTTCGAGCACGATCACACCAACTTGTTTGGACAGACATTGTTGCTCTTCCAGCAATGAGTGCCAGACATTTGAGGTGCCGAGATCTGTGTCTCAGGGGGAGAAATATTTGAGTATGAGAGTTCATCTTGGTCAACTATTTTGGGACTATGCAGGATTAGTGCTCAGACGATGAGCCGTTACATGGTCTCCAGTTTTATGATGGATGCAACTCGACTGTGTCAAAGTCGAGGATACAATGTACATTGCATGATAGCCACGCCTACGATGGCAAGGGGGTTGCTTACTACAATAGCTTAATCTTGTAATTTTTGGTTGAATAGACCAACAAAGAAAATTCAAAACTGTCAACCAGATTGAGGAAACGATTTCTTCAAGTTCCGAATTTCAGAGGCTGCGGCTCGCGCCACGCCACTGGACGATGAATCCCTGTTCCCTGTTTCTGGATATCGTTACATCGCAACGCCTCGTACCGAGTATCGTAAGTATCTTTCGTACCTAAGCGAAAGCTGGGGACCCGATGGATTGAGTATGAGGATTATCGTGTACACGCGGGGGGCGAAAAAGCGTCGCAGCGAGTAACATTGCTCATCAGGGCAGAACAGAACACCGAGACAGCTGCCTGAGGTGAATAATAGCACGGTTTGAATTGGTGGAATACTAGTTAGTAGGCATTTGTTTTTACTGAGTTGCCTGGAAGTCTGTTACTCGTAGGTAGTCGACACTGGCTCCTCCGCATCCACCTAAAGTAACTTCATCTCCAAAAACAATTGAAGTGTCCGCCGAAGTACGACCCTGGTACTTCACTGACTGACACATCTGCAGCGATGAATCTTTCTCGACAAATATGCAGGTCGAAGTCCTCTCTTCCCTCGCCTCCCATTTGAGATCCCTGCTAAGAATCTCCCACAACCTTGAACCGAGCTCAATGAACATCGTGGGCGCAGCACCCAGCCATGACTTTGAGACGCTCGGAGCGAATACACTTTAGCAACGAGGATACGCTTTCTGCCTCGTCGTCATCGCGATCATTGTCAGAGCAGCTACAAGATGGCTGGAACCTGTACCATCCGCCCTCCAGAGGGCTTCCTCAACGCACGATCCCCTCCAACGTTGTCGACTTCTCCGTCAAACACTTGTTCGCGACGGATTATGGACCGAAAACTTTGGCACAATTTCTGCGGGAAGAGATAGACAAGTTGAGGCAGTCTGCCACCATATACACTGGCAAGGGCAAAGGCAAGATGGTTGAAACGCCCCACCTCGCCGATGCCGCGCAACCAGGTGTTCATCACCGCCCCGGCTATAACCACACTCCTGGCGACAGCAGGAATGACGGGCCCCCGAAAAACATGACGCACCATTTGCAATCTTCTGTCGAGGGTGCATTTGCAGACGAGCAGTCCATACACCGGGCGCCGTCTGCACACATTCCGGGTCTAAACGCATCACCTTCCATAGCAAGCGCCTCCCTCCTCCAGAGTCAACAACCTCATCCTATGGAGAGCACTGCCCCAAGGAGTCTGTTAGTGAATGCAGCCTTGCGACGGTCTGAACGTCTATCGAACAAGGCCCAAAACAAGGACCGAGGTAAGATGGAGAATGCCTCACCTTACTCCGATGCCAATGCCAAGAGCAATCGAGAAGACGGTACCAAATCTCCCCGTGACTCTGAAAATCCATTCCTTCAGTCTGTTAAAGGTCCGGGTGTCTCTGCTGGTCGGGACAACGTCTCTGACCCATACCATTCTGCGACGTCGTTTGAGACCGTTACCGATTCAGACAGGAGAAGCCACTTCGAAGAACATACGAAAACTCGACGGCATCTTGTCAGAGACGTACCTAGTCAGCTACCTATTCAAAAGCACAATGTGCCAGATCATTTGCGCACCAGACTTCGTCCAAGGCAGACTTTCTGCGAGGGCCCTGTCGAATCTTCGCCGAACGATGCAAATGTAGATGGTTTACCATCCAATACCGAGCATGTTGCTAGTCCAGACCACAACTCGCCGCCCACCTTTAGGATCCCCAGCAAGATCCCACGGCGACCTAATTGCAACCAGCATCCGCAAAACTATCTACCGAGACACACTTCACTCTCCGAACCCCGCCTTGAGAATACACAACCCGGCAGAGATGAAGCACAAATAGTGGTCATTGATGTGTCAAAATTCGTTGATCGCTTTTTTTGGAACATGAGCGGTTCTGACGAGGCATGCTCTGCGCAAGGAGATGTTGGTCAAGCCTTGATAGGGACATTAATACCCCCATCCTCTGTGCCATCCCGTTTCAACTACACAGGCATAGTGCCACCACGGCTGACGGCCGAAGTGAAGAGAAACTTCCTTGAAAGCGCGCAGCGAATCACGGGATCACTCAAGTTGCAACAACTTCTTGTGGCATACGACCTTGATTTGTTTCTCCAAGGGTACGAAGGAGCAAGACCGATAAACCCTTCCGACGTTCTGGCCCTGATATCCGACTCTGACTCCGTTTCTTTCTCATACGGTAGTGAAGATGGACTCAAGCCGAAGTCTGGTGTGATGCAGCAACACCGAAGCCTCGATGACTTTGACGAAGATCGATGGATGGACATCGCCCAGCATCTTTCTCCGCAGGATATAAGAAATCTACGTCTTGTCAGTCGAGCACTGGCCCAACGTTTGGGGCCGATTCTCTTTCGCAATGTTGTGGTGAATTTCGGCAAAAGATTCTTTGACATTGATGACACTGGATGGGAGAGCAGATGTGGGCACCCTCCTTCGAATTCCGTGCTGAAGAAACACGGAGATAACATCAACCAGTTTGGGATAGCATTCGAGTACGACCTGGATGGCCTCGCCAACGCGTCGGAGAAAGTCATAGAAAAGGAACAAGACGCGTGGTTCGGACGCTTTACGTGGCCGACAGAGAACTATCCACGTTATCCCTCCCTTCAAGCACAAGAGGACCTCGTAGATCACAATCGACCCTTGCTCAGAGAAGCCTTGAAGCACGTAACTAAAGCTTCTGAATTGGGACTTTGCATTGACAGTGGGCATGGATGGCTAGAAGGGCCCGACATATCTGATCTTGCTTTATTCCAGCGCCGGACAAAGAACGGCAGCGCGATCTTTGGCGACACATTCAAGACCGAGGACATGTGGACCACCCTGGGACGCAATCAATATTTCCACTGGGCTCAGCAGAATACCATCGATGAGACTACCAAATGGCTGAATAGAGAAGCGTGCGACGACGCCGGAAATTCACCTCACCGAGCGAGTACCTCTACCACGGACGAGATCGATTTCGTGAATCATGTTGGAACTACTAGTATTGAGAGTTTCCGAGAGAAGCGTAAACCGGCAAATGATTTTGAGGATGCGCACATTGGGGTTTTCTCTAGCACTCGACGGATTCGCCCGGGCTTCGACTCTCACAGTGCAAGCGTGCTTGGTGCACATCCGAGCCAGTGGCCGCTGATATTTGGTGGTTACAATCTCGCTGCAGAGCTGGGAGGCGTCAATGAGCGGCTACCCACAAAAATTGCACACCCTTATTGCTCCCCTTTGCTTCCAGGTTCGCTGACAGAAGCACAGGCTCAGTGGTTGATGGAGACTGCTTGGGCTCAGCGGGCCTTTTTGTCTGCCTATACCACGGCCGTCATCACTAACAAGCAGAACTTCACCAACATCCACACTCTCAGAATCAGTAAATTATCCTCAGGTCTTTTGCCATCGATGGAGCAGCAGGAATTCTGGAGGTCTCTCCCGGGACTGAAGAATTTAAAGATCCTAGTCAGTCCAGACTGGCGGCAGGATTATCTCATCGGCGACCGTGCCTTTGCCACGAATATGCTGATATCTCCTGCAAAGGCTGCCGAGAGGTTCACCCGGTTCTTGAGACTCCACGTCACCAAGCTGGAGACTCTGTTGAGTCTGACGGTTGGTTACGCCGGAGGCGGAGAAGATGCGGTTGGCATGTTTGCCCGTAACCAACATGTTTTGTTCGCTCCAATCGTGGAAGATCCTAGAGACTGGCTTCACCGTCCTGCCCGACCTCCATGGGTGACCAGGTTCGATCACGTTCGCGAGCTCAAATTCAAAAATTGCTGGTTTACCCCTTGGATGTTGCGAGCATTCATGGAAAAGAGTAAGGACACCAGTCTTCACACCCTCAACCTCGACTCTGTCAGTATGACGGCCATCCACGATTCGAGCATCGACAATCGAATATTGGCTCAGGGCATCGGGTCGCGTTGTGCGTGGCCTCGATCTTCGTGGCTCAATGAAACGCTCTCAGCCAGTACTGCTTGGTGTCAGGTCCTTGATGACATCACTCCAGGAGTTACATTGCTTGAGCGCAAGTACGATGCCGGTATGATCGACGAGATTCAACATCCACGACCCAAAAGGGCATTCCGCGGCCACGTGCGGAAACTGATTCTCAAGAGCTGTGGTTATGTCAAAATATCACTACCGAAGACTGGCATCTCGGGGTACAGCCAGAACGCGCTTCTTGCGCATTCTCATGTTCCTATGGACCAGGGTCTTTTCAAGCGTATGCAACAATATGTCAAGGTCCCATCCTCCTCAACCGCAGGGGCAGGTGAAGATGCAGAGACCCACAATGGCCCGGCCGGAGTTCTTCGAGCCAAGCGAGGTGATGATCTTTCTCGCCGGCATATCATGCTGAGTACCATCGCGCCCAACGGCGAGCCGTATCCTTGGTTAGGCACATTGACGCAGTGTGTCCATCCGGTTGAGAAACGAGTCCTGGAGGAAGCCTGGGGCATGACCTTTGGTTGGCAAGATGATTTGGCGCGTTTCGGTGCTGTGGAAGATGGATTCTTCGAAGGTGGCACGGGCCGATTCAGCGGTGTTATCGAAAGGGATCCCAGTGAAGAAGAAACGATATCAGATTAGATGTGCAACTGACGACCGATGATATTGAGATTTGTTAGCTAGGTATGGATTGGCACGCGGGTTGTACTGAGTCTGCAGTGCCTGATGTGAGTTTGTGTTGGAAGAAAACGGGGATGGCAGCAATGGCTATATCTCCTTTTGCATTTTGCATTCTGTTTTTTTTTGTTTCTTTTTTTTTCACGTTTTATGAGGATCAACTGATTACTCATTGAGTGTGTTTAGAATCACCGTCATCTCCCGGCCGGGGGGTGTTATGCCATTGACCTAGGAACGCGAGAGAGACTCAGAAGAAGGCAGATCTCAAAAGTATTGTTACACTATTATTGACTGTTGTAACTTCAAAAGAGACAAGACAACAGGAACCCGTGAGAGGCCGCCGAAAACAGGACTTTCTATTCACGATGGGAGTGAGATGTCTGATATCTTGATTTTCGTCTTCTACACACCCACCGCCTGGGGTGGTCCCGCCAACACGTCCAAACACGTCAGGATCATCCTCCCGACCTGCCAGTGTCTTCTGGATCCAAAAGCCTTCCGCGCCCAGGCCATGGCCGCCTCGGCGTCGCCGTCGGCCACGCCCACGACCTGCATCGCGCCCACGGAGGCTCCGCACACCAGGCGCCAGGCGATCAGAAACGCCTTGTAGGCGTACAGGAGGACCCACGGCGGTTCCGAGCCGGGGGCCGGCGCTGCGTCGTCGACCTGGCGCAGGAACCAGTCGACGTGCGGCCGGATGGATCTGGCCGTGTCGGTCTCGACCAGGAACTCGCACGGCGGCGCGAGGTGGGTGGACTCCTGCAGCAACGCGTCCACGCTCCCTCCCACGATGCCGCCGGTGTGGGCGGGAGACCACGTCTGCAGCTCGATCATGGCCATCTGCCATGTCGCCTCGCACAGGACGGCCGACGAACCCCTCGACCTCCCCGCGTCCACCCGGAGGCGGACGAGGGGGCGGAGGGCCTCCAGCGACGACCTCAGAGGCTCCAACCTCTCGATGCTGAGCCGCCCGGTCATGGTCAGCCAGCCGGAAATCTCGCGGACGCTGGAAATCATGAACTGGGCGATGTTGACGGCCCCGTACGCGTCAAAGTCCGGAATCGAGTCGACGTCCGGGTGGTCATCGGAGAGAAAGCGTCGGACGGCGTCCCCGTACTGCATGGGTGGTGGCTCGCCGGCGTGGCCCCCTGCGAGCAACCTCCGGTGCGCCCACTGCTCTGCCGAGGCGGCCGTCCAGCAATCCTCCGGACAAGGCAGATCGTGTTTGATTTCCAGGTGCGAGAGCGACCGCGGGATCGAGAGGAACTGGTACCACAGCGCGTCCATCTGGTGGAGGGCAAACAAGGTCCGCTTGTGAGACTCGGCCGTGACGAACTCTCGCCACAGAGACCCCAGATCTTCACCCGCCGCGGCAGGGCTCGGGACCGTTTGCATCAGACCCCCCGAACGCGCGAGGAATATCATCTTGGAATGCATCCGCAGGCCATGTGCCGAGTCTCCGCCACAGAGGTACATCATGGCACACACCTGAAGCAGCAGATACGCCTGGATCATGGCCAGGCTGTTTGACCAGTCAGCTGTCGTGCCTTCTTCGTTTGAGTCAAGGAGCACACGTGCGTGGTGGAAGCAGCGCGCAGAGAGTCTCGCCCCCGAGCCGAGTGCGCCACCGCAATCCGGGTCCTCGTCATATTGATACGCCAGACTAAGCATGCCGAGAATCAAGTAGTCAGCGGCGCGACCGGCGTCGAATGTCGGTCGATGCAGAAATGGGAAAAAGTTGGAGACGTGTGCAAAGTAGTGGTGTACGCCTCGCGCGATCTGCTCCGGCGAGGGAAACCAGTCTTTCCGATGGCCTTGCCGATCTTCTGACGGAGAAACGCTCTTCCTGTGAGGAATGAAACTGTGATGGATTTGACTTGGACTGACCGTGGAAGGAGGTGGTGGCGACGAGCTCGTGTGCTGAGCACCAGTGTGACAAGAGAGCTTGGGAGCCGAGGATCCCAACTGCAGACCTCGTTCCCCGTCAGCCGCGTGGAAGACTGGTCGATTGATGTGTGTCGATCCTGCTGAAATTCCTGCCGAGCCTGAGTCGGTCGAAGAATTGTCGCCTCCATCGCTTATAGGGCTGGCACTTGCGAGGTTCGTGCCGTCTTCGCCGTACTGGTGCGCACCGTGGTGCACTGGACCTTGCTCGTCCTGCGGTCGGGGGTTCCAAGAAGGGTAGTCCATCAGAAGCGAGCCGTAAGGGCTCGACTGTGTCCGGGTCAAGTCGTACTGGCGGTCTGACGGGGACACAGACAGTGTCTGCTGTCTGGGCCAAGATCCCTGTTCCTCCGGCTCGTGGCCGAGTGTCGACGTGTCCTGCCGAAGTCTCTTTGTGGGCCGGGAGTCTTCCCCTTCTAGATGGACCTTCTTCATATGGCGGCGGCGAAGATCGGCCCGCGAGAACGTAGTGGTACAATAGTCACACCTGTGCGAGGGAGCCTCCTTTGAGCGCGAATGCAGCGCAGCGTGCCGCTTGAGGTTCTCATTGCGCGTGAAGCGGCGGTGACAAACATGGCACTCAAAGGGTTGATAACTCATGCTGACGGCACCGACAATAGCGCTCTGTCTAGAAGGCTCTCTGCCTGCGGGATACAACAGTGTCTGGCCCAGTAAGAGAAGAGCCGATTCGAGACTTGTCCTGCGGAGGTCATGCACTTCAGACTACCTTCTGGGCTGGCTCTCGGTCCGAACAACACGAAGCAGATCCCCTTGATATCTCTTCAGATGCCCTAGTGATCACATACACGTCAGATCCGTATCGCTGGATGTCGATGTCGTAGAATCATGAAAGGAAGCCAGCCGTAGACAGAACACATAATAGGATACTGCTATAAGGGCACTTTCGAGTGGCACCAACTGATAAGACGCGAAGAAGGTTTGGATGCATTCCAATTAAAAGATAAGCGGCTACTGAGAAAGACCAATGGGCAATGGTGCGGCTTTCGGCATTTCAGTCGATGGGTTTAATCGGGGCGGAACAGGACGCACGGAGACGGGGATCACTTTCTTTTATCTTCTCAGCACAGTCGTCGGCGATATGGAGAACTCCAAGTAAGCGACACAATTTTCCTACAGCTTAACAGAGAGTCGTTCTGCACACTGCTTCGTTCGCAGCCAAGTCCTATCAGAGGTGCGGCCTAGACCTCGACAGCCACCTTTGATGGTCGAACTATCCACCATATCTACGCTGCAGCAAGTTGGCAATGGCGACACATCCACTCCATCCCCCCTTCAGCCTTTTTGTTTTCTACACGGGAAGGACGACCTTGACGCCTAGGTACTCCCGTTGCTGCATGAGCTTGCCGTCGATGAGGACTTGATCGGCGCCAATCCGATTGCGCGTCGTGTCCGTCGGATCCGTCGCTGTAGCAATCTGGATCTCTCGCCATTCACGATTCGTAGGCACGAGTTGCCCCTGGAGCGTACGTTTTTTGAACTCACTGTACACCCCTTGATCTTCCACACAGCCTTCTCGTTGGAGGAGAGGCGAGGCTAGTGCACAACTGCGTCAGCAATTACCCTGCATCAGGGATGAAGATGATACACGTACTTTTCACGGGTTCCATGCGCAAGTCGCCGACAGAGCTATTGAACAGCACCAGGGAAAGCCGCTCTGACTGCGCCTGATCTGCCGGTGGCTTGAAGACTCGGTGACGAGTTGCCTTGAAGTGTCCACCTGAGACGATTTCTAGGGTGTCTCCAATGTTGATGACGAGCGCTCCGGGCTTGTACGGCACATAATACCACTTCTCGTCACGGCCCCAAATTTGGAGACAGGAGATTGGAACAGAAAAGAGCAGGGTCGTCAAGCCAAAATCCGTGTGGCCGTGCATACGAAGGCCCTTGGACGCCTCTTGGGTCCCTTTCTGCACAGGACGGAACAGAGCATGCCGGAAGTAGCCCTCCCCGGTTGGGCTCCCGTGCGATTGCACATTATCCCACAGGTAATCGTCGGGAAGCTCCAGAACGCGCGAAAACAGGGTGAGCAACCGACGATTGACTGATTTCGTAAGATAGTTGCAAAAGTCCTCGATCTCATCCATGAAGGGGTGCAAGCACCGTGGAACTCGGTCGATGTCTTCCCACTCACGTGGGTACCAGTTGAACTGCTCGATGCCATCGGGAGTGCCGCGGTGGCGCTGAGGCGTGAAAAGGGATGATCAGCACAAGACAGCTGAATTTTGAGGTCTGGGTTGAACCAACCCACCTTGAATCCAAACGGATGTTTGTAGCCAGACCACTTGCCAGTGTCTGGATCGAAAAGTAGCCGCTCCTTGTCTTTTCCGCTTATGTTGTGGTACAGATACTGGGCAAGAGCAAATTGACGGTGCAGCTGTGTTCGAGATCGGCTCATCAGCGCCTGTAGTCTCTCCGAATATTGGGTTTAGCCCTCACCTGTTCCAAGGAGACGCCATAGTTCTCGAGAAAAAGAAAGCCATCATCACGGATGGCCCGCTTGACCTGCTGAACCAGGTCATCCGCGACGGCAGGGTCGTCAGAGTCAAGTAAAGATAGATCAATCGACGTGAGCTCCGCAAAATCGTGTTTTTCTTCCGTGACGGGGGGAGGGATCCATGGTGGAACAAAGGGTTTACCTGGGAGATTCGCTGCAGGTGGGTTGAATGGAGCTGTAGGTGCCATGCTTTGCTGATGAAGTGAGACGTACAGCTGCTCACTGGCCTCGTCTGTGTCCGCGTCCACTGCCGGTGCTACTTAATTATATACCTCTATAGCACACGTGGGGCATCAAGCTGTGGCCTGGCCCATATTGACAGTCGAATTGTCGATTGAGCTCCTCAGTCAGGAGATCAGGCACCGAGGCGCCGTGGAGGATGTTCTGACGGGCCAGGTTGGATATCTGGGGGATGAATAGGGCAGAGCTGAAACGGCACCGCTTCGCATCTGACCCAGTAGGTCCTCTCCAGCAGGAACGAAGTACGCCTCCTGCTCCTCCTGCTGGTGGCGCTGTTCCTCATCTCCGACCATGTGCTGAGCTCACTGGGCCATGCTGCTGTGATCTCGGAGCGTAGGGAGAAAGCGTCGTGCGCGTGAGAAGATTAAGTGGAGCCAGTGGGAGGAGCTCCTCTCATATTGTGCAAGGTCACCGACAAGCTTCCCCTACGGAAGCGCCCACGAGAGGAGCTCCTCTCACTCCGATACCCGTCGGAATCTACCAAATGGGGGCAAGGCTGTTGTTTCCCAACGTCAACGGTGCATTGATAGGACCAGGGAAAGGCACAGGGAGATGGTCGGCGTACGAGAGAGTCCATCTACAAAATCCGAAGCACCTGCTTAGTGCAGGACTAGACTCGCACTGCTTCCGCATCCAACATCTCTGTCCTCCCAGATCATTTCACGTACAACTCTGCTATCTAGAGCACGATTTCGATTCACGACCTTTTGCACCTCAAGTCACCAGCCCCAACATGTCACGACAACTGATATCCAGCGAAAAGTTCCCTCCTAAACCGCATAATTGTAAGTCTCTCTTCGTATGAAGTTTGGCGGTCCTCTCTCATGCATTTTGTGAAAGGTCCCGCGGTCAAAGTCCCCGGCCTGGTATTCTGTGCAGGCCAAACAGCTACAGGAGAGATCAGACAGGCAACAGTGAGTTTGGCGTCTGTATAGCAGGCCCGTGTTTTGAAGATTAACCAATCTTGTCTCAGAGAACAGCGCTACAGAACTTAAAGGAAGTTCTTGAGCTGGCAGGATCGTCCCTTGAGAGAGTCGTCAAGTACAATGTGTACCTAGCCGACATGAAAGATTTCGCAGCAATGAACGAGGCGTACATCGGATTTTTACCTCAGCCAATGCCATCACGATCATGTCTCCAAGCAGTCCCTCCTGGCGATGGAACCGTCATTGAGATTGAGTGCATTGCACAAGCATGAGTAGTACACTTGGGACGACTGTCTATGTGTGACATTCAGAATACTAGGGAGAAGGTCTTTCCTTTCAGCAAAACATAGAAGGAATATCCGCCAAGCGCTCCGCAGTAGGTGTTTGATAATCTTTCGGGACGCGGCGATGTGATTTTGGACAATAAGATACAACAGTGGGCGGGCAGTAAGGAGGCCATTGAAGATGAGCTAGAATAAGGCAAATCTTTGTCTTCAACAGACGACCGAAGAACTGAGCTCCACCAAGTCATTGTGCAAATAAATGTAGTTCACGCCAATAAATACTTTCATTTACAGAATTTAAACCATGCAACGGCGCCACAATTGGATATAGATGGCCAGGATTATGTTCGGCTGAGAAGTGGTTTCCAGAGCGGGAGTCAGGAAAAGGGTGTCATGATCCAATACTACCAACATAGTCTTTCGCGGACCAGGGAGCGTAAATATCAGACGCAACCCTACCTGCACACTGCATGGAGAAGTTTCATATCTCCCGGTCCAGCACTGTATTTGATCCCCTTTGGCGATGTGATAGACAAGACTCCTCGCATTTTATGCAACCTTTACTGTCAGGACCGAGCAATCTTGAGCTCAGCTACGTACCAATTCTGGATTGCCTTTGTATCCCCCGTTATGGCGACCAAATCATACCTCTTTTTGGCTTCCTTTGCGAGCACACCATCGTTCACCATACGTCCAACCCACTTGCCGTGTGCGCGGCCTGCCGCAATGATTTTGTCGATGGCGTTGTTGAACTCTGCCTCATCGCCTCGCGCAGGCACGTATCCGAGGAGGGATTGCGCGAGGTCGTTGGGCCCGACAAAGACCAAGTCCACACCCGGCACGGCGGCTATGCTGTCGACATTCTCAACGCCGGCGCATGTTTCGATCTGAACCATGGTTAGGATGGTCTCGTTGGCGGACTTCATGTACTCGGCAGTACTCAGGCCGTGGGCGATCGCCGGGAAAGCTGAGCCCTGACCGCGCATGCCCTGAGGCGGAAACTTGCTTGATTCCACCACCTGTCGGGCTTCGTCCGGGGTATTGATCTGAGGGACCATGATTCCGTGCGCACCCGTGTCAAGAGCACGTTTGATGATGTCGTGGGCAGGACCGCGAATACGAATGATGGGCGACACTCCTAGAGCTGAGATGGCCGCGACAGCATTGTGCATGGCATCGTCCCCAATGTTGCCATGCTCGCAATCAATGACAATGCCGTCGACTCCGGTCAGGGCGACAATCTGTGCCATCCGTACAGATGGCAGAGCCATGAACGTCAACATAGGAACTTCTCCATTCTTGAGTTTGTTGAGAATCCTCAGCCGAGGATTCTGAATGTCCGTGCTGTGGGCGCTGGTATAATTGATTGTTGTTTGCTTTGCCATGGTGTGGTCGCCGGCGCTCGATATGCTCTGATCCTAGATGGGTAAACAGCACAAGTCCTTCGAAGCAGTCGATGGATGATTGGAGGCCACGGAGAGTGCTATACGAGAAGACCATAGTACATCAAGCCGACTTTGTAATCCAACCTCAGTCCCTCCTTTGATAAGGAGTGTAGGCGGTGCTAAGCTTAGGATCCTGGCGAAGACGGAAGTGGATCTTTCCTCACCGGAGGAGCTCCTCCCATGCATTCGGGGAGGAGCAGCGCACCACTGTGCTCAACAGCATCAATGGATCATAGGTCGCCACCGACTGACTTGCGGGTTTGATAACATCGGGCCAGGGAATCACGGATTCCGTAGACTTGAGGGTAATGGCAAAGAGAAAATTTTGATGGAGTTGTCGCTTAAGATATGTGTCGTAAGGCGAGCGGGTAGGCGAATAGAAAATCCTCCGGCAGGATGCGTGCTAGGACCGTTTCGCATCGTTGTGACATCGTATCGCGACCAAGAGCCATCGTCAGGTCTTCCAATATCCCCAGCAAGTCCACATGTTGCACTATAGCCGCAGATGCATCTGGCTCTTTGTCTACGGAGGCGGAGGCCATTAGACATTCCCCACTCAAGCCGAGCCTTTCCCTTCTCGTGCACTTGAACTCTAGCATTGATAAGAGCCCGGTGAGCTCCTCCGTCAGGACCTACGACCTCATCTATAAGGACAGCTTGGTCCTCTCGATACGATGGAACGATATACCCAGTCGTCAAGCTGTCTTCCGGGCTATAGCTGTATCATACGCAGCATCAGCTGAGGCGTGCAGGAACATTCCCGCCAACAGAGCCGACGGCGCGAAACCAAGCCATTGCTTCTACGACCACACACCCCAGTTTTCCAGACGGCGTCGGCAGAGTCGACTTCTTGCTACTGCAGTCTGAACAAGACCGTCGCAGTACCTTGCTGGCCGTGAACATGGCACCTCCACCAACATCCGGACCCCTTCCTGAGAATACTGGGGGACATACCATGGAGCTCGACAAAGGAAAGGCCACCGGCGTCACTGAAGATGCTGCATCCTGCCAAGAAGGACAGCTAGAGCTCCAGGCTATGGCAGCCAGACCGAGACCAGCCACGCTCGACAGGTTCAATGATGCTGAGTTGGGACTTCTGAGCCAGAAACTCGTCCGTAAAATCGATCTGTTCATCCTGCCGACGATTGGGATCTTGTACATCTTGAACTATATCGACCGCCAGAACTTGGCAGCGGCTAAGCTACAGGGAATCACCAAAGACCTGAACATGACCACCGAACAGTTCGCCACTTCAATTTCAATCCTTTTCGTCGGGTACCTGCCATTCCAGATTCCTAGCAACCTCCTCATTACGAAGATCTCCCGGCCTGGAATGTACATCTGCGTTGCCGTGGTTATCTGGGGCAGTATTTCCGCTGCCACGGCGGCTGTGAACTCCTATGGTCAGCTCCTTGCGGTGCGAGTCATTCTTGGTGTGGTCGAAGCCGTCTTTTTCCCAGGAGCGATCTATTTCCTTTCGGCCTGGTACACCAAGCGAGAGCTCGGGAAGCGCATCGCGGGGCTGTACATTGCGCAGCAAGTTGGCAACGCCTTTGGTGGATTGTTCGCCGCCGGAATAGGGAAGCTCGATGGAACACACGGCATCGCGGGTTGGAGATGGTTGTTTATTATCGAAGGGAGCGCCACGGTCGGCATTGGGGTCATCTGCGCCTGTCTCATGCCAGAGTTCCCGCACAACAGTCGCATACTGTCACAGCCGGAACGTGACCTGGCGGTGTGGCGGATCGAGTCCGAAGCAGGGGCCGCAGAGGGCACGGAAAAGGAGAGCGTAGCGAGAGGCTTCGCGAAAGCTTTGTCGGATCCCAAGTTGTTGCTTTTGATCTTTTGCAACATGCTTTCACAGGCCCAGGGTTCCATTGCCAACTATTTTCCGACCCTCATCAACTCGCTCGGCTACGGATCGACTGACAGCTTACTCCTCACAGCACCGCCTTACGTTCTGGCCGGCTTCGTCTACTACGGGATCACGTTTTGGTCGGATCGCAAGAACACGGTGTATCCAATCATCCTGTGCTGCATTTCGATCGCCGTATGCATGTACATCATACCCATGGCCACCACCAACGTCGGTGCACGATACTTTTCAATGATGCTTTTGCCCTTCTCCTCGGTTGGTCCCCAGATACTCCTCTACAAAACCATCAATCTCCACCTCGCGCGGCCGATCTCAAAACGAGCAGCGGCTTCTGCCCTGGTCAATGCCATCGGAGGCACTTCAAACATCTGGGCTTCGTATCTGTACTATTCGGCTCCGCACTTTTACGCCGCATTTGCGACGTTGATGGGCTGTGCATTCGTATTCGCAGCTACTCTCACCTTCTACCGCTACCTGATTCTGCGTGAGAACAAACGCCTTGACTCGGGCAATCCGCAGCAAATCGCAAAAGCCATGAAGGGTGGTGTGACACAGGAGATGGTGGATCTTGGCTGGCGTTACGAGATGTACTGAGCGCCCGACGAGGTAAGTGACCAATGGTTTCGAGAAGTTGTATCCCATAGAGCAGTTACAAGCAGCAATTCCCTCTCGGGTGACGTGGGCAACGAGAGGAAGACAAAGTTTTATGTGTAGTCTACAGAGAACCCAAAGAGTCTTCCGCCCGCTGTCTTGGTCAGATAAGTAAGATCTATGGCATGATTGAGAACCATTCATCTTACTCATCGAGCGGACGAGTCCTTTTCTTTACGTGAAGCAAGCACGCTTGACGACACATTGTCCGACTCGAGATAGGGTCCAAGACAAGTCGACTGTGTTTTGCTGCGGCTGAAACCGTAACAAGAGATACTTCTTTTTTATTTATTCTCGTTGTCGTTGCCGGTGCTGTTGTCGTACTCATTGTAGTTGTCACCAAGAGCCTTTGTTTGATTAAGTGAATGAATGAATGAATGAGCCTTTCGAGGCAATCACTGTTTCTCAGAGCCGTATCAATCGATCTTTACTTTAAAAAGTTCTCGACATGACGGTGTCTCGAAGAATTCCACTTTGAACAGTTAGACGTATTTGCTTGAATTTGCCATTAACAGTCAACAGCGAACGACAGAGGTTTGTCACTTTCTCGGTAGTAACAACAACAACAACAACAACAACAACAACAACAACAACAACAACAACAACAACAACAACAACAACAACAACAACAACAACAACAACAACAACAA